AATGCCCGTAACAATGAAGTTATGGCCTCAGAATTGTTCCATACCTTGAACGAAAAATGTGGCGCAGAGACGCTCCCAAACGGGCTTCTATTCCGCGGAGTGGACAGCTACATCCGCTGCCTGGCCCATATTTTGAACTTAATCGTTCAAGATATCCTTCGCGCCTTGAAATCAGGAAGCGTGGAAGAGGCATACACCATCTGTGATAGCTTATACGCTGGGGGATCTATATCGAGTCAGACAGCATTGTCTAAGCTCCGCATTCTCGCTCTCTGGATTGACCGGAGCCCACAGAGACGGCAGAAATGGAAAGAAGTCTGTCAATTCATGAATCTCTCGGAAAAATTCATTGAATATGATGTAGAGACTCGTTGGAACTCTACCTATCGAATGTTAGATGACGGGTTAAAAGCAAAGGCTCAGATCAATCGATACCTAGCCCTACAGACGGAGATACCTTCCTTTACCACCGAGGAATGGCAGCACCTGTCTCAGATTCATCAAGTACTGAGCAAGTTCAACGAGCTCACCCTGTTCGTATCAGAGCGAAAGCCACAGATCAGCCTTACCGTCCCACTCTATTATGAGCTACATGATTTACTCAATGAGGGGTCTGAAGCTCAGGGAGTCTTTTCGGGATTAGATCGTGATATTGCCCAAGCAATCAAGGAAGGAATGAAGAAATACGAGAAATACTACACCTTTATGGATGAATCAGATACCTACTACACTGCTCTGATTCTAGATCCTCGGGTGAAAGGAGACCTAATCCTCAATGAATTAGAGGATAAAGAGGCTGGGAATCTAATATTAAGAGCTGTCCGTAACAGTCTTCATCAGAAATATCCACTTCGGAACCGCGAATCGCCTAGAACGGTATTACAGCAGTCGGCATCGGAAATCAAGACGGTAGAATCCCGAATGCTCCAACGGCTACAGCCTCAAGCGGTGCCCCTTCTGTCCGATATTGATCGGTACTTTGACAGTCCTCGAGTTAGCAATATTGATACTACAGATCCGAATTGGCTTTGTAACTGGTGGCGAGTACACAAGGATGAACTGCCTCAAATGGCAGCAGCAGCAAGAGAGTATCTACCAATTCCATCGTCAGAGATGTCAGTGGAACGATTATTCAATGCGGCAAGAGATATATTAGGTATCCGGAGATATTCGATGAAGGGTGAAACAATGCGGATGTTGATGTTGATAAATGATCCCTATGCAAAGCCCTAGAATTCCAGCAGCCAAGTTATCCAAAAATCTTTATAGAAATCAGATTGAAGCTAGTCCTAATGAAGTAGTTTACCGATTCACCGATTTCGCCGATATTGACAAAATTTAACGGATAAAATATCGGTAGAATAGAAAGCTGCCGATATGAATCGGCGAATCGTATCCGCAAACCTGAAAGGTTGACGATATCGTATCCGTGCCGATATCGTATCCGCAAAATCGGGAAATCCGCCAATCGGGAACAGCCCTAAACCCGACCAAAAGATCTGTCCGCTCTTATCCCAAGCGTCATGATATCGCATCAATGGTTCCCTCCCCTTTGTTACCCCATCCTCAGCGACAAGCTCGCAGATCGAAGCCTATATTGCAGGGTTATCGCGCTGGATCAAGCGCGAGACTCCGGGACGCCTCCCCTCCGTATCTGCACGGGAACGCCCAGATCTCGTGTGCGACCCACGGTGCGGGTAGCCGGGTGGTTGGCGTGCCACGACATAAGGCATGGCTTTCTTTCGAGAAAGTTCGCGGGTTCGGCGGATGGGATGGCTGGGATGGGGTGTTTGGAGAGCGGTTCGACCAATCGTAGAGGTAAGTGTGGGATTCGGATGGAGGTCGTGGTTCGCATTTCAATGTTATTTGAGGGGTCTGGAGAGTATATATTCTCGTCGTCATCCGTGAGGTTCAAGTATCAAACGACTTTCTGGTCAGCGGACGACGGAATTGGACTTCTTTGATATACCGTTGTTTGCCGTCTCACTCATATTGGGAGTCTACTATAACGTGGAAATTAGTATGTCAGCGCATGAGAGGAGCACTTCTAGCTTTTTGCAAGTTTCGCTCAGTCCAGCACTATTACTCTAACCGGGCCATAATGACCTGGCATTAGCTGTGACAGGATCAACTTGGAATCTCCTTGACATATGTTGTCTAGCCGAACGCTCAAGCAGAAGTAACCCATGATCTGATACTCATTTTTGGAAACGAGGGCCAGCGTAACCACGCTTGACGTTGCCGAGACACGCCTCTCGCGATGGCGATGGAAAGATTGAAACAAGACCATGAAATTACGGCCCACCCGAATGCATTAACCCTGGAAGGCCGCGAGCTACGGGAACGATCTGTCTATCACGAATATATACCTAATACAGTGATGTCGAAAGCATCCATCCCATTAACCCTCCGTACAATCAGATCCATTCCGAACTTCGTTCACTCGCTCCAATTGATGTTCCTCATAGCATGACTACGTTGCCTTGTCGTGATAGCAGAGCTCGGGCAACGATCCAGCTAAAGTGAGTGACGAAAACGGAGGCAGAGATTGGCATGGAGTCGAACCGCCTCGAACTTTGAGCCGACGAATCGCATTATGAACCATGAGAAGCTCCCTCACCCCATCCGCAAACGCAAGGCAATAAATGAGAAGGGAAGAGACAGACCGGATGAAGGATTTGGAGGATGCGAATGATTTCAAGCACATAACGCCTGACCCACGACCGAAAGTAGCCATACCGTCCGAACCAAGCCCTTCGTGCAGCAGCTGTGTTGGACATGACATCTGAAATCTATTTTGACTCGAATATCGCTGACGATCCTTTTTCGGGTAGGGAAGGTCGAAGGCAGATGGCGAGTCACCGTTGCGCCAACCGATCCCATATTATATCATCATACGGACTGAGAATGTTATGCCACGCCAGGGGATCATCTCTACAGACAGGTTCCCGTCTATTGGTGTTGAGGGTGGGTTGGCATCCGATTCTGAGGTAGCCCTGCGTATGAGCCGCCGGCCTGCTGTTGTTGCTGCAAGTATGTCTGATACTGGAGCGCTTGTTCTGGTGTCAGGCCATATGGGGTCGGTGGCATACCACCGCCGGGGGGCATCCCGCCTCGAGCTTGCGGGTGGGTTTCCTCGGGAGACTCGACCGGCGGTTCGCCGTTGATGTCGTTATCGTTGGCACTGGTGGGCTCGGGCGCGTTGAGGCAAGCCTGATCCGATGGTCAGTTACAGGGAACCCAAAGACATCGAGCGGACGCAAGGGAACATACCTGAATGAGGTTCTTGCCTTCGGGCTTGGTGACGAGAGGTTGAAGCTTGGGAGTCGTGAACGTGTAGACTAGACCGGTCTCGGAGACGACGAGCAGTAGCACCTGCGTTCCGGTAAGGACGGACAATTCGTACGCCTAGCGGAGTAATGGTTAGCATGTACATTTGAAAGCCGACGACGAAGACGTGGAAGACACGCGCCGACGCGGTGTTACTCGACGGGGTTCCAAGCGACGTTGCGCGACGGGCAACCGATGCAGGTCCGTACCTTCTTCATGATGCCAGCCTTTCGCTTGGAAAAGGTGATGTGCCTTCGCGACTTGTCCTGGATGAACTTAATTTCAATTTTGCGTCGCTCACGGCCCGGCTTGTCATCATCATCGTCATCGTCGTCCACGTTGCTGGGTCGCGGTCGCTTGGTGCCGCGATTTGCATCGGCTCCCAATGCACCATTGCCATTGCCGACACCAGTGTCATCGACAGCCGACTCAGAAAGCTTCTGGTCGTGATCGGTGATTTCGGTTGCCATTTTGGGAGATGAGTGGGCGGTTGCTCTGCAAAATGGATGCTTTAGGAACTGTGTTTTGTCTTAACTCTTTGCGGTCGAGTGTGGCCCTATGTGGGGATTACCTGTTTGGAGAGGAGGGTAACCGAAGAGAGGAAAGGCGGTCGGGGGCAGTTTGGGGGGGTACGGGCAGTGGATGCGGCCGACCGAGGGAGAGGGCTGAGAAAATGGGCTGGCGTCCGTCAAGTCGGAAGCGAATGAAAAAGCTGCGAGCGTAAGAACCGAGCAAATCAGAGATCAGAAACACGCTGTGCAGCAGTGCAGGTAGGTGTGCCAGCTCCTAGAGAAGAGTCGGATAAGGATGCGAGCTGGATGAATCGGGGCAAGTGACAAAGAGGAATGAGGAGATGTTTTGGGGCTGGCCTGGTGAAGGAAGACAGGCGATAAGGCACACGCCGAGAGCTTGAGCAGTGAGAGTGAGTAGTGAGCAGTGAGAGCCCTGAGACACGGGGACGGGGAAAACCACATGCACCAGTCCACGGTCCATCCACCACAGCAGATGAGGAGACTAGACTTCAGTGCTGATGCATCAGAAAGATGAAACCGATGGATGGATCCGATGAGTGGCGGGCACCAAGACTGTTGTGGCACGCAAGGGATGCAGATGGGCGGGGTGATGAGCCAAAGATTCTGGTTCTTTGCATGGAATAACAATTGCACACCCCTTGCCGATCATACCGATCATACATGATGTGTGTTTCTGGTGCAATTGTCTCCAATAGCCAAAAGGCGCATGCGTGGAGGTGAAGCCTGAAGGGGTAAAGAAGAGGTCTAGTCTTGGTGGGTGATGACGGGACAGTCAAGCTCCATTAGAGTAGATGGATATGAGTGATAGGAAATCCGGAATAATATGAGGCACGTACCCGAAGATTGGTGCACCTTGTGACAGGAGCACTTCTAACTCAGCTGGAGGAAGTAGTCGAGAGTCGATGTGTGAATGCCTTGAGAGGTTTGTCTTGTTGCGAGTGCTTGATAATTCCCTCGATGGTCGATGCAGTGATGGGTGATGTCCCTGTGGTGGAGGGAAGAATGAGGGGGTTGAAACGTGAAAGAAGGGAGAAACGAGAAAGGACTGAAGCTTGGCTTCTTCGGGCGGAATTTAACGCTGAGAAGAGCAAGGCCAGGATTCAGCACAAGCCAACAGGAGGGAACTTGCACCGAGGGGGGAAGAAACGATACCGTGCTTGCCTACTCTAGTGCTGTGACAGACAAGGAGGGAAAGCGCCGAATTTCGTTGGGGGCCGCTGGTTACACACGGGTTGGTGGTACTATGCATGTGATTGGATCACTTTTAGATGCCTTAGGTCCTGATCCATGCCTTAACACTGCGCGATCGCGTTTTCTCAGCAACTGGCAGCAACAGGGGGGAGTCAAGTCCATAATTCTACAACGCTCGGGCATCATGGCATCTTACCATTGGGTGAATATCGATGATGATTGGCTTGGTGGTCTTAGTGTGCCGCGTCTTCATAACATTTCATTGGTCTATATCTGCCGCCCATGTTGCATTCAGATTTCAGTTGCAGGCAAGTGCGACGACTCGATTACCAAATACCCACTCTTTGCACCCTCTCCTCCCTGTCTCCCGTCGCATTGTGCCGAGTGCCCGAGACACCCCAAATCCTCCCTTCGGCCCGCGCACCACCAATCCATTCCACTACACCGACTCAGCGATAGCGCGACCCTTCTATTTCCCGATTTGACTGCTGAAGAATATTCTCTCAGGAATCATCCTATAGATGAGTGGAACATCATTCCTGCATTCGATTGCATCGTGAACTGCGAAGCATGAGTAAGGAAGTCAAGGATGACCGTGGGACAGTCTCAGCTTTTAAGGGAGGGAAGGGCCGAGTCTGTCGGGAGTTGCTTCAGGAGCTGCCTTTTTTGGCCTAGCGCATCTTACACCATCTACTCTCCCTCTCATTCACACATGTCACGTGCAACCATCCTTCTCGACCCTTGTTCAAGCCCTTTGCTCACTCATACAGCTCCTCTTTACCCACCACTCCATCATGATGCGGAGACGACACGATAGGGGGAGTATCTGCTGCTTGCTGTAGAATTCGGGGTTTCTAAAACCTTCGTGAGAGAATCTTTGAGCTGTACAATGACGGTTTGAGCCAGTTCGCTCTTGGAATGACTCGCCTCAAACTTTGCCTCACGGTGATTCCTGGAGCAGTCTTGAAACGCGATACGTCTTGCCGAACACCAAACCTCATCAGAAGAGGCGTAAGAAATGGTGTCTCTATCATACCATTTCGCCTTGCGGCGCCTTGGTGAACATTGCAACGGCAGAGTCCTTTTCTCTCTCTCTCTCTCCTATGTCTCTCTACCTCCTCGATGTTTATGTCCTTTATTGCTTGATTCTTCTATCAACTCGCCGCAATCCGACGCAGGCGCTCGTGCGGTGAGACTTTTCGGTGACTCTATATATTTCTACTCCCTTTTCCATTTCTTGTCGTTCGCTACATTCGAATTCCCCTTTGCGTACTGCGGTCGTAGATCGACTGTCGGGTAGAACGAACCTTCAAACCATACCATCACCGCACCGATCCTGCGAGCAACTCACGCACAATGACGAACACGCTGAGACTTACGTACTTGGCCCACGAGGCGCTTTTCCTAGGAGGAGGAGTTCTCATCTTGGTCTTCTCGCTGGTCAGCAAAGGCCAGGCCGGGGCCGGGTCCACGTCGACCGTGGCCACCGTTGCGCAGCACGTGCTGCTCGACCAGTGTCCTTTAATAGGTATGCCGATTCCAAGTCGATTCCCGCCATCAACGGCGAGCATGAGATGGATGCGCTTCTCTCCTTCAATTTTTTGGTCTTGGGGAAGGCGTGGCACATGCTGACCTTTCCTTCACGGGCATAGGTGGAATGGTGAATGCCATCCTCATCTTCATCGTCTTCCTCATCGGACTGCCGGCCATGGTCATGCCCAGCAGTACGACATGGCTACGGGTACACGCGGGGGGCATCATCCTCTGTGCCATCTTCACCTTGATCCTGGGGCTGTTCATCTGGTTCGATACCCTGACGACGAGGTCGAAGTTAGAATTCATCTGGGGCAAGGAGACGCCGCAAGTCCAGAGCTTGTTGCAGCAACGGGTAGGTTTCTTGGACGGCCGTGGCTTTTGGAAGCCTGATTCCCTAGAGTATGCTAACCGCAATCGTTTAGTTCAATTGCTGCGGCTACACGAACTCGACATCCCCGCCGTTCATTCAGGACAGCGTCTGTCCGAATGCGTTTATCGCGGCGCAGAAGCAAGGTTGTGTGGCGGACTTCAGCAACTTTGCCAACGGGTACCTTGATATCATCTTCACGGCGGCTTTTGGCCTAGTTGGTACGCTTTCCATGTCCGGAACATCCCAATGTCATAGAGTCTAACCACATCGCAGCTCTGGACGCGCTGCTCGTCCTATGTGTTGCATGCCTCGTCAAGTGGCGCAGGGAACAGGAACGATATAGGCATATCGATGAGAAGGTGGGGTTCGGGGGTCTGTGACCGAAGGAAGACTGGAGAACAATCAATCGAGACCTAGACACTTGTTGGGAAACTCTTCAATATTTTGGTTTCGCACTAGTTCCATGGGTTTTACGTAACCTCTCATAAATATACGGTGTCGATGACCTATACTCTATTCATATATGGCGTTATTCCGAAGCCAACCACTTTCTGGATCAGTAGTGAACGACCCGAATCCCCGTAACTCCACGCCATACCGAGAAGCATTGCTATCCATACGCTAGGATATTCGTCGTCATCAGGATTCCATCTCCATCCGCAGTTGGTCATCGAGCGCCGCCTGGGTCTCGGACGATCTTGGGTCATTTTCCGCCCTAGCCTCGGCGTTGTCTTCCCTTGCTTTCGACCCCTTCTGCTCCTCCAGCCACGCTTCCATCGCCCTCTTCTGCTTCTCCTCCTCCGCCGAGCGGTCCTCGAACCACACCCGTTTCTTCCGCTCCTTGGTCCGCACTGCATGCTCGACGCGGAGCTGCCAGCGACTCAGTGTCCCGTACACTTCCATGCGGGCGAGATCTTGCGGGCCGGCATAGTCCAGTCGCGCGCTGATGCGGTTGATGGAGTCGGAGAGCGCGGCGGCTGACGCGTTGAAGGTGGATTCGCTGCCCGGGTCGGTCGAGGGACGAGTACCTCGCTTCGGCGAGCTGGGGGTTATAACGGGAAGTGGGAGTGGTGCTTTTAGGGATGTTGTTCCGTTTGATGGTGCGCCTGCAGCGCTTGGAAGCCGCCATGCGGGAAAGAGGAGCGACGAGAATCCGCTGTCGAGAGCGGTGTCGAGAAGGAATACGCGAGCTCGCATCATGACGTAGTCCGCGTGCGGCTGGTACATATATTCGGGGGAGGTGCGGAGGTGCCGAATGACGGTGTCCATGAGGATCGGGTTGGTGAGGTCGGCGTCTAGATACTCCGCCGAGGTCAGTCCGAAACTCAGCGCGAGTCGTCGTCGGAGACGATGTAAGATAGGAGTTTGTGACGGTAGGACTTGGATTAGTTTGGCCTGTAGTAATGTATTCGTGGTGGTATTGAAGATGATCTCGGAAACGCCGAGGATCTATTAAAGATTAGTTCGGCTCGTCACAGCAGTCGAGGACCTGATACGAACATATTCGGGCTCGGGGACTTCGATGTTGCTGAACAAAGTAGATAGTGCTACGTTGACCAGTCGAGAAATTTCACAGTCGAGTGACACGGTATCATCTAAGGACATGCGCATCAATATCACAATGATGAAACCTCGGAGATGGTCTGATAGGCCGGAGGCACTGTACTGGAGGAGCCGCAGGATCCATGATAGCCCACGAGAGAGCGTACACTCGGGAATCTCTTTCGGACTCTTAGGCTCAGGAACCAGTTGGTGGTCGAAATCCAACGCCCACTGGCCGGCTCCGACACCCCGAAGTAACTCTTTCAGTCGAGAAGAAGTGAGCACGTCATTCATGGGAGCGGTTTGAAGTACTTTCAAGTAACTCGACGCCAAGTCATCCCGAGGATCGCAGCTCAAGTATTCGAGCATATACACATACACCTCGTCGGGTAGCGAATGTCGTGAAGCCATGCGTTCGACGAAGCCCGTGATGAAGGCATCGTCTCGCTTTGGGGGGGTTTGGAAGACGCGAGCCCATATACTATTCGAATCAGACAGCTTGGGGAATGGTGGAGAAGGTCGCGATTCGTGCTTCTCCTGAAAGAAGTGCCAACATGGATCTTGCTGTAGGGCGTTGGTACGCTTAACGGCCTTCTCCAGTCGCTCGACCTCATCGCTTTCCTCCCCATCCAGGGCCAAGGCAATCGTCTTGGTGTCGAGTCGCGATGATCGATGTCTTTTGGGCCTCGTTTCGGAGTCGTCGGAATCGGTTGGGGCATCGAGTATTGCTTTGATCCTGGCTATCTCTTCCTCTCTCTTGGCGTCTGTTTGGGCGGACTTAACCAGAGAGGCAAGCGAAAACTTCGGCTTCTCGATTGCTTTCGGCGCATTGCGTTGGCGGAGGGTCTTGGTCGCGCTCGTGGACGATCGGAAAACGCGGTCGGTTGGACTCTTTGGGGATAGCTTCTCTCGGGACTTGATGGAGGTGCGGCCCGATTGCTTGTTAAACGTGTGGTATAGCTCTACCAGATCAGCTAGTGATGAATCGGAATCTTCGTCGCTATCTGAGGGTCGAATGATTTCCACGCCGTTCCTTATCGCACGTTTTGACGATGTGGTCGAGGCGAAGGAGCGGTTCGGAGCCGACGACGATGGAGCTCCCGTGCCGGGAGAGGTGGTCATGTCATTCATGCTGGAAGACGCTGGCGATAAGGATGTTTGTATGGGAGAGAGGGGAGAAGTGGGATCTATCGCATCTCTGGCCGATCCTCGCTCCGCTGTTGGGGAGCGTATCGAGAGCGAAACTGGGCGAAAGGAGCTCTGAGTGGTGGATGCATTCGATCGGGAGGTCGAGGACCGCTTTGTACCATCGTTGACTTCTGGCGTGTCTTAACTTAGTCGGTAGCGTTCAATATATCAGGGAGAGCATTGAGCAGTAAGTGCGGCAAGTTGGAACTTATCGAATAAAGAACAAAGAACAGCTGAGCATACCTAACGAGGGGGGTCGAGCATCTTCTTTGGATGATGGTTTGAAGAAGCGGGTAATGTTGGACTGGCTGGATAGCGGAGGCATTAGCCCAGGGACGTGGCGAAGATGGGTGGTATGGTATGGCCAGTCGTTTCGTCCAGTTTACTGCTTCACACCAGTTCCAATTTGGGGTTGTTAAACTTGTGTCGAATACAGCAGAGGGTCGGTTTTCTGGATGAAGTATTTCCACCTTGTTGTTTGACACAATAATCATGAACGCCAAGTCGCCCACACGTTGAAAAGCTCGCGTTGAACGCGAAGGACAGCACGCTATCACGTGATACATCACTGCTATTTCATCTGTCCTCTCATACTTAGCATAGCAGATGGACTGGATCTCCATAGACCCAGTCCATCCGTGATCTGTCTTGTTACGTCCGTACGTATGTCCAATTGTCCATATCTCCAGGAGCACAACGTCTTGATATATCTCTAGGAGCAGAGGAAGTCATATCAATCTTAAATCCCCTTGAATTCCTGATCAGATGTCCCCTGCCCAAGCCTGTCCATGCCTGCCCAAGTTCCCAACCAGGCATGAATCATAGGGTATTTATCGGATCTCAGATAGACCACCATGTGCCCAAGTCGCAAAAGCCACGAAGCATTCAGGAGTCGGGCGCGGTATTAATTGCTGTACGTTCCATCCAGGCAAGGAACTGGGCACTTAATTCGGCGTAACCCTCGCAAATCAATCACGTCAGGCAATGGGGAGTGCGAACAACAGCCCCAAACCCCAAGAGGCCAAGTCTCATGCTTGATGCTAGATATACTGTTTAACTGTGTTCAGGAGTCAACCGAGTTATTAATCCCTTAATCTGGCAGAAATGGTCCAAGTCTCTTATTTAGTCTCCAAGAGCCTGGCGTGTTTTAATCTGGAATGCTTGGGCTTCTAGCGGGCGGTGGGGGATCAACAGCAAACCACAGCAACCCCGGCGCAGAGCGGAAAGCGTCAGCGAGTCACCGAAATCTAGGGAATCCTTAATGCGGGGGACGTGCTCCGAGAGGACCGAAACTGCGGTGCCAATTAATGGTGTGCGGGCTGCAGGTTTGTAATTCGGAATACAGTCTACAGAAGACAGAGCTCGAGCGGAATCCTCAATGTCCTGCATGCAATGATGCAAGCCTCAGCCTCTTTCACAAGAACGACACTGCCTTCAAGGTCGCAAAATGGTGTGTCAGCGCTGACACACAGATTTGAGGTTTTCATTCCTGTAGGCTGTAGCTGGATTCAGGCTTGCGGAAGATACCAAGTTTCATAAATTGATTTGGTGGATGTAGTATGAACCACGAGAGAGTGGACCCCGGATGTGGACGGCATCGCTATTATTATGCCGTTCGGACGCGGTGGAATCTGCACCGTGGAAACTAGAAAGGCGGCAAAATCGAAGGAAAGCCGCCATAAACACACATCAATCCTCAGCTCCTTCTGATGCGTCGCGATGATCTACACTTCGAGAAATTGTTTCGAGGGAAGCTGACAGTTAAATGTCAAAGCCATTGAGGCTCAGCGACCAAATGGGGGCCATTATCGTCACTACATATTGTATTGACTTGACTGGGAGGATCGGCGTGGATTGAGCTTAGACGTTCCTTACCCTTCGTCCTAATTTCCCGCCAGAGGCCCAGAGCATGTTAGTTAAGGAGAGGGCTATTCTAAATATTCTTCAATAATGTATCTTGGATGACGCGTATTAAGCACTGGGAAGACTTGACAGGTCCATTATTTGGTTGCGCTTCCTTTTCGTTCATCCCGCTGATGCTTGGTTCTTGAACTCTTCCCATTGTAACTGGTACGGCCGTGAAATGTGAATAGGATAAGCAGCACTACCCACTACCCAGTAGGTATTTCGTATTCCGTCTGCATGACCTGCCATGTAAGCTGTCATGGAATTATAAATACATAGTAAGCTATACGGAAGAGGTAGATGACAGTTAAATCAATCATCCCCTCCTAAGCCTCCTTACTCTCTACATGCAACAGCACCACCACCACCACCATTGTCCTCATCATCATCCTCATCATTATCATCATCACCATCACCACCAGTATCACCACCATCCTCACCATCCGCGAGATATCCCCGTGTGGGTTCAGGGTCGTCTTTCAGGGTCGACTGGGTGTCGCTCGTCCACTCGGGAGTTAAAGCCGAAGGGCCCGAAAGGACCGTTTACGCCCATTCTGCCGTTCAATCCGCCAGCAAAGTGGGCTCTACTGTGCTTCTCTCCGGGAGTCCCCTGGCCCTGAAGTTGGCGTCTCGATTTGGTTGGTCAGCACGTCAAGACTCAAGACTCCAGAGCCACCAGAGAGAAAGTTCCGCAACTTTTCGCCCGCCCAGACACTTTCTCTCCCTCCCTACTCCCTAATCCTCCTCAGACCTTTACTCCTCTCACCTCTACTCTTAATCTGCACTCCATAGTAATTACATGTCCTTACTGTACAAAGTTGCCAGCACGACCTTAACATCTTCACCCTCCCTACGATCTTCTTCCTCCCTCCCACCCCTCCAAATCGGCCACCTTCGCTCCAATCTATATCTTCCGGCTTCTTGTTTCCTCTATTGTCTTTGCGTCGTCGTGAATCATTCCCTCTCCATTGTCCTCGCCCGTATCAGCGTCACGCCCCCCTTGCATCGATGCCCATTCGCGACGGCCTTTCTTCCGACTTCATTTCTGTACCTATCGACTTCGTCTTGTCTTCAATCTCGGCGCCATCCGAGTCCGTGAATTCCACCGCAATTTTTAATTTGAAAGTCCATACCTGTCACCCGACCACATCGAACTCGACGAGCGGAAACTGCCAATTGCTGCGCCAATCAGGCTCCCGGCTGCGGCCGGCTTCATCACACGCCTCCACAGAGCAAAGGGGACTGAACGCTCGCCGTTCGATCGAGCGCCGCCCACACCATGGCACAGGACGAAAATGTGCAGAGTAACGTGTCAGAATCGACCAAGCGGTTAAGATGGGCCACAAAACGGACGGGTGGAAAGGCGGGCGATCGAAAACGGAAGTCCATTATGGATCGACTCCATCGGCGAACAGCTTCGAACGATACGAAATCGAACTTCAAACGAGATAGCAATACTACTGACGGCCCTGATGACTTAATGAAACCCGAAGAACCCGAACCGGAGGAAGAAGGCCCCGGGCGACGCATCTTCTTCAACCTCCCTCTTCCGCCAGAGGCTCGCGATGAGGACGGTCATCCCACCCAGCATTATGCAAGAAATAAAATACGCACTTCGAAATACACCCCGATCAGCTTTATACCCAAGAACCTGTGGTTCCAATTCCACAACATCGCAAATATCTATTTCCTCTTCAGCATCATTCTCGGGGTATGTTCCAACCGGAAGGAAGAAACGATTGGGTGCTAACAATTGTGTCCAGGCTTTCCCGATATTCGGCGTCGTCGACCCTGCCTTGAACGCCGTCCCTTTGATCGTCATTTTGACTCTTACCGCACTCAAAGATGCGATTGAAGATTGGGGCCGAACCGTCTTGGATAACCAATTGAACAATGCGCCGGTGTATAAACTTGCCGGCTTCAGCAATGTCAATACTGCTGAAGACCAGATATCACTGTGGCGTCGATTCAAGAAAGCAAATACAAGAGCCGTTTTGCTGGTGTGGCGGCTGTGGACGAACCGCGACCAGAAAAAGATAGGACGCGGGAAAACTGCTGACAATGAGCCAAGGCCATCTATTGGCGATCGCAGACAGTCCGTAATGACGCAACGCACGTCATTTCTCTCGACAAGGAGCGGACATGATGACATTCAGATGACCCCCGTTCAGACACCCCCTCTGGGTGCCGTTTCCTCCGCTGCAACCGACGAAAAGCACGGGGCTGGCTTCCTTGACGTCGCTAGTCAAGATCCCGACGGTGTGAAGCCGCCCGGCATTTATAAGAAGGTCCACGGAAGTGTGATCAATCCGTTCAAAGAGGCTCCGGAAAATGCCCGGTTCAAGCAGGACGCATGGAAAAACGTCCAAGTGGGCGATTATGTCCGACTCTTTAGCAACCAGGAAATCCCGGCAGACGTCGTCATCCTATCGACGTCGGAGAAAGATGGCGCATGCTACGTCGAAACGAAGAACTTGGACGGAGAGACCAATTTGAAAGTCCGCCAGTCGTTGCACTGCGGCCGCCAGATCAAGCATGCTCGGGATTGTGAGAAGGCCGAGTTCGTGATCGAAAGCGAACCTCCCCATGCGAACTTGTACGTCTACAACGCCGTGGCTCGATGGAACCAGCGCGATCCAAAGAATGAGCAAGCGCCGGGCGTCGAGATGGCGGAGCCCATCACCGCCAACAACCTCCTCCTTCGAGGCTGTATCCTGCGGAACACCGAATGGGCCCTCGGCGTAGTTATCTTCACCGGCCAGGAAACCAAAATCATGCTGAACTCCGGAATCACCCCGAGCAAGCGAGCGAAGTTGTCCAAAGACCTGAATTGGTACGTCCTGTACAACTTCGTGATCCTGTTCTGCATGTGCCTCATAGCAGGCATCTACTCGAGCGTCTCGTGGGCCCAGGGCAGGACGTCGGCCAACCACTTCGAATATGGGAACTACGGTGGCACCGCGACCCTGAATGGTCTCATCACATTCTGTGCTGGTATTATCCTGTTCCAAAATTTGGTCCCCATCTCGCTCTACATCACGCTGGAAATCGTTCGGACCCTTCAGGCCTTCTTCATCTATTCGGACGTACTCATGTACTACGAGCCCATCGACTACCCATGCACGCCCAAAACGTGGAATATATCCGACGATGTTGGCCAAATCGAGTACATCTTTTCCGACAAGACCGGCACCCTGACCCAGAACGTTATGGAGTTCAAGAAGTGCACCATCAACGGAGAAGCGTATGGAGAAGCGTATACGGAGGCCATGGCTGGCATGCAGCGAAGACAGAGGATGAATGTCGAAGAAGAATCCGCGAAAGCGTTGAAACAGATTGCCGAAGACCGTGTGCGGATGTTGGAAGACATCCGCAGTATGCATCCCAATCCCTATTTGCAGGACTCCGACCTTACTTTCGTTGCGCCCGATTTCATCGAAGATCTACGAGGAGACCGTGGCGAAGCGCAGGAGGCTGCGAACAAGAAATTCATGATTGCTTTAGCCCTGTGCCACACCGTGATGGTCGATCGGATGCCGGGAGACCCTCCAACCATCGACTTCAAGGCCCAGTCTCCAGACGAGGCGGCTCTGGTCGCAACGGCAAAAGATGTTGGCTTCACCATGCTAGCGCGAACGGACGATGGCGTGATTCTCAACGTCCTTGGGGAGGAACAGAAGTACACGGTGATGAATGTTCTGGAGTTCAATTCCACCCGGAAACGGATGAGCGCCATCATCCGCATGCCCGACGATAGGATCGTTCTTTTCTGCAAAGGAGCAGATAGTATGATATATTCTCGCCTGCAACGAGGCGAGCAGGCCGAGCTTCGAAAGACCACGGCGGAGCATTTGGAGATGTTCGCGCGCGAAGGATTGCGAACGCTATGTATCGCCCAACGAGAATTGTCGGAAAGCGAGTACGGCGAATGGAATCGAGATTATGAGCTCGCTGCGGCGTCGATCGCGGACCGAGAAGACAAGCTCGAGGGGGTCTCGGACCGCATTGAGCGCGACCTGACTCTAATTGGAGGGACCGCCATCGAGGATCGACTGCAAGAAGGCGTCCCGGACGCAATCGCCCTCCTCGCCAAGGCGGGGATCAAGCTCTGGGTTCTAACGGGTGATAAGGTCGAGACTGCGATCAATATCGGATTCTCGTGCAACCTGCTGGACAATGACATGGATCTCATTGTCTTCCGAGTTGATGATGAGGATATGGACAAGGCCCGCGAGCTACTCGACCAGAACCTCAGCACGTTTGGCCTCACTGGATCGGACGAAGACCTCAAAGCTGCACAGGACGATCACGAACCCCCTCCTCCGACCCATGCCATCGTGATCGACGGCGATTCGCTGAAGCTGGTCTTGGATGAGAGCTTGCGCCAGAAGTTCCTTCTTCTGTGCAAGCAATGTCGGGCGGTCCTTTGCTGTCGTGTCAGCCCGGCTCAGAAGGCAGAGGTTGTGGGCATGGTAAAGCATGGTTTGGACTGCCTGACCCTCTCCATTGGAGACGGTGCCAACGACGTTGCGATGATTCAAGAAGCCCACGTCGGTGTCGGTATTACCGGATTGGAAGGACGGCAGGCGGCCATGTCGTCTGACTATGCCATCGGCCAGTTCCGTTTCCTGACACGCCTGGTTTTGGTCCATGGACGGTGGTCGTACCGCCGAACTGCGGAGACAATCCTCAATTTCTTCTACAAGAACATGATTTGGACGTTCACTTTGTTCTGGTACCAGATATGGGCCGCTTTCGACACCCCCAACGTCTTCGACTATACCTACATCATCCTCTTCAATCTGGCCTTCACGTCCCTGCCGGTCATCTTCCTCGGCGTCCTGGACCAAGATGTGAATGACAAGGTTTCACTGGCCGTGCCTCAGCTCTATCGGCGTGGCATTTTGCGGAAGGAATGGACATGGTGGAAGTTTTGGTAAGTGACATGTTCGTAATGCAATAGTTTGCCAATGCTAACCATGAGCAGGAGCTACATGTTCGATGGCATCATACAGTCCGTCCTTATATACTTCTCAGCGTACCTCACCTTCGCCAACACGCCGTTCGTGACGGACAATGGGTTGGACCTTGCCGACACGAAACGTCTTGGTGTCTTCATTGCCACTGTCGCGGTTCTCGTCGCCAATCTCTATGTCGCTCTCAACACTTACCGATGGGACTGGCTCTTCATCCTCATTGTGGTCATTAGTACCGTTCTCATCTTCTTCTGGACGGGGGTCTTCACGTCGGGCACGTTCTCCGGATTTTTCTACATGGGTGCCGCCCAAGTCTACGGTGCCCTGTCATTTTGGGCGCAGACCTTATTGGCGGGAGTCATGTGCCTTATCCCTCGATTCACCGTGAAATATATCCAGAAGATCTATTTCCCACGGGACGTGGACATCGTCAGGGAGAAGATTCGTCTCGGAGAATTCGAGTATCTCAAAGAAGATGATTCCTTGATCCCCGCGGAAGCTGCGGATAAAATCCCTTCACTCTCATCCTCCGAGGGAGAAGGCAAGGCTGCGAAGCAGCCGAAACCGTCCATGCCGGAAGAAGAACGACCCATCTATCCTCCGTCGGTTGCCCCCACCGCCACAACTACCAATAACCCACACAGCCAAAGTGGTAGCGATGGCACTGACTTCACCGGCCACTCACATTCACGACATCCTTCGTCGTTCGAGCGTATCCCCGCTCTGCCGGGGCATATAACCAGCGGGGCACGACTATCGCCGCGGTCGTCGATCGAACCCCAACGGCGGTCCTTCGACCGGGCGCGACAATCAATGGATCGAGTACGGCCCAGCTTCGAGGCGAGCCGCGATTTCACATCCGCGGCCTTGTTGGCTCGCATGGAGTCGAGTCAGTCCGCAGAAGAGTCGGCTGTGACGCCGACCACGAGCCACCGAATGCGCGATATCTCTGAGACGATGAAATAAAGCTGACGAATGCGCGCCATCGGTAATTAGGAGACGGGTGGTCCGTGACGCGGATGGTTGGAACGGCTGTTTCGTGCAGCAACTTAAAAATCTCGACTAGGATCGCTCTTGTTCGATCCCAAAACACCTTGGAAGTTTCTTGCTTGCAAGGTATTTATTCCGAAATATTTGCACGGCGTTTTTATAAGGGATATGCGGCTGAACGCTCGGCCTTTGCGACACACGGTCTGGTTTTGGGTTCCTTTGAAGCCTAATAGCGGTGTTTTCTGCTTGCCTCGTCTTTTCACTGCATTGTTCCGGGAGGGAGTCGTGGGACGGCTGCCGCCGCCTCAAATGAGAGGAAGTTTTAAGGGAGGGCGAAGCCGATCGAAGGTCCGAGCATGGTTGACCAAGGGGCACGACTTTATCTTGTCGGTTTTGGGACACGGTCATAGAAAGATACGTCCAGTAATTTCGTCCACTCCAGCGATTTGTCTGGAGTTGTGTACAGTACATATTTTCTATGTGAATAACAACATTGTCCTTGTATCAGCGAAAACGTAGATCTTGCATGTTTTGATTTGGTTGGAGTGACCCTTGATGTTTAATCTGTCTAGCGGTCGTATCATGATGGCTCTATTTTTTATTATAGAAAACCGGAATATCCAAAGTGAAATCCGTCGCGTACGTTCTATGCCGGTGGATGATCGTTCAAGTTATGTAGACTGATATCTTGACTCTCTCCTCGTATCCGAACTTCTTGCGGCTGCTCCTTCGTCCTCTCTGACAACACGCAGGTCGCCACCGAATTATCCGGACCTTTCACGCCGTTCGTTCCGTTGACTCCTTGGCTCTGGACGTCGTCGTCCACATCGGCCGGGATGATATCCCCCTGGCTATCGACCTGGACTCCCTGCGCCGTCATGCGCACCTCCTTCTCGCCCGCGACGCCGGCCATGACGGCCTGCTTCGCCGAGTCCATCACCTTCATCTTCCGCGTCTCGCCCCGGATGCGTTCGAGGTGCTGGAAGTAGTCGGCCGGGACTGGCGTGATGTATCGTCCGCTGAAGACGCCATCTTCGAAGTCTTGCTCCGCTCGAGGCGACAGTTCGGCGCAGGCGGAGCGGAGATCCGAGAGCTCCTGGTAGATCACCGCGTCGGCGCCAATGTGATCGGCGACGTCGAAGCGGGTACGATGGTGCGCGACGAGCTCGGTCGCGGAGGCGAGGTCGATTCCGTAGATGTGAACATTTCTACATGATTAGTTATCGTAAACGAGAGTGCGCAGGGACGAGTTTGAGAACGAACCTGATCATAGGCGCGCAGCTTGTGAAGTAAACCTTCTTTGCACCGGCCTCGCGAGCCATCTTAACAATTTCTCGGCTCGTGGTACCGCGAACAATACTATCATCCACGAGAAGCACATTCTTTCCCTCGAACTTCTTCTTCATCGGGTTCAGTTTCGCGCGGACGCCTTTTTGCCTTAGTTTCTGGTTCGGCATGATGAAAGTGCGGAATATGTATCTAACACAGATGTCAGCACTTGCCCATACGCAGGTAGCATGTGTTGGTGTACCTATTCTTCACAAATCCCTGGCAAAACTCTATCTTCAATGCTTCCGCCACGCAGTGAGCGGAGGTCACAGATGTTTCCGGAATCGGCATCACAACGTCCACGTCGGCAAGTTCCTCTGGTGACAATTGCCTCTTGATGGTCTCGGCAAGCTTGAAACCCATGTTTCGTCGTGCCTCGTCTACATCAATACCATCGATGGTGGTGTCGGGCCTTTTCAATTAGCATCGCTTCACGGCCATGGCCCATTCCAAGGACTCACCGAGCAAAATACACGTATTCAAAAATATCCGGAGCATACGCCAACTGCTCGAAGACTTGTTTGTAGACCGGGTCTTTCCCTTTCTCAATGATGACCGCTTGTCCGGGTAATATGTCGCGAAACTCGGTGTAGCCACATTGGACCAAAGCGACAGACTCTGATGCCATCATGTAGTCCTTCCCCTCGCCATTTTCGGAATCCTTCCACCCCAGGACCAGTGGCCTGATCCCATAGGCGTCGCGAAAGCCGAGCAGCCCAAAGCCTATGCGGTCAGTTGTAGTTCCATACTAGAAGTGTACACCGTAACAAGCGTACCAGCAATCATGGCCGTACAGGCCCAGCCTCCATCGCAGCGGTTGTAGGTCCTCTCCAGAGCCGAGAAGCAGTCATCGGCATTGACACGGGCTTTCCCGGTGATGTTGAGCTCGCTAGCAAAGATATTGAGCATGATCTCGCTGTCGCTCTCGGTGTTCACATGGCGATGGGCCTGTTGATCCAAGAACCTCCTCAGTTCGGCAGCATTGATCAAATTCCCGTTGTGCGCAAAGCACACCCCATACGGGCTGTTCACGTAGAACGGTTGTGCCTCCGAATTGGCACTGCTCCCTGCAGTGGGGTATCTCAAGTGGCCCAAACCCATGAAGCCGGGGAGATCTGCGACTCGGGCGCCATCGTGGAAGACTCGAGATGCCATGCCATTTCCCTTGCACTGGTATATGCGGCCCCCGGAGCCGCAGACGGCGATTCCACAAGCATCCTGTCCGCGATGTTGTAGGAGATAGAGCGCATCGTGGATCTCGACGGCGGCGGCGGTGGAGGACGTGTCCGCATGGATGACTGCGATGATACCACACATGGTGCGACGTTGGAGGGTTCAGTGCCGAGAGAATACCTAGGGAAAAGTACTTAAAAGTACCTATATTTGTTAGCCGTCGGCTCTTGATATACCAGGGAGCAATTTTCGGGTCGTTTGCATGATCTGACGTCAAAACGAAGCCCCCATGCTACTACGCATAATTTCTTCATCAAAGCCCATCTAACTGGCGCATGCTCTCGTACTTCGCCGTCGTCATTTGGCCGAAGAAGACACAATTGCGGGGAAGATGGAAATTATACACACTTCTTGATGCGATCCGCGCTTTGGACTTCCTTATCGTTGACGTTTCGAGAGAGGGGTTTCTCCACGGTCTGAAGCTGATGGGGATGGAAATGAGCGGATTATGAATGTTCCTAGGGAACTTTTCCGTTTGATGGAGGGCATGTAGACTGCCCGGATACTGACAGGCGCTCGAGCATGTTGTCAAGTAATTTTAAGAGAAACATGATGGGTCAAGTGGCGATAGTGAAGACTACCACTAGGAATTGAAGCGGCTTTCTGGTTATCGTCCGGTCCAAGGGACCGACCCGACCCAATGCCGTCGGCTGTATCTGAGGCGAAACGAATCTATCACACCGATACCGCAAGTACCTACAGTCTACTCCGTACGGAATACTTAATTCTTAAGGTCCTGGTGGGGGCAGGACATGGATCAGTCAGCATCTGGGCAACATTTCATCCGTATTACCCGTATTCGGGTATTCCATACCATAATATCCTGCTTCATCTTTTCTTCACGTTGATAGTGTCATCCATACAACGCTCCATCTCGATAAAGCGATCCGTATGATTCAATGAATAGCATCCTATTAGTAACGCCTGAATAAAGTCGACTTCACAGACAAGGCTTGCTCGTGGGGATGCATAAACTATGGGATGTTGGGCGGAGAGGCAACACATGCATGAGATGGCCTGGAGGACTCATTGCATGATGCTCTCTCAATGCCATAATTCTGTCTGATCAGTACTGGTATGATGAGTATTGGTGCATTTTACAATTGTATCAGCGCCGCTTCCTTCATACAAGTAAATTTCACTTTAGGCACTGTCTCTCTCTACACTATTTTCTGCTCGAGGTCAATCTCTCCATCTCCTCACCTCAGTTCATGATACTTCCTCACAGTTCCATCTCACTCACTCATCCCCCTCTAACGTCAACTTTCCATGAACTTCCAAGGGATCACCTTAAGGCACTACATTATCTATGCTTTCAAGTCATCTGAAATTCAGTTGACAACTCCGAACTTGGACTTTTCATGGTCCATACTCTGGCGCTGTGCTGACAAGTAGTGAAAGTCTCCTTATTCACTTCGCACTTGCTTTCGTCTACAAATTCTCACTTTTCAGTCTAAATCCAAGGACCGAATACGCTCGATTTCTCGCGTTGCTCAAATCGCTTTCACTTTCACTGATCGGACCTTGCTCATTCAAACAGTCGGTTTGATGGTGATATCGCTTCAAACAGGTCAACATCTTTCTTCTCCAATTAACTAGAACATTCCACCTTCACTTCTGATCGGGAATCGTCTTCTCCTTCGTTGCTGATTCCACGAACACCAAAGCCTTTGTACTGCGCTTCAAAGACTTCCCGACCAGCCTTCTTTTAGTGGAGGTAATAAACACACCACATCGTCTCTGTCCATCTTGGTACTTACAATGCTCAGGAAAAAGTTCTAAACACGCTTGAAGTCATCATGATGGTACAAGATTATGAAGAGCGAGGCAAGTGTTGGACATATGTATAAATTGCCGCTCACCCTATTCTGACTAGTTCCAGGGACATCCGACGTTGGTGTCGATTTCGACGTCGCTTTTGGCGATGACGAAGATTTCGACATTGATCTCAGCCTCATCCTCGACCACGATGATGATCGGTTCGACGAAGATGTCCGTGAAGTGCCCGCTGATAATTTCTACACGGTGCACGAGAACTCTCTGGTTCAGCCGCCAAAAGAACTCAAGCCACGACGTCGACTCGAAGAGGCCAAACATCAAATTCCGTCGGCAGAATGGTTTGACGTGAACCTACACCAAGGAGTCATCGTGGAGTTTTGGAAGGACGCGATCACCAAAGCGGATCAGCTCCCAGAGGATAAGTTCGGGACACGAGATGAGAGATCTGGAGGAGATATTCTTCTGGTGACCGCGGTCACCATGGAACCCAAGAAAGGAGGTCGCTTCTTAAGAGGCCTGCGTCTGCGACGTACTCGTTACTTCCACACTGCTTTACTTCGATATCCCAACGAAGTATGCTTGGTGGCAAAGATAAGCCAGGACGATCCTCGACCATTTTGGGTGCAGGGCGAAATCGAAGTGCCCATTGATGATGACAGCATCATTCAGGTTCGAGATATGATGTTCACGGATTCGGAATACCCTTCACTGTCTGTTCCACAACTCTACCGGCGAAAGACGGATGTCCAGAACGATCCTTTGATCTGCCGCTATGTTTGGCTGCATATCTTCCCGACAGACACCCAACGCACCAAAGCATCCGAGAAGCCTCGCGAAGGAGTGGTGAGAAAAATCACCCAGGCAGACTGGGGCAACATTCGATCTCGGCTTCAAAAGGAGACGGCTTCCCACAATCAGGACGGCATGGATATGGTCCAGATGGGTAGAGTCGAACAGACTGCCCAGGAGACGATCGAAAGTCAAGTGGCGAAACTGAAGGTCGCCCAGGGTACCACCAAAGCGTATATATTTGGGGATATCTTCTGTGGTGCTGGAGGCGCTTCTCGCGCTGCAAAAAGAGCTGGGCTTCGGATCAAGTACGGCATCGACAATGAGGTCAACGCCTGTTCGGCCTACAAGTTGAACTTCTCGGAGGCCCAAGTCTACCATAACGATATCCAACAAATCCTCTCTGAAAGGGTCGACCTCCGTGCGGACATCATCCACATATCATTCCCTTGCCAGTATTTTTCCGCGGCGCATACGACACTCGGTGTCAACGACGATATGAACAGCGCCGTTCTCTTGTGTTTGGGGGATGTGCTTAAGAAGACACAGCCACGACTCGTCACATTTGAAGAAGCGCCAGGGCTATACAATCGACATAAGCTCTACTTCTTTTTCGTACTTGGGGCTTTCCAGAAGCACGGTTACAGCGTCGCGTACAAAGTGATCAAATTCATGGATTATGGGCTCGCCCAGAAGCGCGAGCGATTGATACTTTTCGCAGCGGCCCCAGGTGTGCCTCTTCCACGATTCCCCAATCCCACTCGTGGGTGGGAGAACGAGCAAAAGCGGCCAGCGACCCTTGATGACGTACTTGGTGGTCTCTCTGACTGGGAGATGAAGCCTAACGATCCTCTCCACGAGCCAAGGAAGACAAGGAAAATGGATTGTTTGCCCTTCGATCGAAAACTCCATCGATGCCTGGGGTGTATCACGACCAGTGGCGGTCTCGGCAATCTCCACCCATGCGGGAAACGAACCTACACCCTGAGGGAATACGCAAGGATCCAAGGCTTTGGAGACGCCCATCAGTTCTACGGCGCGCGTCGAGACATGCTTCGGCAAATCGGCAACGCCGTCCCCCCCAAATGTTTCAAAGTCTTTTTCGACGAATGCATCCGGACATTGACAGACGTTGACGATGGTAAACATGGTAACGTACGTTGCTCGCCGTACGAGTCTGGGAGCTGGACGGGATTGAACGCCTTTGACTCCGCCGCACTGCCGTCCAATGAATCATTTCTGAGACTGGGCAGCCGCGATTTCGTGCGGAGAGATACCCGGAGCTCTTTGTTCAACCGCCATAGGTCAAGGACATTGTCGCCTCAACCTCGATTTCAAGACCGACGCGGTGATCGTGTGAGACGACGCTCTCCTGATGTTGGGAGATATGTTGGTAGCTCCAATCGCCATGACGATGCTGGGAGGACTGCTGATAGCTCCAGTCGCCATAATGATGTTGGGGGGCGTGCTGGTAACCCCAGGGGCCATGACGATACTAGGAGACGTGTGGTGGACCTAACCCTTGATGATCCTGAGCGCTCTCCCGTAGCTGACGACGAGTTGGCCGGCTGGGAAATCGTTACCGCGGGTTTCTGAAACTCCTCTGTCTTCATTCTATCTCAGACGCGAGTGGGGCTGTCGATGGGGGATGGTGGGGCTGTTGATGCACTGCGTGGATGATTTGGGTGGCCCTCGACTCAGTGGCTGCTCTATTATGATGATGACCTAGGAGGTCACTCAACAAGCGAACGCCTGGCTTCTCAGCAATGCTTCCATTTTTCATACGCATACTTATGAGGACCCAACACAGTCCAACAGTACATAGCAATGCACTAATTACATGTTCGTAGTTCAGCTCACTGCCGTGTTCCTTTCACAAACATGGCCTTGCGGTTCATAGTGATATCCTGGAACTCAATCTCCAAATTTCCTTCCAGCTCAAACTCGCTCGTATCAACCATACCAACGTCTTTCATCAAAGCGGAAATTTCGCCTTTCTCAAAACCTGTCTTGTGCATTGTTGCGCGAAGTTCGGTCGTGGACTGGTTGTGGCGTTTGGCAAACGCCTCCATGGTGCTCTCATCCACCTCCCCTAGGAAGTCGATGATCAAAAGGATGCCTCCAGGCTTCAGCCTCTCCTGCAAGCGTTGAATTCCCAGCTTGTAGTCACTGAAGTGGTGAAACGCGAACCCAACAGCGACGATGTCGAAGCCGGTAAACTCAGGGGTGGCAGCAGGGACGGCATTGGGAGCAATCAAATCGCCTTCGACGGCCTTCGTTTCTGCAGGAAGGTTTGTCGAAATGAGCGAGTTGTATTTCTCGACCGATTTGGGGGAGATATCCTAGGATTTCTCGCTTAGTTTCCTATGCTCAGGGAATTATATCCGGGAGGGATGACTTACGATGCCTCGAATTTGCCCCACATACGGTGCCAGTGCCTAGTAAAACCTCAGTATATGCTTCCATATAGAGTATGCCAGCATATTTACCCTAGTGATAGTGCCGGTGCCACAGGCATAGTCCAGAAGACGAATTGGTCCCTGTGAGTCTTCACCCAGATCAAGACCAAGCCACTGTCGCTTCTCAACCAAAAAATTGGTAATATTCAACTCTAGCTTTTTTTGCCATGGCTTGAGATCATACTCCGCTACCATTTTATCGAAGAATGCACGGTTAGCGTCCTGAATTGATGCCATTTTTAGGGAAGCGGGCTCGACGTTTAGAAGGTAAAATGAGGAAATGTTGACTTGTTGTTGGATGTCGACGGGACACATTGGAGCTGCTATCTCATGTCATATATATATACGCAGTGATCTGCTCTCTGTTGATCAAAATATGTACTCTTTACTGTTGGGCACTGAATTGGACTGACGGCAGCTTCTCGCGATCCAAATCGGGTTAGCGTCGCCGAATTTCCGGGGACATGGCCGCACACATTTCGGCGACCAATCGGTTGGCTATGCAGGCTAATCAGCCAATCAACAGATGGCGTGGAGTTTTCGGAGACTTGGCGATCTGCAGTCTCAGATTCGGAGATTCAGTTTGCACTCTCCAGGTTAGATTATTACGCGTCGATTACACACGATGCAACTTGGTCGGCTTCACGGGTTGATCTTCTAGATGGTTCTTCTGAGAAGAGCTCTGAATGTTTGCTAGGACTGGAGCATTATCCCTTTCATCTGCCCTTAAAGGGGCATACAATCGCGAAGTGGCCATCCGTGTACCCTCCTCGCCCTATCCGCCGCGCTAGCCCTTGGAGCGATGGTTTGGACCGAACGAAATGGTTTGCGAGTTCATCTTCACTGGACTACGACATGGTTCTAAGGAATTCGAAAGGTCTATAATCTGCTAGAACTCTTTTTTATTTTAGTCTTGCATCTCATTGTTCCTCTGCTTTTGCGATTTTGTGTTGTCTCCTTTCAAGCAAACGGCTCTAACACAGCAAACCAGATAGGGACTATAGAAACCCCTTCATGTTGAAAGCGTTGGCCTGGTGCCTTCATCGCCCTCTTGAGTTGCAAAATTTCCTTCCCACTTCTTGCCTACCGGACTCAAGGTGACTGAATTTCCACCTCCTCACCTGACCACTCACATCCGTCTATCGCGTGTTGAACGACGTAAAGCGAACGTGGGTCAGATCTCGGAAGCAATGGCGTCCCAGAAGGGCAAAAATGTCACTTTCCCCGGTTCGGACAAGTACAGTGACCTAAAACTGAAGTGTGGAGGCAAAGTTTTCAACGTTCATAAAGTGATCGTTTGCACCCAGTCTGAGGTCCTCGCTGCGGCCGTCGACGGGACCTTCAAGGTAGATCTTCTTCGTGAAGCTGACTTCATCCCTAGTCCCTCGGAGCAGATCACTCACATATCACAGGAATCCACCACAAACGAAGTCGAAGTGACTGAATTTGACGCTCAGACGTTGTATAAGATGATCGACTTCATGTACAACAAGGATTACCAAGAACAGCAAGAAATAGAAAAAGAAACAGGTACATCGCCAAACTTCTTCCAACTCTTTTTACCTTGCTTAGATTAACTGTGTCTCCTAGAAACACATCTACTCTCATACTCAGATGGAGTCCCGGTAGTTTCAACACCTTTAGAAGCCGCACTTGAGCTGCTCGAGTTTGAGAATGAGGAAGAGCCTGGGAATGAGGCAGAGACAGAGAGCGAAACAGAGCCTGAGAACAAGACAATTCTGACTGCAAGGCTTCTCGAGCATGTCAAGGTCAACGCAATAGCGGACTACTATTTTGTCTCTGATCTCAAGGCCCTGGCCAACGCGAAGATCATGGAAATCCTCGAGAAACAGTTTTCTTGCGAAGCGTTTGTTGCGGCACTGAACTACGCCCTCAAGTCGACCACGGACAAAGCATTGAGAGAGATTCTAGGGACATCAGCGGCCCTCCATATTGATGAGTTTATGCAAGACAGCTGGCTGGGGAATGCAGACTTTTTTCTGAGCATCTTGGTGTCTAAGTTAGTCGAGGCAGCAGCACGAGAGAGAGAGGGTCTCGAGAACATCATTCAAGACCAAGATAGTGCCTTAAAAGCCGAAATGTCCTCCCGTTCCAAGGCAGAGGATGATATGACACAGCGGTTACTAGAAGCACAGAACGCGCGTGATTCTGCACTGATACGAGCAGACGAAATCCAGAAGAGCTGCAGGGAGGCGATGGGTATGCTCACCCGGCGGCAGTGCCGCAATGGTAGCTGTAATGCGGAATTCCCTTGTTATTTTGAAAAGATATCGTCTTCCAGTCCACGATGGATCTTACGATGTAGTCGATGCAAATGCAAGCATGTCTAATGAAGTGCAGAACGGGAACATGGCTCGCAGTTATGCATTCAGCGCAGGCGTCAACTATGGCTGTCATGGCGATACAGTGTGGAGGGCTGCCAGCCTGCAATAGGCTGAATTGAGAGACACCCTCTTGAAGCAGGGATGAAAGATTAATAGATTATCAGGAATTCTGGACAATAATGAAGGGGCATTTTAATGTAGTGGCCAAACAATTCACGTGAGTCAAAGATAGTATTGTTGCAAGTTCACGTCACTCCTGAGTTCCGCTTTTCCCGTAACCGTAATTGTGTTGGTCGATTGAACACTCTCAGTTAACTTGGCAGCGAAACACCAATCTGCGCAGCGTTGCGACTTCAATAGCAAAACGGTCAAAGTCTATCGACCTATGTACAAGCCGACTTCCATCTCATAAGGTTCATTTTAGGTGATCACGACAGCAACACTAGAGGGGTATTCGTTAGTGAAACGGGAACCGAGGTCAACCGGGATCGGGGACTTACTGGTCATCCATATACTTGCTGATGTCACCAAGGAATGCCGCTGCGAAGATGCAGAGGACACCAAATGGAATGCTGGCATAATACACAAATCTGTTACCAGTCAGCAGAGATACATCTTATGTGGGAAGGCCGGCGCATACTTGTACGAGGCGGCAAAGGCAATTTGGCCCGCCTTGACGATAGCCGCGTGGACCACGGGGTTGTCAAGTCCTGGGAGATGAGCGATTTCGTCGGTTTGAGAGGCCCCGGTAAGTTCGATGACTTCTGTGATGAGATCCACGTCGTAGATGCCCAATTTGGTCACCATCAGGCCGCCGATATAGAACTTGGCGTTCTCGGTGAACTTGTTGACGAAGACGTTGTAATAGACGCTGTAGCCGATGACCCCGCCGATGACACGGATGGCGAGTGTCAGAGCCGCGACGGTTGCAATCAAGTCGTCGGGGCATATGATGGTCGTGATAATTGACGCTGGTACGAGGATGCCACCGATGCCGAGCCCGGCGAGGACGAGGATCCCCCAGAGTTGGTGCATGTTGTCCGTTTCCCCGATGGCCATGGCGCCACACCCGGCGGTCATCAAGACGGACGAGGCGACCATCAAAGCTCGGATCTGGCCGCGGAGCACACTGATCAGGACGAGAACGACGCAAGCGCCAGTCATGATGGCTAGGCCGATCGGAAGTCCACGGAGGCCGATGCCGACGGGGTCATGGCCGTATACGTTGAAGGCTTGGGTGGGCCAGAACATGAGGACGGCGAAGAAATTGGCACCGGAAATAAAGGTGATGACGAGCGTCAGGGCGAGAACACGCGGGTTTTGCTTCAGGCGGTGGGGGAACATCGGGTGCTTCGCCCACTTAGCTTCCCATACAGCAAAGACAATCAGAATGAGAGCGCCAAGGATCAGGGGAACCAAGACATGCACAGTGGCCCACTTGTACTGACTTCCGCCCCATTGGAGACCCCTATGGCTGGTTAGGATGGATGGATTTTCGACTCGTCTCGAGCACACTCACATCATAAAAAGGATCATGCCCGAAATCGAAAGGAACCCTCCGATGAAGTCAATCTCGGCGATGACCTGTTTCCGGGACAGGCCCGCCGAGTTGACTCGGGGAGGGGGGAAGTAGAAGAAGGCGATTCCAAGGAGGCCGACGAAAGCCCAGACGCCACAGAAAAGGCCAATGTAGCGCCAGGTCGCGTAGTAGCAGATCAGCTGCGCGTACAGGACGGACGGCACGAAGGGAATGATAGTGAAGATGAGGGCGGCGATGTAGGTGCCTCGCTTTCGGGTTGGTGCCATTTCCGAGGCCGCGGCAAGGGCGGTCAACTCGTTGATCCCGGCGCCTGCTCCCATGAAGACATGGCCGGCTGCATCGTATTAGCGGTTGCGATTCCGATGTCCAAGCTTGGAAAGGCACTCACCGATGAAGATGTTCATCGACTTCGCGGTCGCTCCGATGATATTACCGATGACGAGGAAAGAGGCGCCGATCATTGCGACATAGCGACGGCCAATCAAGTCTGATATACTACCAACGAAGGGACAGACGGCAGCGCTGATGGGATATCAGTTATAGCACCGGGATAGGGGTCTATGGACTACTTACAGGGCCAAAAGATTCGCTATAATGAACCACGTCCATCGATCAGAACCGCCAATGTCGCCGTATATGTACGGTGGTGCCTACTGGAGTAAGCAAGGATTTGCTTGATAGGGGAGGGAACTGCGCAACTTACACCACCATAGAGGTATACGGGGATCTGGGAGCCGGTCCAGAGAAGCGCCATGCTCACGAGGGACATGAACCGCTTGAAGGTCATCTAGTTTACGGTCAATTGCTGGTCTGGCGAAGCGGATTCGGGTCGGCCTCACCTTAGGCTCATGGTCATGGTCCAAACCGTCGCCATACGTTCTCAGGCCATCTTTCTCGTAATAATTGTCGTGCCCAGGGACCTTCTCCGCAGTGTGAACCTGCTCCAACTCAGTCGGGCTGCCCTTCTCAACCACCTCATGGCGGCGTTCTACCGAACTGCCTGAACTCATGATGAATTAGGTAAAATGGCGGTGCTAGCGGAATTGACAAACTCTCAAGCACCTAACAGTGAGAGTTCTTAAGAAGGAACCTAAGTAAAGAGAGAGCAAGGAAAACCAGGCCCGTGATATGGAGAAGAAATGGAGTCCAGAGAGCAGCGAGGGGCAAACTGCTGGCAATATAAAAAGTGGCAAGAGTCGATTTATGTAGGGAATGACTTGGGCAAAGATCTGTGGGTATGCTGGGTCTAAGCAGAGTGGGTGTTTCCAGGATCCCACGCCATCGCAATTCGCAACTCCTGCTGTGCCGTCGAAGATTCATTTACATAGAAATGGAAGAAGACTGCGAAGGATGCATGGCACCCTGGTCATTCGGAATGCTATGCGCCTTCTAGGGCCGAAGCTGGGGTTGAGGGATGGACCGAAGTCTGACAGTGGTCAGTGGGCAGATTCCCATCCACACGCGAGTGATTCAACATCGCTGGGGGATGCATGTCGACGATAAAATATTGGAGATCCTTCGGTTCCGAGACAAGAACCAGCGGGGATGAGAGAAGCCCCAAGGAAGGGATCCAGAAAGGGGAAGGAAGCCCGAGACTGGATTGTTACCTGGTAGATAAATCAAAAATTGAGTATGGATGTGCCGCAGCGAACGGCGAACAGGACAAGCAGCTGGGGTACGGAATGCCTAGGCAAATTGCCACGGGTCGAGAGAGGCTTGAATGAGTTGTGAGGCCCCTGCGGTACAGGGATTCCCACGAATCCACAGTCGAACAAAAGAACGGACAGAGGACATCTGGACACGAAATCAGAGATGGTTCAGGGCTTCCAGAGGACTTCCAGCGTTCAGTGGTGCATTATTCAGTATTCTGCATCAAGCGCCTATCACCGATCGCGGGATGGTCATGAAGCTGTGAAGCCTCAGACCATCTAATCCAACCGTGCAGCGATCTAAGAGCGAAGTATGTGAACAGACCGAGGATAGTGACTTGTTGAGTGAAACTGTCAGGGTGAATAATAATGAACAATTGACTATTGAAGAGGTCCGACCGTCTGCCGTTCGATACCCTGACAGGCTGACACTCCAACCGTTCCACGATCCAGCGATCCAACTCGAGAATCGAGGAATGAGGGATTACTGATTAGGGATCAGGGAGGGCATGCAGGGCATCCGGAACTGCGGAAGCCCTGGCCAAGCAATATTAAGCAACAGGCTTAATTCAGAATGAGCAGCTGGCGAGCCTCGGCGTTTCGAGTTGCCTTGGCCCTTGGACCAGAAATTGGGTCTTGGAGGGGTTGTAAATTAATTACATTTTCCAAGGAAGTGGCTAGTACCGACTCAAAAACGAGCAGGATTGGATGACTTGGATACACCGGATACCTGGGGTAGACTAGTCTGCAGAGTAGTCCGTGGAGTATTATTAGCATGTATTTGAGTAGGTACTCAGGACAAGTTAGGACTCAGGAGTCAGGAGAGACTGGAATCTTCCGTAACTACTGCGTATTCGTAGTTGGAATATTGAGTGGGTAACCCCCGCACTCTGCCTTTGGTCCCATTCACCAACTCGTTCGATTCTTCTCAGTTCGTCTTTCTTGGTTCAGCTTGGTTCATCCTTCTCCTTTCTAGCCAATGCCCGTCTTGAGATTTGAGATACTGTCTTAGCCTTTTGCTTTTCGATCTTATCTTTCACATCCTACGGAGTAGTTGCTCTATGTATCCTAGTAGCTATAATATTTATCTCTCCATGTACTCCATACGATAGATACTCCCACCGATCCCCCCTGAACCCTTAACTATTGCCAAACTTCTCGTGGACTCGGCTCATATCATCGTCTAATGGTATTTTCGTCATCTCTTCTTAGTGTACATAGTATACGGAGTATACTGCCTATACACGGCGATATTCAGCTATCCGCACGTATCCCCTCATCCTCCAGTTGGTCTCATACCACCCCTTCTGTGATCGGATCAGATGCCCAACCCTGCTTGCTCCCTTAGGCTAACTGTATACGCCTGTCCATTTCCTACCCAATCCACTGCCTGGCTTTCATCGCTTTTTCGCCGTTGGTGTGCCCGATGTCCCATGCGCCGTCAGACTATTCGAGTCGACCATCCATCGCGATGATAAACATGATACACGATGCATCCAATCAGGCCAGCCAGTATTCATCATCTGAGGTCGATGGTCTGATGACCGGTATACAAGCGAGTCCAAGCGACTGATGTTGGTCGACGTTTGCCTGATCTTCGGATAACTGGTTGGTAATGCCAAATAATATTAGTGGAATCTGGGGAATATGTGGTGCTGCGGGCGGGAACCGCCTCTGTTCCGCGTCTCCCCAGTCCACAACGCCCCCCAACGGGCCCGGATCTAGCGATCATGTGAGTTCATGATACACATGTCGACAGAAGTAAGCACGGAATTCGAAACTTCTTCCCTACATGGTTTCATGTCATCAGTTTTGTATACAGATATTATATTGCCCTCTGTTATGGTCCCGGGGCCCGTAGCCTGGGCCCTTGAGTATGGCTGACGCCACAGGGATGTGGCTAGTGGGTGGCATGGAGGATTATCAAGGAGATAGTCATATGGGAGCTGTGTTAAGGAGCTGTGTTAGGATAGCAGAGAGAAGAGTTTATATCTCGCGCACAGAGGGGCTGGGAGATTTCTTCCTTCTCTCTCTTCAGTTTAGATCAACGAAACTTGGTAATCGCAGATCTTGCGCATCTAGACCGTGTCACCCTCCGCTAATTCACGAAAAGGGTCGAACGTGCTATAGACTAGCACTTGTCTCCCTGCTTCGCAGGATATATGGTTAATCACAGGTTTTGCTCCAATGAAAAGTCGCCTGTCAGTCGCCATCGTGTCTCTTCTTTTTAAGGCCACTCCTCTACGCAGTATGCCTTGGTTGTTAGCATAGCCACCTAACCGCGTTAGCATCCGCAGATGTCGTTCGGCATGAACCGAATATGAACCCGCCGTGATCAAGGAATCCTAGGGAAATGCCCAAATGCGGGGAACAAGTTGAGATCTGGAAACATCCCCGTTGCCAGAGTCGATTTTACGAGTTCGACGCTTCGAGGCTGTGCGCCTCGAGGCCGCCATTCGAGCCAACACGCAACACTCTGTTCACTCAGGGTTCGTCAAGCGCGATTGCGGCAGCTTCGCAAGGCTCGGGTTCCGGATGCGAGGGCTTCCATCAAGCCAGGCCACTGATTACTGGGTAGGGCATGATTGCATGAGACAACCGATGTCGAGGACTTGAGAGGTTGATCTCTCCTTACATAGTAAGGTGACTACATTCGGCAAGAGTTAACACTTCAGAGTTCAGCCTCGCCCTAATACATTGTTCGCGTTGCCGTCATCAACCGTAGATATCCTAACCAATCTGCTTGCTCGCTGAACGACAAACACAGTGATATGCATGCCCTCGCGAGTAGCAACTTGCCAACACGTTTCTGGATTCTTGAATCTCGAGGGTGTCCGATCGGCATCCCGCTCCGGTTGCGGAGGTACCAGTCTATTGTAAACATGCATAAAGAAACCATACAATCAATGAACTTGTCCTCCACTTCCCTATTACATGTAGTAACCTCGAGGACCACATGCTTTTATTGATGGAACAGTCGTTGCTGTTGCCATCTTCGGAGCTGTCATAACTTTCGTGCTGGACACGGAGCCAATTGCCAGACCATCTCGTGTAACGCCTTAGGGGTTATACCAATGAACATGTTCTCAGTCGGACAGTAGGCTAGAAGAGCAGGCAGGCCCAGTATGCGTTCGATGCCAGTATGGCACCCTTTAGTCCCTGTATTTCCTGGGACTGAGTGGAATCCAAGATTTGTAGACCGGTGTCAGGCCATAAGGCCGAAAATATGAGGATATGGACTGACTGCACTGACCGGACCAGTGACGTGGGAACCACACACATGGCGATGCAGCTTTACTTCCTCTCTCCGACGAGAGAAATAGTCGTGCGCTCGATTTCTACCCATCTGAGCATTCGACCCACCCGAGCTTGGTTTCATGACCCCAGTGAGGAGGGACCCTCATGAAACCAGCTGCATGTCTTCATGGACGCTTGGCAAATGCGGTTGGACTGGGAAAATGACACACGACTTCAACAATCAACTGAACGGGTAGAGCGCACATGAACTGTACAGCAAAGAACCGTACGGCCGATAAGCATGTCCATGAGATTCATTACCAAACCCAACTTTCTAACCGTCCTGTGAGAGCGAAGGTCAGTGGTCGTGATCATCTTCATCCCAGCCACTTTCATGATCGCTTGGTGATTCATCATGATCCTCCTCCCACCCGTCTCCTTCCAGGTCCGGACTGCGAATGCCCCAGCTTAGGAGGAATCCCAGGAAAGCGATGCCCGCAAAAACACCGAACGGCATCGCCTCGCCTTTCGGATGCAATCTCGTGGCGGCGGAGAACAACGCCCCGGAAACAAATGGGCCGACCGCTCGTCCGCCTGATGCTAGTGTTTGAGCCAGGCCGTTAATCTGGCCGAGGACCGCGTGTGATGGGGCCGAGTTAGTGATCTGGTGGGGTCAGCTGGTGATAGCGGCGCATGTCGTCACGGCCAACTTACGAGGAGAAGAGCACTTGTTAGCCCGCCAACGGCTGCCACGGTCTTGATGACGAGAATGGCTCCCAACTCGACCCAGAGCAGGAGTTTGCCTTCACTCATGCCTGCGTAGCGCCCATCCGAAGATGTCTTGTAGCCCACCCATGGCATCAACAAGAAAGCGGCGACGAAACCGGCTATGCTGACTCGGTACGACGCCCTATTCCCTAGCTTGTCTCTCAGGCGACCGTAGATGCCCACCTGAAATAGGATGGTCACAAGCCCAGAGAAAGACAGAGACAGGCCCACCTCTTGTGTGGAGAGGTCTCGTCCGGTGGGGGCTTTACCTTCTCCAAAGATCGGATACAACGTGTTGTATGCCACATTGGAAAGCGAAAATACAAGGTATGTCAACAGCAGAAGGACGGTATCGCGATTGAAAATATCGCGGTACGTGATCTTATCCATTGAGGTTCCTGGGAGAAGCCCCGAATATTCGTCGGGATCCTGAAGGTCATCCGAACCACCATTCCGATAATGGTTCAGACGAGCCCCGTGCCGTTCGCGCTGTGATAACGTTCTCACATATGACGGTCGGTGCGAGCCGCCAGCGAACTGCCATATCCAGGCGAAGAGGTTTCCAATACGTTTGGGAAGAGGGGGTTGATCGCGAGCCGCTTCGTGGCTCTCTTCGAGGAGCCAGCATGCGAGACCGAAATCGACGAGGAGGATCGTGGCGGAGAAGATGTTCGGCGGCAAGTACGGATACGTCCCCCAGAATCCGTCATCGTCATCGACCAGGTTCACCAACATTCCGCCCACCGTCGGACCGGTGATTCCACCGAGGCCATAGACGACCGGAAGGTATGTAAACGCCCGTCCTTGATTGCTTCGATCCGTGAGTTCGCCTAAGACCGTGCTGACGACCCCTTGGTTGCCATTGACTAGGCCCATGAGCGTCTGAACCGCAATTGCGGCGCCTAATGTTTTGCAGAAGCCGAATCCCGCGAAGCACGCGGCCGTCATCACGGTCCCAAGAAGTATGACCGGCTTCCGCCCGATGCGGTCGGAAAGTAAACCCCAAAAATATCCCGACGCACATTGCGCTAGCGCGAACGCGCTGGCGATCAAGCCAACGTACAGGCCGACGGTTGCCTGTGACACCCCGGGAAACCCAAGAGCCATCGCAGGGAGGTATGGACCGATGCTGTTCAGCGCGGTCTGTTCAGCCAGAGCGATGACCCCGAGGATCGCCAATTGCTTTTTCGGAAGAGGGGTTTCATCGTGGGGTTGTCCATTCTCATGGTTGGCATTGCGGGTGCTCGAATCCTGCGATCTCAGGCGTGAGTGAGGAGGTCCTTTTGAGGAGGGTGGATTCGTTGGAAAGGTTTGATAGTGAGGAGTGGACGACTCGCGCCGCGAAGGATCAAAAGCATCATCTGCGGCCTCCATGCTCCAAAAGATCTGTTTCAACAAGTATTAGGAAATTGATAGGCCGTATGAATCAGAACTGGACTGGAAACAATCAATCATGGGCTGTCAATCTCTTTTCACCCAAAGAGCATGGTGTGTCGTGCGAACCGGTCAATATTAAATAAAGGCGGCAGGTGAAGAACCAGGACAGGGCAACTGGCAATCCTTATCATGCGACTGGAACTGTTAACTGCGGAGTTAATGCCATAATGCTTGGAATTTGGGCCACGAAATACAGGCAGTCAATTGGGCCTGGATGGAAGAAATGTAATACATTGCGATTGCTTACAGAGTTACTTACTTGTACCTGGGCCAAAAAAAATCCGCAAACAGCTCCTCCGGAATGACGAAGCGGTTCAGGCCAAGGAAATCCTGCGCACATGCCTTTCGATGTCATCACTTCACAGGGCTTGTCACGTGCTCATCCTATTCTCAGCTAGCTAGTCATCATCCGTCTCCACTCTCCACATCCGGTCTAATTCAAATCTGATTTATGCACGTGACCACTACTTCTTCAAGTTGAAGTAGAACAGTTCAAGCCCTAACTTATAACTATATGTATGATATTGGTCCTAGTTAAGGGATTGATCCTTCAGACAAGAAGTTCTAGTGCTAACTTAGGCTGAGAGCAGACATACAACTGTGCAGGCCATGGGAAAGAAATGTACAATGCCCGTCCCCTACCAGTCGTTGATGGCACTTTGTACTGTTCCCTCGCTCAACGCTGGCTGATGTGTATCTGATAATTCATACTTGGTACTCCGTATTGATCAAGATCTGACACTCGCAAATTTCCGTTTGTTACAACCGTCCCTTAGGGGGAGTTTGAAAGATGGTTAATTGTGTGAATTGAATTGCATATCCTTTGTTACTTCTGTCACTGTATGACTGGACTCTCGTGTGTACTCCGTTCTGACACAGAACAAACTCTCTGGCAGGGCTCCGTCTTGGCAGAGACTCCGTGAACGGCACACCAACCGAAGATTTCGGTCCTCACGCGCCGTAATCCAACTCGAGATGCAGACTGGGAGGTGAACGTCCAGCTGCAAGTGTCTGCATTATTTAATGGTCGAAAGTCCCTCCCATTTCCACGGTTCTCCCGGATATCCCCACAGTTCTCGACAATTCGCTCATTTGAGGCGTCGGATCTTCGGTTGAACCGCATTAGCTGACCTAGCTCTATCTATTCCAGTACTTCCAGGGAGACTCACTCGCAATGTCTACTCAGCCATTATTCTCGTCGTCGTTAATATCACCGACTGTCCTCGCTTCCCTCCCCGAAGGCTACACCTGTCGGCCCCTACAGAGGGACGACTTCCACAATGGCTTCCTGGATGTCCTTCGAGTGCTGACGACGGTCGGAGATATCAGTGAATCGGCCTTCAACGAGCGGTACGATTGGCTTTCCAAGCGCAGCGATGAATACTTCCTGCTATGTATAATAGATGGCAGTGGGGGGATAGTGGGCACGGGAGCCTTGGTCGTGGAGAGGAAATTGTATGCACCTTCTCCAAACCCCCTGAACTATCAAGGCCGGGCGACTAACGTGCTGCAGCATCCATTCGTTAGGGCTCGTCGGCCACATTGAAGACATTGCGGTCGCGAAAGATCAACAGGGCAAGAAGTTGGGTTTGCGAATCATTCAGGCGTTGGATCACATTGCAGAGCAAGTTGGATGCTACAAGGTACCAGCTCCACGCCATTCGGTTCTCCTGACCTTAGCTAACGCCGGACCAGGTCATCCTCGATTGTTCGGAAGCCAACGAAGGATTCTACATTAAGTGCGGTTACAAGCGAGCAGGCCTCGAAATGGCCCATTATTTCCAAGCGCCCAAGAGTAATGCATAGACGATAAACACAATGGTGTGTGATTAGAGGTCAATATTAGACGGTCATCCTATGGTATCTCCTGTTTCCCTACCTGCGACAAAGGATCTTCGGCGGTGTAGGTCGGCTGGATTGTATCACGCTCGGATATGGGAATCCCGCCAATGTTCAATAGACATTTATGACTTCCTACGGCTTGGAATCCGGCATGTCGAACAGCTCCGTTAGCTCAGTGCTGGAATCAATCAAGCGATCTTCACGACAGTCATTATGAGCTGTGTGTCTGCTACTGAACTTAGATTCCGCCTGCCTCTTAAGACCCTCCTCCCGCTTTCTTCGACGCCTTTCCTCCTGTCCCTCGGCTGCTACCTGATTCTGAGCATTATGATTTGAGCCAAGGCGACCGTTCCGAAACAGCCCCTGTGAGAATCTTTCGATCCTTTTTGAATTTTCCGCAAAGCGTTTCTCGGAGACTAGTGCTATGCAATTGAGGTAGCTTTCATCCACCAAGGTGAAGAGTTCACCAGTGTCTGGTTCCTCGAAGCCGATGATCGAGTCAAGGCTCAACCCTGCTGAGCGAACGGCTACAATAGGCATATAAGTCCCATCCGGTTGCGGATTAAGGGTGGCAATGCCGCTCTCTCGAAAGCCGGCCTGCAAGGCAGACGACGTGACGGACTCGGCATGCTCTAGCGATGCTGCGAGAACATGAAGGATCTATTTCTCGAATTAGTAGAGTCGCAACCTAGGAAAGCATAGGTATCCTGCCAACATACAAAGGGTTCGAATTTGAAATGTATGAGTTTATGAGATTGCGGTAAGACCTTAGGGGGTTCTTTCCCATGCGATAGTTTCAAAAACGTGTGAAAATCGTCAACTTTGGGGAGTGTGCTGAAGGGGCAATGAGAGACAAATAACCATCTGCCACCCCCTTTCCCGCCGGAGTAATTGGAAACTGTGCCAGCGTCGGCAGTCGAAGGAGTCCGTCTACCTTCGAGGAATACGCTTACACGGCCGGAGCAGCTGCTCGTAGTAACCAGCCCCGAAGACTTATTGATGTTTGAAATCAATTCCCGAATCTCCGCGTCTATAGACCCTTTGGGGGATAGGTCGGAGTACTCATTTGGAGGCTTATCAAGTTCCTGGAGAATCAGGCTTTTTTTCTGCTCGAAAAGTCCCATGATTGGATCTGGCACGCTTTATCTCCTGCGCGGTTTCGATAACTGATGGTGAGTGAAAATATATCCAAGTACGCGATTTTCGCGTTCGGCCTCTGCTTGGTTGCCAAGTGTTAATGAAGCCAATTCGGAGTTGATGACTGCGGCGGGAACTGTGAGGGTGGTGCAGCAACAAGAAGTCTGGCGATTCTTGGTTACAGGTAGAGTTTCGATATATCTGCGCCAGGACTTTGGCGAATTCTGGTGGAAGTGTGCTGGTGAAATAGGGAATTGTTGCACTAATTAATATCATATTCTCAGGCGGGCTATGGATACCTGGCCAAAGCGTCTATCACAGGTATCCAATCGGTATCACTCAATGACGACTTCACCTCCTTTACATGAGTACTGACTTCTTTACGGAATACCCATCTGCACTTTATCTTCTCTTACTCGCGATTCGAGCGAACCAATCATTTAAACTAATATATTCTGGCTACGGATTGGATACTTTCACACGACGCGTATGTTGGATATCTGGACACAGCATGGCCCGGAGGACAACTATGAAACCGAGCCTTGGAAAGGCCCAACCGAAAAGAGATTTGGATGATCCCACTGGCGCAACTTCCCTGCCGAAGCGACCGAAAAGAAGTTCAACGACGCTGACCAAGAGCAAATATTTCGAGAGCGAGGATGCAGGGGAAGAATCGACGGACAGTCTATCGTCGGAGGCCAAGGACGAGCCCGGGTATGAAGATGATTCTGCACAATCAGAGTTGTCGGACGAGCCCGAAGACTCGGATTTTTCGGAAGAAATCGAAGCCCCCAGCAGAAATGTTCGCAAAGGCCAGAGTAACAAGCAACCGGCTGCAATAAAGAATGCTCGCAGCAAGCAAGACCTGGGGAAGTCAGGGGCGAAGACCGGGTTGGGTCCTGGAACGCAGGTCATCATGAAGAAACCAAAGGCCAGAGATCCTGGGGATACACCCTATTCAAACGACATTATTCATCCAAATACGATGCTGTTCCTCCGAGACCTGAAGCAGAATAATAGTCGGCAATGGTTGAAATGTGGGTCATCCCTATGTCTTTACTCACCCTCCATGACCTTCTCCCACTACATCCTTTTCCAAAACACACTATCGAATCTCTGCTGCTCTAGCTTTATGGTCACTATTGAACGTGACTAGATCCGAGCACGGAGGCACTTCTCACAGATTGGAAAGCAGCTGGCATGCAACTACCGAAAGAAAATCACTTGTCGCGATAGGGGATAAATCTTTCCTGTCTTACGCACAACTGACAGGAGCCTACTAGCGAATGATCCCGATTATCGAACATCCTGGAACGATTGGTTGACTTACTGCGAAAGCCTGACTGAGCGAATCGCTGAGGTAGACGACACGATCCCTGAGCTCCCAGTCAAAGATCTCGTAAGACGCCGATCATTGTAACATCATCGGATCAGCCAAGACTAATAGGACAAGGTCTTCCGTATTTATCGAGATGTACGGTTCTCGAAAGATCAGTCTCCTTACAAGGTCAGAAATCAGAGTGTCTTGGTCTGAGGAGAAGCTAATTGCAAGCGTAGACTGCATTTTCCGCTGCATGGTAAGAAATTCTAGCAAGTTGCAGTTGGTCGTGTTAGTTCCTATGCTCATCTGGATCTCAGGTCTCGTACCGGGAGAAAGGGTCCATATGCGGCATACTATGTTGAGGTCAGCCCCGGAAATAGTTTTGTCGGTAAGTCGAATCTTGATTGTTCCCTTATTCAGGCAGGCCCAAGGATCATGGTTTCATTCTCGGGTCGCTATTCCGAGGTCTTCGATCAAAACTTCCATCGCGAGGCCATGAAGGGGTATTATTGAGCCTACCAGTGAAGGTAGCGGATGTTCCATCATCCCCCTAACCTCAACGACATTGAGAGGGGCATAATTTGGCCCTTCTCATGAGAATCTCCGCCTCCCATCAAAGCTCTTGGCTGCAACTCGAGGAGATTCACATCACTATAAAGCGTTCTGTCTTTTAGCTGGGCGTCTTTGGCGCTTAACTCCCACGATTGGGCCGCCCAAGGTGCTCTGGACGAGCATTGTCGACCCAAAATCAGTGATCGCGAGGAACCGTTTGGACTGAGAAGCGTGTATTCCGACACCGAACTTGTGATCCATCAGAGGGGATGGCAGACCGATGCAGCGTACCAACAGATCAACAATGTTGAAAACCGATGCATCATCGCTCTAGTACCAAGCTCATGAGCCAAACCCTCATGGCAACCCGATTAAGGCCATGGCGAGTCCCGTTCGCCTCTGCACGGAATACATGGTCGATGTCGCGGGTCGGTTGCCACGAACTTTTGCACCGTGGTGGATCCGTAGCAAGTCTTCCACCGGAACGACGTCGATGATTGGGAATCCGAACGAATACATAAGCCTGAGGATATTGTGGATTTTTATCTGAGGCCCCCTCCCTTGTTCTATGCGGATATATGTTCGAGATACGGAGGATGTGATTGCAAGGCGTCCTAGGAGCATCGCAGGAGTCAAATCAGTGGCTTACCATTACCAATCGAGTGACGGCATCCGGCACTCCTTGGCGACCTTGATAAATGGCTCGCCAACTGTTAAAAATCAATGAGACTAAGAGCCTCCAGCTAACATAAACTCGCAGCTGGAGGGTTGTGGATGCCCGAACCTGGACCACTGGCAGCTCTGCGACGCGACGTTGATCGAAGACCGAACCGGATCAAGACGGTGCTTCGCGATGCTCGATTCCGAAAAGAGTTCCTTAAAGGCCCTCCGAACGATGATAAGAATATCATCAAAGCCTTCGCGGCGGCCAACACCGAGGGCGCACTGAAGACAAAACCTAAGGTTAGTCGCATTTCTTCGGGAGTCAGGCGGTGCTTGCATTGTTGCTTTTGATTAGCTCCGGTCAATGCTTTCTATGGGTTCGCTGGAAGGACCAAGTACTACATGATTTCACCACTGTTGCCCATCGGGATATCGTCGTCTACATTCACTCCGTTGGCGGGTGATGCTATTGGGAAAAGCGTTCCAGAGAAGTGAAACAAGGGAGTAGGAACCTTATATTCACGGACATTTCTGGACTGACGAAGCAAATCCCTTGGGGCTATTGAGAATCGAGTTTAGTGCCTTTGGTGATGGAAGAACTTCTAACTGGTTTGCACCATACGGTGCGGTCACAACCAGCCGGGTGCTTGGAACTTTCCAACAATGCCATTTCCCGGGCAGTACCTCGACAGTTATCTTGACACACCTCTAGATCCTCATTAAGATTGTGTGAAACACACGAAGGACGGTGGTGAGACTGGAGTTTCGGTGGAACGCGCAGATATCATGGATCCAAACAGTGTCTCTAGGGGCGCAGCACACTTGACAGTGCGGTCAAGGATTGTTCTCGACTATCGATCCATTCTTGACATCGCGCAGTGGGATCGTATATGACTAGACGCTCCGAAGGCGCCTAGCTCTCCATCCTACACATACTCAAACCCTCCGAGAGCTCGTGTGGTCCGATGAACACTTTTCTTACGAAGCTACAAGACAACTCCCGAAGATTGCTTTTGATATCACAAGATTGAACCATTGGAGATACTGACGGGTAATTGCAGGGCTATAACAACGACCATCCAGACCTTGAATTGCTTCGCTTGCGTTCCTACACCGTCGGGAAGCGGATACCCGACGGAGACGTCAACTTGGACAGCATGACGGAGCTGATTTCGTCCCTAGTACCATTTGTACGTATCCTCGATCTCCCAACAATACACCCGGTGCATGTGCCCTTGTCGAGGATTACACAGCTCAGTCTCAATGCGTGTGCACACTGTTCGACGGAGCCGTGTAACCTTAAAACGCGGAGATGCAGCATGTTGGGCGAGGTCATTTGAAGCGGCTGCTGTGTCTCCCGGGGATGCTGCCCTACGATGTCGAAGCCCGTTATCCCCGTTGCTGCGGCACCCTTGCTTCGACAGATGCGTTGGCTCTGCTTTCGCCAGAACGTTGCTGGCGAGCGGCGTCGTGCGAATCGGCTGGATGAAGGCTCGGCGGCAAAGCAAGCGAGGCCAACGCATCAGTTCCCTAATCCGGAGTCCGGAGTCGTGCAGCACACACACCCCGCATTCAATACGCGACCTTTTGAACCCAACCAAGACGACACAGGCAGGCTAATGATGAGGTTATTTGATAGATCACATACTTGAACAGCGTTGTCATGCCTGATGGTGTGGATGAGGAGGAAGATTCCGATGACATGGATGACGAGGGTTGAGTCGGCCAGGACAGAAATAGCTACCACCTCCAACTTTTTGGATCTGCTCGTCAGCGTTGGGCGTGGCAGAATATAGCGTTCAAATTTCTATCTATCATTGAACAGTTTGCTTCTACCCATCCCACTTCAGTTACAAGCCACAACCCGACTACATCAACCTCAAGGCTCAACGGCAGCCAGTCTCAGGAAGCAGGGCATACCAAGAATATTCATATTATTGGGAGAAGTGCTTCCGGTGAAAGAAAGTCGGTCAGCGACGGCGATCCGGGCAGCATCGGGTGACCATGAGTCGGCAGCGCCTAGACAACGGCTTCACTTTCAGCGTTCAGGATAGCCCCAACAACTACTATCGAGAAGATTGCAGAAACGATGGATGATGGAAGAGGTGATTTGCCCTGTGCCACGTCAATCAATGCATGCATCCCCTGTAGGTGTCGGGAGTCCACGCAGTATATTGAGTACTCGAACGGAACGAGGTGGCAGCGCCGTGCTGTACATATTCATTATTCAGTGATATATCCAGTGACATATTCCATAATTAACTTCCATTGTTATCGGGATGAGTGAGGCGTGAGAGCATGGGACGCCAATCTCAGGTCGCAGGCTCACAGCGTCTCACCCATTTTTCCGGATTTTTTTCTGGGGACGAGTTCGAATTAGCTCGACGGGAAGGTCACGTGCTTGATCCCGCCTGCATGCATCGACCCGTCCCGGTTGTTGTCCAGTTTGCCCACACGACACGGAAACGAGGGAGCCAGTCAGAAGCCGCCGACAACTTCTCCCTGTCAGCTGGGCGAGACAGCGCTAGGAAGATGCAGATGAAAAGTCATGGATTGAGAGTCATGGACGTGGACAAGGATCAGCGCGTGGTGGGTGTCTCCAGTTTACAGCGCCGAATACCACCGGAGCAGAGACATTCTGTTTTACAGGCTAGGGCCCGCCGGCGACATCCCGCACAGGGCGATTTGGTGTAGTGGCCCTGCACCGATAGTAGTCCCTAGATTAGGGGTATTTAGCACTCGAAACCGAGCCAGTCCGACATCTCACCGTCAGCGCCACCTAGCAACTTCCACCCCCGCTGTCAGCTCACTGCTCAGTGCTCACATCTGTCTTAGTCTCATAGCTCGTCTCCATCAGCCTTTTGCCGCTTCTGCCGATCCTGCCCGATTCCTTGCAGAGCTGGACCTTTCGGCTTTGGAGTTGGGCAGTTGGATCACTCCACACTGGGACTGGGTCCAGAATTTGGAACATTGGAACACTGGGACATCCGCTGCTGGCCTGCTGCCGTACTATGCCGCCTGCCGCGTACCGCCCGCCTCCCGCCGTCCACAGCCCAGTATCCGCCGTCCCGCTCTACGCCAACTCTCCTGTTCATTCCGAAGAGACAGGGAAACCGACATGGTGATTCTTGCTGGTCTCGGGGACCTTAGTCAACAGTCTTTTCGCGTTGAGTCCTGCACTCGGGCTGGAGTTGGGATTTTGGATGCGCTGTGTAAAACCTGGTACTTTCACGAGGGAAATTGAGGGAAATTGAGCGGCGTCCTGTCCAAAACGTGCGCCAATGGGAATTATTGAGTCGGGTTTCTTGCAGATTGCTGATCTCTCTCTCGCTCTCGCCTTCCGTCATCAGGAGGGGGAGCTTTACCCGCGACGTGCATCGCATCCGCAATCCCGCATGCATTCATTGCATTGTGAGCGTCTACGCGGCGCAATCCCCGTTCATGGCGCCCGTTCCACGGTTACACAAACCAAGCTCAACACCCTCGTCAATATCAATGTGTTTTCCCTACTTCAGGAACTTAGAATCGACTCATTCGAGCATTTGATCCAACTGATGGGGTGTGGTCGACCGTTGTCCAGCATCGCGACACGGCCGAGCCCAGTCGAGGTGTCTGGAGCAATCCTGTTGGAAGTCCGAACTTACCAGTGCCTGATTATCCCGATTTATACGAATCTCAAGGGTGTATCAAGGGTACCTCGGGCGGTCGATGGACCGGGCCGCGCCCGCCAGAAATAAATAGAACTTGGAGCCTCGGACGGACGATGACACGAGGAATTACCAGTCCGGTCCTCCTCTCATTTCTTCCTTCCCCTTGCTCAGGAATTATAGTTTGGATGCTCTGCTCACTTCTGGCTGCCGCTGAGCGGTGCTACACTGGCTAGCGCCAGGGACTGATGCAAGACCATACAGCATACGGAGGATCCGTATGTGATGGGATACGTCCATGGCCTCCCCCGGGCCCAATCCAGAGCTCCGTGCCACCGTTAATTCTTCTGATGCTGTGCCGCAACCGGACGATTGCGATATGCGAAGCGCATCGCCTCAATCACAAAGGGATGTTAGTTTCTGTCCCGCACTAACGGTTCGACCAGAAGCAAGCCATGGAAAATAGATTAACAGCCTCTTGAGTCTTGTTGCCACTCGATGCTTGTGGAACGACACCCTTGGCTACAGCGGGTTGACGTCGCAGCCTCCAAATTGAGCCTGGTCGACCTAATAAAATGACTACTTATCTACAGAAACATGGTATGCAGATAGTATGTACTATTCTTGGTACGTATCGCATTTTCGTTTCGTGTTTGTGACTCCGAACGGTCGAGACTCTGCCCTTGATTGACTAGGTCAAGCGGGTGACAACGACTGTCGACTCTCGAAGTCTCGAGATAGGATATCTTTCTGTGCCTGTTTCTGCTCTGACACTGTCTGTTCGCACCTATCATAGCCTTCATCATACGGACACGGTATAATAGAAGTGTTAGCAGGCGGATGGAGGCTATGCGGGATGTAAGCCTTCATTGCTTTGCCCTGATGTGATTCCAGGTTTCACCTAAGACTCCATCCAGTGCTCTCTACAAGGACTGGACCTCCATGCATACAGGGCTTGCGAGTTGCAAAAGTCCCACAGCGTAAGATTAAATTCATGCAATCCTTCAAATGCAGCCACTGGACCGCATATCGTTTTGACATCCACCCGGTGAGCCGCGCGGTAATTGCGGTGTCACATCAACACATTTCATCCACATTCAACAGGATATACTTGTGACCCGATCAGGGATGCCTAGGATTATATCATGCAGGTAAACGGAAATACTGTTACCCCCACAAAACGTTTTCGTGTAACGGTGTAACCGATCCCCAAAGCCTGGACTTCGAAGCACCAGACTTCGCTACCGGTCTGTGTACAAGTACAATATCGCTCCGGCCCGTATCGAGCTGTCTCACCTAGCTCCAAGCAGCCAACTGGTTACGGTGTTTGTTGGAGCCACACAGCCCAACCTCCACGGATATCCTGTGTGACATGGACGGTCCGTGGTGAACATACTGTGCTTGCCGGCTCGTTGATTGTCTGTCAGTGTGAAATCGTTTGTTAATTGGGAAATTCTAGTCCGCCTGTTGTGGTCGTCAGGTGGTACACATACCTCAAATAGGGTAGTTAGGAAGCATATGGAAATCTATGCTTCCTCATATTGAAATGTTTTAGCTAGGGCATCCGATCCGCTACGGCTAGGAATATGGGTATCTATCAATGTTGGATTTGATGCCACCAAAGCGTGTATCCAGCAGGCTTGGCTTGATTACCGGTATGGGTGTATTTTCTCACGATGGTCGCTGTCGGATGGTCAGTGTCTCTCTCACCCTTTGCCGCCGTCCAACATACAACTCAACACAGTGCGGCGAGGTCTCCTAAGAGCTGAGATCGCCACTCACTCTCTGGGTTCACCATCCATGATCCACCCCTCGTACGTCATCGTATTCTTTGTCATCCCTGCGCGGCGTTTTCCCGGCGAGATTTTCAAGACCTTTGAGTGGATGACCAGATGACCTTTCATGGCTCCATCACAGCAATCCATGCCTCCACGCCTTCCATGGTCCATCGACCTCGGCGGCTCGGAGCACCCCAAGGTGGTCAAGTGATGTTTGCATTCGGAATGTCTCGCAGGGCCAGGGAAGCTGAATTCACTCGAAAGTCACACCGCTTTCCATAGCGGAAGAATCTCCCAACCGTACGGCGTGATGTTAGTGGTCCAAACCCGACGGCCACCAACATGCCAACGCGACCAGACAAAACCAATCCACCCTTCGACCTGGCCAATCGCGATCCCAGGACCGCTTCTCGCCCACGATGGGGGCCTGTCAGGGCCCTAGAAATTCGTCGGATCACCCGATTCGTCGGCCTTTTTACCTTTTCTCGCCGAGCACATTGGTCGGAGGGAATGCAGCGTAGCGCGACGCCATGGACGATAGGCTTGCACCAGGTCCAAGGTACTCGTACCATGGTGACCCGCCTGCGGGATTTAGTTTCGGTTTTCTGTGAGATTTCTTGACTCGTCGAGTCGTGGTCCGTTCACCATTTGGGGTTTCGTGGTGATATTAGCTAGTTATTGAGGCAACGTACTCTGTAGTCCGGGCATGGCATTGGAAGAACGCTACATGGATAATACGGTACTACTGTGCCCCAGACCTGGTTTGCCGATCCAATCTCATCTTCGCAGTTCGCACAGCTCCGTCAAGTGTCAACCCATCCATCGAGCCAGGCACTTCCCAGGATGAACAAATTGAAGTTTGAAAGCATTACACACGTTTTTCGACCAGCCAAAACACTGCATCCACGCAACAGCGGCTATGCGCGGTAGTCGTTCCTCTCCATCCCTGCTGCGTGCTCCGCATGTAACTGCGGTCGTACTACCACCGGTCAAATAACAAATTCCACCTTCCATGGGTTTCTCTGCAGAGTGCAACCAATATCTCGCCGCAGGGAGTACCCCATGTTGACAAAATCGGTGAGGGATGTAGTCACCCCTTGTGTCTTTATTTCGATAGGCCCCTTCGTCCAGCTGATCCGTTGATCAAGGGTGAGCGATGGACCTGCGATGGAGCGATGGAGCGATGGAGCGCCCACGAAGGCTCCATAAGCCCAGCGGACTCATTCTCGATATGCTCGTTTAGGGATCGCGAGGGGGCAAGGGCGCCGTTATACCATGGAACGCACAACGCTCCGGCTCTCCTAGGTGGCGTGGTTAGCGGCGAATCTAAGTGCTGGTCCGTCCCGTTGAAGCTGATCGGCTGGAACTGAATCGACTTGGTGGAACGAACCATCGACGGACAGAAAAGGTACGGTACGGACGGGAAATGTCGCTTCGGTGACAGCATCCCACCGGCACCGGCACCGACACCGCCCATTTGAATCAGTAAGCAATGTTGGGGACGGAGAATAGAACGGATCATTGCGTGATGGTCTGGAGGTGACCAAATATTAGTCGCCGTTCAATCCATCATGAATCTCTCCCGGCTGACCACAGAATTTGCCTTCCCCAGTCTCGAACTCATCGTTATAACTAATTTCAGATTCCAGCGATGACACCGATGCACGGGATAGGTCGAAACGTGTGGAGACGGAGGGGAAAGAAATCCTTAAAGCGGATGTGCCCAACTCCCAAATGATCCTACCTAGGGACGGAGTGACCGAGACCCGTTCGATTTTCTATATTATAGGTACCATCCGGTCCCTTATTGGCCACTGCCTCCTTCTGCCCCTGGCCTCTTGGTGATCGACGGATCAAAACTCCTACCAAACTTCAGAACTCATGAGCAGGGACTTCCATGTCCTGATGTTCAGTGACCACGAGGGACGACGGATGAATAGTGCCGGCACCTCGCGGGATTTTTTCGCCAGCAAAGGGTCATGGATTGTGAATTGTAATTGTAGCAGTGACTGGACCTCCAGGGTCTCCTCCACGGTTAGCATGGGCAACGTAGTTATAATAATATCAAGCAGTGTATCCGTACGCTTGTTGGGCAAACCAAACGCCTAACCGCGCTTGTGGCGGTGGTGGACGGTGGTCGATGATCCATTGTGAGATTTTTGACTGCCTCCTTGGAGAGAGTGGATGAGCAGGCGGATCATTGGGTCGATTGACGCAGTAGTGGACTCTCCGTGCCTCACCAACTGAGCTCGGCGAATCGGGAATATGCATATATGGAGTGGTCACGGGTTGCTGATCTCGCCACTCAGGCACTTGGTCTCATCCAAGACGATGCAGAGCAGTTGGAAACTTGGAATCTGGGCTGGTGGAGAGATAGAACCAATATGAAAATGCAGTTGGACGGTCTTCCCCCTTCGGTCTTCACCGCTGAGAGAGCCTACTGGGTAAGGACCGAGGAACAGTGCAGTAGTGAACTCGTCACAATGCATCCAAGCTAATATTTCAACATATATCGACAATCGACATTTCATCCATATTAGCTACCAAGATACATCTCAACTGCTAAACCGCATACTCCAGAGGGTCTAATTAGGGAGAGTTTAGGGTGCAGGGAGCCTGTACTTGTTGCAAAGCTGCCTGGTTACGGGCCACCCCTCCGTCCCTAGAGGTCCTTGATGGGTGTACGATCCATATACAATACCCGACTAATCACCTGTAGTCTCTTCCCCCCTATCAAACCCAAAAGCTGCACGGCGGCAACTCGTCGGTCCTTCCCGTTGGCTCTGTGCGCAACTGTGCAGATGGGATGGAATTATAGTCACCTAAGCTAATTATTCCATACGTTGATACGTAGCTGATACCTCTAACTTCTTCCTCTAACCTTTTCCTCTAAGACCGATCCATGGCTACTCCCATCCACGTCCCGTCACGTCCGTCTACCGTCCCCTCTACCGTTTACCGTCCACCATCTACCGTCTATTTCGTACCCGTAGTCCATAATATGACTCCATAATCCGTACCGTATCCCGTCCATTAGGCATCTCCCGTCTATCCGCTCTCCCGCTGCCCAACCTTTTCCCCAATTCCTCTGCGTTCTTTTCCCATTAACCCGCCATTCGGGACTGGGGACACGCTTGAACCATATTTCTCTTCCTCTCCCTCCCCTCGATTTCCGAGCCTACGCTTCGCTCTCCCTCCCTCCGTCTCTCCACTCGTCCAGTGGTCAGTCATCACTACTAGTCTGGTCACTTGTCATCCTTCATCCATTTCAACTAGAATCCATACGCACCATTCATCCATCCATATTCCCTCCATCTCTTCTTCTAACTTCTTTATCCACCCTCCCTCTTTATTTATTCACCAACCAGATTTCTTCTTTTCGACACTCCATATCCCTTCGTCTTACATCAATCATCCCACGACTCAGATTCCATCCAATCCTCCTATCCTTCATCCTGTCTGGTCTCCATTCAGCTTACCGTCGCACCCGTTCCGTCTCCTTTGCCCGCTACCGTGTGTGACCAAGTGACTGGCCTCGCAACCCGTAAAACGATTCACCTCACCACCTGGTTACACTGCATCGCTTGTTCGCTCCGACCTTACATACGGTACGGGGGGATTCTGGCGCTTAATTGCAGTCCTGTCACGTCCTGCACGTCCTCGTGTGCGACATCTATTCTCCCGCACATTGCCGACAACGGTGTTGGAGCGCTGCAAGTCTGCAACCCACGATCAGAACGTCATCCTCGACCTCGTTGTGCCACGCCATCTCTTGACCGGCTGCACAAGGCTATGACCGACGCGGGCCGATCCTCGACTACTTAATTAGGTGGAAGGAAGGCCAGGTTCTCCGTCCGAATCTTCAAATGAATCCTCAAGTCCCCTCGCCTCTGGGCCAACAACCATATTGGTCTCCGCATCCGCCTCCGCATCCGCAACCTGGTGAGCAGCAGCCGCCGCCATCCACAGGACTTCCTCCTCCACCGCATGGTTCTGCTCCCGCTGCGAACGGTGCCTATCATCCTCCGCCACCCCAGGCTGTAAGTGCAATGATTCGCTGATACCGCGGTTCCACCCTAGTGGCAACGACGCGTGCATGGACAATGACTTCAGCTGACACTTGCATTTTCAAGACATCCTCCCTACCACCCTTGATCGATCCTCGCGCGAACATGGCCACCGCATCTCCATATCAGCATCAGGGCATCCCTCCGCCTCCTCACGCCCACTACCAACGCCCTCAGTACCAACAACCCCTTCCCGGCCCGCACCAGCTTTACGGCATGAACCATCCCGAGTATCCTGCGGGTTATTCCACCGCATCTCAGACGGCTCCTCGACAGAGGACCGCAATTGCATGCAAGTACTGTCGTCGCAGGAAGGTTCGTCATTTCCTCTCCCGCTGTTGCCAGCCAATGCTAACAGAGTCCCCCCGGTAGATCCGCTGTTCTGGTTTTGACACCTCGGAGGACGGCAAATGCACCAACTGCACGAGGTTCAACCAGGAATGCGTCTTTATGCCTGTTTCCAACACCAATACGCAAGCGTTTGTGCCGGTGCATGCCGCCTACGGTCGGGGCCCGCCTCCACCGTATCAACAACTGTACGGACCTCTAGGAAATCCGCTGCCTCCGCAGCAGGACTCGTTCGGGCGCCCTGCACCACCCCCGGCGGGAGCGTACGTGCAAAGCCCGACCTCGCCGTATCCTCAACAAGCGCAGGCGTACCAGCCGCCTCCTCAAGGATACGACGACCGCAGCAATGGTAGGAAGAGACCAATTGACGAGCCGCACACCCCCACCCTCCCCCCGCCCAATCCTGGCGCGACAGCGCAAATCCCCCGGAACGGGGCCCCCAGTGCTACTCCTCGCGACTTTGAATACACGTATCCCGATCCAACAGCCCTTGGCGCTAACTCTACCGGCTCTCCAGCTTCCACCTCGACCATCCCCTATCACACTCCTCCCGCCCCGCAGCAGCCCTACTACGCCGCGTCCGCTGCAGCGCCCGGCGCGCACCCCTCCCCTCCCACCGCGTATCCGCCGCACGACCCCCCGCGCGCATCCGCCTCGCCGCACTCGCAGGCATCCCCCGCCATGGGTCCGTCCACCCCCGGCTCCGCCACCTATCCGTACCACGGAGGAGCCGCGACAGATCCATCGCTGCGACCCTATGCGGGGCGCCCCGCCGATGGACGAACGCCGCCACCCCCGCCGACTGCGCCGCATGGCCCACCCAGTCAGTCGGGCGCAAATGGTCAGCGTGCTGGCATGAGCATCAGTAGTATCGTTTCCGATGGGGCGGGCTCTGGTGAGCGGAGCAACGCGGACCGGGACATGCTGAGCCGCCTTTCGCGGCCGTAAGTTGTCCGGTGGTGCTGTTGTCTGGTGGGGATCGTGGAGGTCCTTTGAAGACGGGATTGTTTCATCGATGGTGCGTGAGCAGGCTCGCCCATATCGTTCGGCCAGCGGTGAACGGCCGGGGTATGCGCTATGCATAGATCCATGAATGGTTCCCGTTTCGCTCGGAAAAGGAATCCAGTCAGTCGTGGTTTTCTCCTCGGGTGTTTCTTATTGTTTCGGTTTCGGTATAAATGGGAAGAGGCTATCTGCAGCGTGTTTGTTTTTGCATCTGGGGTGCCCAACGGAGGTTCTCGTCTGTCTTTCTCGCACGCTGTCCGCGGTTTCCCGGCAATGGTTTCGTTGCTCTGTTGCATTTCATCTCCTCACCTCGGTCGCCTCTCCTCCGGTCGAAGCCTTTGACCTTTGCGGATCATTTGTTCTATTGGTGGAGGGGTCGCCGTTCATAGCTAGAGTGTCGGGCAACCCGCTCCATACGGAAGGACCTGCCGTCGCCGTCTCCGTTTCGCGTTTCCCGGCGTTTTCTTCCTCGGTCGGTCTCAAACGATGGCACGTTTTTTTTCCCCAAAAGACGAAATTGATTTCCTAGATCGAGATATAGCTGCAAAGCTCCCATCATTTCTTTTTTCGCGGTATGCAATGGCTTGGTTCTGCTTGGTTCTACTTTGCGCATGTTCGATGATGGCATGGGAGAGGCTAATCTGATATGGGCTGGATGGCGGTGGTCTTGTCGATTGTAGTGTTTGCGTGGCGGATGGGGTTTGGGGGATGGAGGGAGGCATTATTATCATCGAGCGTGAGGCATGCAAATCTGTCTGGGATGGTGATGGTCCAACGGATGGTGAAAACAGGCGCATGGAGGGTAGAAATCCCGCTGTACGTTAAACATTTTTTGCCTCTTATCATCAACTGAGTGGGTCATTTCGGTGAAATATAAGGACGTGTCCAATGCTGGCCCAGCATGTTCTGACGTCGAATCGTGACTATAATATACGGACTAGGAGGGAGGCAGGTGGAGTGGTGAAATGATAGTTATCTTGTCCTGCCACCATGGATGAAAGGCACATTATATCCTCCTCTAACACCGGAAAGGTACCATAATTTACCTACCGACGTAACCATCAAGAGGTCCATGGTAGGCAGGCCGTTTCACTGAAGCTCATCAATGATATTGACCACCCTGGGGATAAGCAGAAATCATCATTGAACCCTTCTAGTTGAACACTCATTGCGCCGTTCTATAATAACATAGCAATAACGTAAATGAACATAGCCAATTATCAATTCGTACATTGTCGCCACTACTATCAAAAAGTGTTTCGCTTATTACTTTGGCCGAGTAAATCAGCTCAATGTCTCAACGGAGTTAGGCATGACGAGGTCCAAGGTCAGCACTCTTCATTGTGCGCATACATTCATGCACCTCTAATACCCTCAATTACATACCCAGGCGGGAATATCTCGACAGTCTCATAACAAGGCATTAAGACTAAAAGTCTCTAGAAACAAAGTTGATCTCCGTCACCATGTCAGATTTCCGTGTATGGGCAAAGACGTCGCTTTCGCGGCTACTGCCGTTAGACGACGATTCTCTTCATCAAATCTTGGAATACTCAGAGTCGCTACCATCGGATCAAGCTGCCGAGCACCTCAAAAACCTGCTAGGCGACTCCCCACAAGCATTCGAATTCATTTCGTCATTCAACGTCCGGCGCCCGAAAGGAAAATCGACACCGGGGTCTAGCAAGCCGAATGCTACGGCGTCGTCGTCAGCTCTGGAAGCACCGCGAGGGAAACCGAGAAAGAAACGCGGAGGCGCGCAGTTCAATAAGCTCCCGGCGGTCAGGCGCCTAGAAAATCATGGAAATGTCACGGGCGGGTACGTCAAGAAGGGCGAAGGAGACTACATGGCGTTCAATCGAGCGCCCGGTGGGAACTCCGCCGGCTTGTCGGATGCGCTTTCACTGAACGAATCGCCCTCGGGACCATCGACGAAGGCCTCAACGAGAGAGGCATCTCCCGCAGCCCGCTCGAATGTGGGATCCCCAAGGCCAGGGAAACTGCCGCCGTCTGCAGCGGGGCCGCTGGTCTCCGACGCACTCTCTCGGACGTCATCCCCAGGGCCATCTTCTCGACCAAAATCCCATCCAAAACCCCCTGCGGCCCAGACTCTCCATATCACCGGCGGGACGCCGATGCAAGGAGCCAGCACCCTGTTATCAGACCTCGACTCCGCCATCCGCTCCCTCGAGAACCAAACCAACCCCACCCTCTCATCCGCCCCGGACGCCGCTCGAAAGTGCTCATGCCAGGCCCGACGTCATCCCCTCCTCGCCGCAGCGCCTAACTGCCTCGCGTGCGGCAAGATCATCTGCGCGAAAGAAGGGCTGGGACCCTGCACGTCTTGCGGCACGCCGCTGCTCGGCCCTGTGGACGTTCAGGAAATGCTGAGGGCGCTGAAGGAGGAGCGCGGGAAGGCGCGGATGGACGCGAACAACGCTGCTGCCCGCCACCGTCCGGCCGTCGCGAGGGGCGGCAGAGGTGGGTATGCGGGGCTGTCGCAGCCGGGGCTCCTCGGGGCGAGCTCTGCGCCGTCTTCCACGGTGCAGTCAAGGACCGCCTCACCGTATAGTTCCGACCGCGACACGCGGAGCGCCGAGGAACCCGAGATGGACGCGGCGTTGGCGACCGCGACCAAGCATCGCGATAACCTCCTAAAGTTCCAGGCAGAGAACGCCCGCCGGACGCGCGTTCACGACGAGGCAGCGGACTTCGACATGCCGGCGATGACGCGCACGAACGTGTGGGCCAGTCCGGCGGAGCGCGCGAAGGAGCTGAGACGACAGCAGGGCGTGTTGCGGAAGATGGAGGCGCGGGCACGGCCGGAGTATGAGAGGAGGAGAGTGGTGGAGCTGGATGTGGGGAAGGGTGGGAAGGTCATTCGGAGGGTGCGGGTCTTGGATGAACCGGTGGTCGCACCCGAGGAGAGTGAAGAGGAGGTGGAGGGGGATATTGAAGACATCGCTGAGCAGGAGAATCAATCCCATATGCGTGGTGACAATCCCCTGAGGGGGAAGTTGGTCAAACCGGTCGCGAAAGTTTCTGGATCAGCGGCGAAAGGGAAGGCTCACGAGAAAGAATCGAGCTGGAGGCGGGTGCAGGATGATTTTTTGGACGAGTCGGACTGATGGTGGGATTCAACTAGAGCACATAGATCACGCCGAGAGGCGAGGGGATATGGTTTCAAAAATATTGGAAGGCTAGATTTCGTCCGCACCTTGACTGTGCACAGATCGTAGCTATCTTAGAGTCGTTAAATCTACACCCTCATCACCATCATCAACCAGTGCCATATGTTCTCTATTAGATCCCAATGCCCCAATATCAACAGGGCCTATCCACCATACCGCCCAAGCGGGATAGCAAACACATGCACGAGAAATGGTGCGGTGAGCTTCATCCTTCGAGATAGAGGGTCCAACATCGATTACCTCGAGCAAACAGTTCCTCCAACGCGCCTTAGTACCAGCTTCGTGCTCTATGCGAGTGAAAAGTTCATGACCGGGCCTCCCCAGTTGTAGTCCTAGATGCAACCGCGCGCAAGAAACACGACGAGAAATGCGAAAAGACAACGGGAGCGAAGCGCCTGGGTAGTAACGATTGACCAAATCGCAAAAACGTTGTGGAGCCCACTCCTGCCCGTATGATATCCGTGTAGTGACCACGACCGAACAGGAACCCATGTAGGAGTCTACACGATGCACACAGGACAAATCAGGGCTCCCTGGAACCGGTGGGTTCTAAACAAATCCAAAAAGGGCCGCAAAAGCAAATAGAAACCCAGGGATATCAATGAAGAGAAGCGGAAGGAGGGGATGCAAAATGTTCGATGAACATCCCAAACCCCCCGATTAAACACGACGCCAATGGGAGACGGAGCGCCTGCCTCCTCCGTCGATGCAAGGGATGTGCAACAATCCCATGGATATATTTTATGGAGGGGTATCACTGGAGAGAAGACCGTGGGCGCATCCGGAAATATCGAATGCGCCCAAAGGCTGTGGACAGAGCGCCAGCCTCCTCGGTCACAGCCAGAGTTGATAAGATAGACGGTGGTAAATCGTATTCGGGGGGTAGAGCCGAGACAGATACGTCTCCTAATCGATGGCAATCGCGGGCGTCGACGTGAAGGTAGCGGCAAATGAAGGTATCGGCTGATATGACGGGAGTATGCGGGAGTATGAAGCCGGAGCGCTCTCCCTCTTGCAAAAATCGACGTGATTGAGACAAGGGGATCGGTTGTTCGAGGAATATAGGAGTCTCGCATAGCCCATGCTGCAAGCTCCCATGCTGCAAATTTCCCGTTCTGCAAGGAGTCGTCTGGAACGATTCGATGCTTCTACAAGCTCATCGTCAACCATTCCCATTCCTGTGGCCCAGCCGGCGCTCCAACCAGCGGCGTTTGCGTGATATTCGCCATATTGACCGTCATCGGCGGCTGCGACACCATTCCATGCGATTGGGCGATGCTGTGATCCCGTCTCCGACCCTGAGCGATAGCCGCGTGTGGGTGTTGCGTGAGGCCACCCGGTGCCCTACCGGCGGTGTCGTCCGCCGATTCCATGTCGATGTCTTGGGAGCCGACTTTGCTGTGCCGGCGGGATCGTTTGGGGCCCATGTTGAGGCCGCGCAAGGGAACCGCGCCAGCACCCGCCTGCTGCGGCTTTGGTGGTCCAGGGGCAATGGGTACGACGCCGGGCTTTGCGCTGTTGGCGGCCGCGGTCGCTCCCATCGCGGTAGAGTTTGCTGATGTACTGGTGAGAGGGCCACCAGTGCCAGATTTGGGGGACTCGGACTCGTTCGCGGCTCGTGGGGTAGCGGCGGGGGTTTGGACAATGGAGTTCTTACGGGAGGATTTCTTCGACGACCGGGTGGATGCGGATCCCACCGCTGGCATCGTATTGTTGCTACCCCGATTTCGTTTCTTGATGACATCCGTCTTGAGCGAAAGCGGACGCACAACGCCGTGTAATTTCAAGAACAGACCACAAGCGTTGCAAAGCGGGTGCCCTTCTGGGTTCCGACGCCACAATGGAGTCGTTTGGGTATAGCAATTCGTGCAGGTCGTTGGCGGGCCACTTTGGTCTCCGGGTTTACTTCCTCCTGGCGAGCCTGGCCGCGACGGAGCCGCAGAACTGAAGCCGGACTCGGGTGGTGATGAGGGAGAAGATTGCGGACGCTGATGGATATGCTGAAGGTGACCAGCCAACGCTGCGGCGTTGGGCGTGGAGGAGGTGCGGGGGATCTTCTGCTGACGGCGCGGATCGTTGCTTCGATTCCGCATATCACTCACAGACACTGCCGACCCTTGGGAGCGTCCCATATTGGATCCTCCAGCGGTCCATTCTTGCGGAGACGGCATCATCTCGGTCGGTCCTATGGTGACCGATTTTCGCGGAGGCCCCGCCGGGTAACGCGCCGGAGTGGGATTGAATTGGTTGGTCAGATTAGTTTCCCATTGCAGTCCGGCGTTGAGCTCCATGCTAGGGTCATCCATAATATAGTCATGGGGGATTGCGAGCGTGCGGTCCGCGAAAGCGTCTCCTGATTCTTCGTCGTTCTCTTCATCGTCGCCGCCAAAGGTGAAAAGCTCCGCATTTCGAGGCGGATGTTGCGGCAATACGCGCTGATTCGCAAAATCGTGGTGGAACACCTGGTTCGGCTCGACGTGGGCAGAGCCTGGGAACGAATGCGCCTGAAAGTTCGACATGGACGAAGATGCGCTCATCGCACTAAACATGTTTTCGCTTTGCGGATCGAACATGTACGGTGCCGGCACGGGATTGGAAAGGTTGGACGGACGATACTGCCCGAATCCACTAGCCATACGTCCCGTGCGGATGTCCATACCGTTGCGGTCAAAATACATATGTTCCCCGTCGGCGAGAGGCTGTGGTGTCGATGCGGCAGAAGGATAGGTGGATCCTGGCGGAGAATAATAGTCGGCGGAATTCAAGGATGATCCCATGGCGGTTTGGTTATAGACATTGAAAGGGGCGTTGGTGGCCGGAGAACCCACGGGCGAGAAGGCGAAGTGTTGTTGAATCGGGCCCGCTGAATTCATGATAGGGTCATGGTCGAGTCCAAAGGATGTATGGATGTCGAAAGGAACCTGGGAAATTTGCCTTTCCAAGGAATTGATTGCCAAGCCGTGCGGCTGCTGCTGGTCAAGGGAATAGTCGCCCATGGCAGCTTCCGAGTTGGCTTCGTCGGGGATCATGACGTTATGAACAGGGAACACCTGCGGTGAGCTTTCCGCCGGTCGTTTTCGAGGCTGCTGAATGTTAGAACTCAAGTTCACAGTGGCATGTTTACTTCCGGCGATACGAACCCTACGTTCATCGATGCTGGTCTTGCGGACGTGGCGATGGACATAGCCAAACTCCTCGTCCTTCCGGACGTTCGGCGGTAACGCAGGAGCAGAAGCATGAGCTAGATGGAAATCGGTATCTTGAAGTTGTTGCTGCCTTCTGATGGGGATGGCGGAAGCGATCGAGTGCGAGGACGCTTGCGCAGCTTTGCCCTCTGAACCAGGTGATGGTGGCAGTCCTGCAGGTGACCCAACCGAAGAGGAAATGATAAAGTCGTCCAAGTTCATGGGCTCAGCCTGAGGGACATGCTGGTCGGATGCCTTCCGCAATTGAGCAATCCCGCTGGGCGCGCTGGTTACGCTCAGTTTAGCTGTGGGTTTGCCGGAGCCGGCTGCAGTGGAGGGTGTGGTCCCGTTGCGAGCGAGCCTAATGAGGGAGTTAATCATGGTTATGGAAGAATGGAGCAGCCATGTACACACCCTTGGCGTTCCAATTCCATCTTCTTGAGGTTCATGGACATCATCCGCCAGGTTAGATTCTCCATGCGTTCGGAATTCGGCAGTTGCGCCTTGGTCCGACTGTAGAGCTTCCATATTTGCGTATACAATGGATCTTTCCGCTGCATATCTTCCGGACTGCTCATGTCGGCGCCTCCGGCGTCATCTTTCCATGTGGGGAAAATCGATTGGGAGAGCATTCCCTGCCGAACGGTGGTGTCGGTGGATGAGAAATCCAGATTGGAGTCTAGCGTGCCGGTGGAGGTGAGAGATTGGGCGTTCGAGGATGACGACGATGAGGTCTTCGCGTGGTCGGGAAGGAAATGTACGCGCCTTGGAGATGATGAAGGAAGAGAGTCGGATTCGAGAGGGAAGCCTCCAATGCCGGATTGCTGGAGCGAGTGATGGGACAGGTGATTGTCGGCAAAGAGGTTGTTGGTCTGTGAGACAGAGCGCTCTCCCCCACGCTCCCCATATTGCGCCCCAGACATCGTTGCCGAAGGAGATGTTGCGCAAGTCCCCGGAGTTGCGGGTGCGAATGCTGAGACGTGCAGGACGGGAAACGCAGTGATGCTGAACGCACGTCGGCACGCAGACGGGAAAGGCGTTTCTTTTTCTGTTCCTTTGCGTACTCTACCGCTTGACAGCGAGCTCCAGGCCGACGAGGAGGGATGGTGGGAGATGGAAATGGAGAGGGACAACGGGCAGCCGGATGATAATAGTGGAGGGTAGGGGAATCCGGGAGTCAACCTGGTCGCAAGCGCGGCCAGTAGGAGGCGATCGGGACCAAATGGAAGAACGAGGTTGGCCTGAAAGCCGTATAATTTGCCCTTGGGTAGAACGCTAGCGACGCCGATGAGGCTGCAGGTGCGTGGGTCCCCTGGTACTCCGGTCTCTGGTCTCTGAGCTCGAGCCTTTGGGCTCTGGTGGTCAAGGTTTGATGGAGACGTTCACGTTGGAGAGGAGGATTAATAAATAGTGAGGGTCGACAATGGGAACTGGGAACGGAAACAGGAAGAAGTGAAGGGGTGGGGTTGAGCGACGGGCGACGCCCACAAGCAGCACTAAAGACCGACGCCAGGGTTCCGCTACTCTAATGGTGTTGCGCGCAGCTTAGTATTCTCACTATTCTCCCGAAATATTATGATGGACTGGATGTCCTGGTGGTTTTGAGTGGGAGAGAGTGGGATGAGGCGTCCGGGTTGAGGAGCGAAGCTGGGGGTGGTTGTGAGATGAACTGAAGATGGTGGTGGGCTGGTGGCAATAATCCCCGCTTAGTTCCAGTCTGCTAATATTATTCAATCCACGAATCGTCATCAGGTTCTTTTTTAGCTCTTTGGTCTTGTCACTCTGGAGAGTCTTTGGATAGTAGAGAAGTAGGAAGAGTTTGATATTCAAGATGGGATTCTGAAGTACAGAATAATAATATGGTCTTGAAGTATGAATATTACCGTACCGACACCAGGTATTACGGTAAGGTTCTGGATACTTGGACTTGAATTATGCATTCTGCATTACTAGTAGCAAGATCCTTTTTCATGATTCATCTTCAAAGTAACGAAGGATCGGGACTTCAGGAGCCTCTCCTAACACAATCCTAAGTTCTCCGACTCCTCCGCCGATCCCTCTGCGTTCTTCATCTCGTCCCTCGAACCTCATTCCCCAAGTCTCACGGACAGATCCTCAGATCCTCACCAACCCTCAGCCACCGAGCACTAACGCAACGTTAGCGTTCAACACAACTCTAGAAGATGCACCAAACTGGTGGAACACTGGTAGCCTGGTACGTACTTGGTAGGGACTCGAAATGCGCTTAGAAGTTCGAACCCTCGCCGCCGTCTCTCCACTACCGATGAATTATGTCCGATGTGATTCGTTCGTCGCTTCGCTGCAGACATGGCATGCAAGTATGCGACCCGTCTGGCGTCCTCATCTACATGTTTGTATTCTCGTTGGAACCGGACATGATCTCCTGAGTTCGGACTGCGCCCATACGCCGGCCGAAATCCGAACCCTCTTATAGTTTACACGTAGCCCTATTCCATACATACCAACGAGTTGAGACAGCGAGCGCCAATCGAGTGGAAGAGAGCTTTATTAATCCGGTAAATATTTGACCGGTATGAGTATGACGCCTCCCGGTATCATGAATGAGTGATGGATACCGGGGTGGACTACATGTGGGAGGGGATCCCTGGCCGTGAATTTACTGCCCTGGTGGCGGTGAATATATGCATATTTCACCAAGGATGCCTTCGAAAGTTGACCTTCGTTTCGAATATACCGGCACTCGGTGTCTATAGGAATCGAAGCCGTTGTTAACCTTGGCTTGAGCCGGTATACTGAATTCATGCGACCAGAAAGCCACCGGGACTATTCCATCCCGAGAACCCCAAGTCCAAGGCTAAGGGAGGTCGAATGGAGCCTCAATAGCTTCCGAACCGCCCGGTGGCAACAATAACACCATGTTTTGCAGTTTGCCATTGTAGCTTAGATCTTGATATGACATGATTACATCATTCTGGGAGAATCATCAGCGGGGCACCTCTTCACGTGCCAAACCTGAAGTGAACCGACCGTTGTGGAATTACGATTGTCCAGAACACTCCACTAGGGGAGTGTGCATCAGAATGAACAGATGTTTTATATTCGGTTCCTCCATGCAAGTTCCGATCCGAATATATGTACTGTACATGTAAACAGTATTCCGTAATGAGTACTTAGGACCCACCTTTTTCCTATCCAAAGCTGCCGTCATCCTATCGAATTCAATGAAACATCTTCGGCCCGACCGATCTAGTTAAGGACCGGGAAGCCCCATCGAGGCTGCACGCCGTCTTCGGTGGTTGACGACTTACGACTTACGAGTCATATCTCACATGGGATGGTCTTAGACTCTGGAGAGTCGAGCACTAGAGGCGCTCTCAAATTGGTGCGATCCAACGAACCACACTGTCCCAAACTCAACCACCGCCTCCCGCCCCGGTTTCACCCGAATTGACCTGTTTTCGTGCAAATATCGGAGCTAATCTATCCCAACTTTCCGTTCGCTGGGTGTAGATTTGGCTAGTTACGGCTTTAATTTAACTTAGAGAGATGCATCTCGGGGATATTGGAATTTGCGTGCGGACTGGCTCGGATGGTTTCGGTGATTCGGTCCTCAAGTCCCAACGCTTGAAGTCCGAATTTCCTCACTCGGTCAGTCCTCACCAAGTCACCAGCCACCCCTGGTCAATCCTACATCACGGAACGAAGATGAAACCAAGACTCACAAGGAAAGTATTTACGATTATGGCAGCCGAACGTCCGTCAAGGAGAGGTCCATATATTGGCGCCATGGGCCCAACCGCCAAAGGTTCCACCGTCCAGTTCGAACGAAGTCAATGATGAATGAACATACCTAAACCTTTGGGCTTTCATGGATGCGGAACGGTCGCATTTTGGTTTCGTTACCTGTACGCCGGAATATTTGACTCCAGCTAGACAATTCTCCGGCCATACCTAACTTATCATAGTGGGGTTGGCGGTTCGTGCAGGCATCGGTGTATTAGAACCGATGCCGAGTCGAGCACCGGTCGTGATGGACCAGGGAGTCCTCAGTGGTACAAACTACAATGCGACCAGTCGCTACCGTAGATTCACATCAGACTTTACGCTCTTTGCCCGGCTTCAAGAGCATCGGCGGTCGCAATGATGATGGGAGGAAGATGATCATTCATAGCAGTTTTGTCGCCAGCTTGCCGACCAACATGACCAGCGTCCAGTATCTTCAACATCTGGTAAGTGGTAACCGTGCCGGATCGTTCGGGTTTGAGGAGCTTCAAACCTTCGAGAACAACAGCAGAAGCTATTCCGAGTTTCAATATTCAAACACTTCTTGCGATTCCAGTGCCCCGTCAAGGACCCCACGCCGCACAGGCCAGTAGTCGCGTGCCGAATAGGATGCCCTGACAGGATACCTAACCACTTCGGGTATCCTTGGTGTCGTGCAATCTGTAATCTGACAATTTCGCCGCCGTCATAGAATTCCAGGACTGAGGCTCGGAAGCGATGGCGGTGGGGACTGGCCTGGGGCTTCGATGGAGATCAGAAGCCGGGGATAGGGAGTTAGGGACGGACAATCAGACGGACACAGTCGACTGACGGCGTGGCGGCGTGATAGTGAGCTGCAATCTGCTGCTGCTGGAGGTTCGAACTTCAAAATTCCAAAGTTTCAAAATGAGGAGTCGATGAGTTGGCTGTCTCGAGTCTCGACTCTCGTGGGCTGCAAGCCTGGAACAGGATGATCGATAAGGACGCGGAAGTGGAGGGCAGCAAAATAGTGGGTGCGTTCAAGGATCAGGGATGATGGCAGGGATGGGATCGGGGACAAGGTCAAGGATATCATTGCCTTGCTGGCTCTTGGCAGCAGGTGCGACTGGCCGGTGGATCCTGGAGCTTCTGCGGTTCGGTAGTTCAGCGGTTGAGCCTTGGGGTTGGGATTGGGCGGTTTGCCCTTTGGGAAAGCGTGCCGCGTGCCGCGTGGGGGGCCTTCGGCACGGACTTGCTTGCATCTTGCGCACTGGGCACTCTGATAACCCCCTGGAATGGGAATAGACGTACCCCCACATTCCCCGTCCTGCTTCCACCGCCCATGTGCCTTTTTCGGAGTCGGTCCAATTATCCAATGGGCAATGATGCTGACCTGGGAGTTTGGACTGCGAATCTCGACCATCTCCTTCAATCTCTCACCGTTCAACTCCGTTGTCCACGTCGCAATTTAGGATTCGGGGGGCTCGCATGTGCTGGGCTGCTGGTCGTTTCGATTGTCCCTCCGTGGCGCCGGAAGGGGAGCGAATCCGCGTTTCATGTCTCATGTCTTCCGTTTTCGCAACTTGCTCTTCTTCGGCAGCGTTTCGAAAAGAGTGAGCCCCTGTGGGTGATCGATGGCGGTCGGAATCCTCCGTCAAACCTGAAGCAACGTCATCAACGATAGGGCAGATTTGGGGTTGTAGACCTCCATGCTTTTCATCTCGACTTCGTAGTTCGTACTTCGGTCCGAGATCTTTGGGGGTTGGATCAATACCTCCGAGCCTGGAGGAATCGACAATGGATGAAGAGGACCTTTTTGCGGCGGATCTAATATGAGGGGGAATCAAGATAGCCCACGTCTGGTTCGAGGCTGGCTCATGATGTTATGCAGACAGCCATCCATTTCATACGACCTATCAAGTGGAATGCTCCTAGACAGCCTGGCATGAATGTACACACGTGATAAACTTGAACGTGGAGGCGCGAATTGAAGTCTCCTTGACCGATTGAACGATAGAATTGAATCGAAGCTTGCGGCTCTCAATAATACAGATAGGAAAAGAGCAGGACAGAGAGCAGTTTATATGCTCCAGGAATCCAAGTCAACGGGGCTGAAACCCGAGTTAAAAAAAATCTCTTCTCGTTGGTTCCAGGACCAGATAAGTTATCGCGGGTGCCTGTCGAATGTCACACAGCAACATCCCTATCCTACCAATGAGCCCACGCGTTGGGCGATGGGAAACTCGCTCTGACCACTCCGAAGTCCACGCAGTCCTGAGCTGAAGACCTTTCGTGCTCAGGTGCGCTGGATATTAGGACGACATCCTGTCGGTCTCAGACACTTTCGCCGCTTTGTTATCCTCTTGAGTCGACTGACGTTCAATATTTGCCGAAATTCCCATTGCGGAACCAGACGCCTTATCTGTAGCAAGTAGTTACATACAATCGTCCCGGGAACCATGATGGTGTGCTCTGAACCTGGTGGCAATCCTCAAAGTTCTGCGTCCAGATCGCGGAGAACCCTTGTAGTATCACGATAAGATGCGGAGCTTAGGATAAGCTTGCATCACCTTTGGCTGGGTGGGCCTTTTGATACTGTTTAGTCGCTTGGTACCTGAATCCTGAGGGACCCTGGATCTCATTGAAACATAGTCGAGCTAAACCCAACCATATCCTACTCTTCTTATTTTCGTTCCTCGTTATCCAGATTCCCGTTGCAAGATCCCGGCCTCATCTCGTTCCCTGGCCAGAGGTAATGCTCAGAGCTGCGGTGCATGTGTTCAAGGCGCGGCTTGTGATCGCAGTATTATCTCCCGCTTCTGATCCTATTATCGGGAAGAACGAGCAATGCCCGCTCTATATCGTGGAGTATTCGTAGGGTGACCGCGGACTTGGAACTTCCAATGGATACAAAGGACTTCGACTTGCAAGTCCAAGTCCCAAGTGACATATCCTCTCAATCGCCGTGTCTCTGGGACTCGTTCTGTGAAGACTGCGCAGCATTGTTGGAGTCACTCATAGTCTCCTCACCCAACACTTTACTAGCGGCCATAAACCTATTGGACAGATATTAGCTAGGGGACTTGACGGACTGATGATGGATCTCAGAACTCACATCGCACCCGAATAGGCGCCCAACCCACGCATGCTCTCCGCTTGAATCGAGGTCATGCGAAGCAGGTTTTCCAGATCCGACATATGTGCCGTCAGTTGGGCGAGTTGCGAGTGGAGGTGGGATAGCTGTCGTGGTTTTTGCGAGGGAATGGTGCTCAATCGCGACGCTACTCCAGTCGAAGTGCTTCGTGGTGGTGGTTGTGACATGGTCGACGATTGGTGAGGATCAGATTTCGTTGGGCGGGCAGTTGCGCTATGAGGGGGAGTGTGTGAAGTATTGATGAGAGCTGAAACGCGCAACTCTAGTGAATAGTCGAATTAACTAACTTAGACTGATGGTAAGTTAATCTGACCTGGATGTAAACACTGATGCTCGGCGGGATGGTGGTTCATCTAATTTCTGACTAAGCCGAATGTTGGACGTCACCGAACCTCGTATCAAAACTTTCTCCCAATTTGACGAGAGCAACGGCCACCCTAGATGGTTGCTTTGCCATTAGAACGAGCATCTAGAGATGCAGCCACTCATTCTGAAGACTCGCCCGGTACCGTCACTCGACCTGCTCAAATATCTGAGAAAGTTGAACGGTGCCCGCCGCTCCGTCTCCTCTCAGCATGTCGGGATAAAGGTGGCAACCGGCGAACTCTCTCGACTCCGACCTCTACGATCCCAAATTGGCTCCAGGAATCCCTTCTCAAGACTCCAGCTTTCCAGTCGAAATAGATTATGCGGCGTGTCTGTGACAAGGCAATGTCTCGGGATCGCGCGGCCGGAAGGGATTCGACCCTTCACCTCCTACGTCCGAAACGCCTTCTTCGGACCGTGGACCTCCAAGAAGCGGAAGAACTACGAACAGCTTGAGCCCAATGATCTGCCGATTTCGAGCTTCATCGACGATACCTCCTATCCTTCCCGAGTCACCAAAGCCTCCAACGACCTCAAGTTGCGATGTACCGAGTTCGATGAGAACGGGAACGTCACGCTCGTCAACGGGGAATATAAAAAAACAGAGCTGATCGCCAAGGTAAGGGTTTCAGAGCCGTATTCTGACATCGGGGCTCTAACTTTATGGCCAGTATTCCCTCCTACCGCGAGACTTGCGGAAGATTGACTCCTCAATGCTACCGCACATCCTCATCCGACCGAGCGCGATTCTTCTAAATCTTCTCCACCTGCGAGTCTTGATCAAGCACAACCGGGTGCTCATCTTCGATGCGTACGGGAGCACGGACTCCTACACACAATCCGTGTTCATGTACGATCTGGAGGGAAAGTTGCGCGCCGCATCCGCGGACGCGAAACAGGCCGGTAGCCTACCATACGAGTTTCGAGCCTTGGAGGCGGTGTTAATCAGCGTCACCGGCGGTCTGGAGAGCGAGTTCGAAGGAGTCCGTGAGCCGGTTGTGAGGGTATTGCGCGAGCTGGAAGAGGACATCGATCGCGACAAGCTTCGGTACCTCCTGATATATTCCAAAAAGCTTGGGACCTTTGAACAGAGGGCTCGACTGGTGCGCGACGCTCTCGACGAACTGTTGGATGCGGATGATGACCTTGCTGCCATGTATCTGACCGCCAAAGCTCAAGGGGAACTCCGAAATGAAAACGACCATACAGAGGTGGAGATGTTGCTGGAGTCGTATCACAAAGTCACGGACGAGATTGTACAGGCGGCGGAGAATCTCGTCTCCAATATCCGAAACACCGAGGAGATGTACGTCTTCCGTATGTTCTTTACTTTCAACGCTAACCGTCTACCCAGTGTCAAAGCCATCCTGGATGCTAATCGCAACTCTCTCATGGTTCTAGACATCAAGTTCACCATCTGTACATTAGGCATTGCTGCCGGCACCTTTGTCGCCGCACTCTACGGCATGAACTTGACCAACTTCCTCGAGGAATCGGTCCTCGGGTTCGGCGGCGTATCCGTCGTATGCGGCCTCTTCACAGCCTTCGCCGTTATGTGGGGCCTTAAGGTCCTGCGCCGCGTGCAACGACTCCGGATGTCCGGAAGCCCTGGAATGGACACTTTCCGGGCGTTGGCTCGACCGCTTCACAGCAATAAGTCCTGCCAGCCCGAAAGGCCGAACTGGATGGATGAAAAGATCCGACGGCAGAACGCGCGAGCGCAGCTACACGGGTACCACGCGCAATTGCATGGGAAACAAGCGAGCCCACCTTCCGGCCCAAACAAGGGCGATGCGATCAAACGACGGGCGAAGCTTGAGGGTCAGTCCAAGGGAGCGGAGCATCCGGATGATCCGACAGGGGGGATCGGTGCTGACTCGGTGCTAGCGAAGCCGTGATGAAATGTTCTCTACTCTGCTCTCTCATGATTTCCATGTCCTTTCAAGTTTTTTGGCATAGCGAGGCGCTGATGGGCATCTGTTCAATATGTAGGCCTGGTGTCTGTCTGGCTTCACACTTTCCTCTCTAGCCCTGGTTGTCACAATACCCAACTTGTATTTTCCGAAACACTCAGCGTCGATGTACTAGACAATAGAGAGAAATTAGATCGAAATGTAATATATCATATTCTGTATGACTGTTGACTCCCACAACCATTCCCTTGTTACGACAATCAAACATGATAATATAGAATTCATTACCACGGTCAAAATGCCAATAACATTGTCCCTGGATTGCACCAAAAAATCAGATAAAAGAGCAGGTCATAAGCAATTTATATTCATACCAATGTTCGTTCGATCCCGTTAAGGGGCAAGACATGTTTTTCGACAAGGTGCTCTTCATGCTGTGGATTCCACCTTCGGCTGCGAGCGAACACCACACTGCATCACCGACCCTCTTCATATCGCCAACATCTGTAGAATATCGAAATGCAAAAAAATAAGGCGCCAAAGGGCAAAAAGAAACGCCTCGTGTGGGACTCGAACCCACAACCTTGGGATTAAAAGTCCCACGCGCTGACCATTGTGCCAACGAGGCCTGAATTCAATGAACATCGCCCATTTAAAGTAATAAAGTAAAACCTAGGTTGCAGTGAACCTATTCTATTACTACATATTACTTGGGAGAAGGAATCAACACCTCAAGAGCTATAATCAATATTCATGAGGAGAAACTTGCGGAACATCTAGTTCATATTTGTTTGTGGGGGAATTTCTTGACTGGCCACCGATCACCTGAGATCTTCTAGGAGTTACCGCTAATTAGGCCAATCGGCGTTCGACGGTTTGTTGAATGAATCCTTATTTTATATAACTATCGTGAAAATACCGTCTCTGATATACTTCGTATAGCTAGGTAATACTTCATAATTCACATTATTAAATTCGAGGCAATGGGGGTCATCACGACCAATTTGTATTGTGTCTCTGTAGTAACTGAGCCTAAGCAGCGAACGTGCTTAACCATCACCCACGCGTAATGCGACACCTTCTAACACCACTTGGCACACGACGAATCGAATACATAGGGTCATGCTGAACAGGGGTCATTATTGGGGTTGGAAACCATAATTATGTACTAATTTTCTATCTCCGTTTTCACTCGTTGAAAACAGCGATTTCTAGAGCTTTATTAAGATACTCAATCCTGCCTTTAAACTCCCTTATCGCGAACGCCTCAGTGGTGCGCTCCTCGCCGACTTATATCACAAAACATCGCTTCAAGTCCAGCGCATCATCGGCCAACGACGCGACCATTTCAGCCTCAATTTCAGTCTGGACGAGTCGAATAACCAACAGAACGATCGTGTCTTGAACTTCTCCGTTGTCTATCCTGACTTTGAATCGCTTACACTCCATACAAGACCTGTCGATGCGCAAGCCTCCTTGACTGGGGAATTCTATTACGAATATTTCCGCTCGGTGATGAAACAGGTGGTTAAAGGAGATTACAAGCGGATTAACAGTATCTCGACGGATACCCTGTAAGACAATGAGGAAGTTCTGGAGACTGTCAAGAAGATTTAGACCTATCGCATATCATCTATGTGCCTTGTCGATCTCATAATTTAAACCTCATTGGCGATATCATCAAGATGGACAATTTCCGCGATCGTTTCACCACTTTCAAGAACCTCGTTTGCGACCTCTCGTCCATTAGGCCGACCCAGCCCTGGCCTTTGCAGTGACATCATGCGAGCTAGAGCTCTAATTTCGACGGGAATTTGACAGGGCAGTTCCATGGACTTGACAGTCCTCCTCGCCTCATGTCGGATTGAGCTCTACTTAGATTCCGGAACATACGGAGTTTCAAATGGGACTTCTCCTTGGGGGGTTATGCGAGCTAAATGTCGTCGTTCGCCTGTCGTCCAATCGACAATAGCAGAGTGTGAAGTGACGCGGTTCTGTTCTTGTTAGCCAATCTTACCACTCAGACCTTGATGGAATTGGACTTACATCCCAAATAACCACAGTCCCAGGAGCCCATTTGACACGAGCCTGATAGTCAATGCCCCGGCCAATGTGGTCGTACAAGAAGTTCAAGAGTGCCTCGCTCTCTTCGTCTTTAAATCCGACGATTCTTCGAGTGACTTGATGCCAATTAGCTAAGGATTGAGCTGCAAAGTAGGAAGACTTACACCCTTTATTCACAAATAAGGCTTTCTCGCCAGTTGCCGGGTGAGTGCGCACGATCGGATGCTCCGAAGTAACGCCCTCTCGTTTCACTATTCCCCCACGTTTCCTGCTGAACTCCACTTGTTCGATTCCAGAGTGAAGAGCCTTAAGTCCATGTAGACGCTCTTTGAAGGCCGGTGACAATCGATTGTAGGCCTCGACCTGGTTGACGAATGCAGTGTCGCCACCAACTCCCGGAACATCCAAGGCGTACAAGAACGTGGTGGCAGGTGGCTGCTTCTCGAATGAGACGTCGGAGTGCCATCCGACACCGCTATTCCGATTTGCCAAAAAGAAATCAAATTCGCTCGTATTGACATTTCGATGCACGATAAGGAGCTCCGGATGGCCCTCGGGGGTTGGGCTGGTCGGATGGATGTGGAGACGGCCGAAATGGCTTCCGAGGGCGACGGGCTCCGTAAGTGGTAAGTCGGCAAGGTCCTGGTTACGGAATGCGACAACCTTTCGCTGGGCAACTAGTAAGGCAAGTTGATCTTTACCAGCGTCGCTGAGCTTGCTGAGTTGGACCCCAGTGACTTCTGATCCCGTGGTGGGTGTGAGGTGCTGGAGCTTAGAGCCTTCAGTCAGAAGGTCCTTGAAGCTTGGATCGGCGCCTTTGCCCTTGTCGATGTGCTCGTATAGTTCGAAGGGTGGGTATTTCACGCCATGGTCCCAGACAGGCAGATAATGGGGGTACTGTGTGATCGTTAGTCCACGTCTACGGCAATTGGAGTGCGACAACATACAGTGGCAGGGACCGGATTATCACTCTCTTCGTCAATTTGCCTTCGGATTTTAGGCTTCGCCTCAACGGGCTTCTCCTCAGTGGGCTGAGGATCGGCCTGCACCGAAATGGGGAGTTTTTGGGTTTCGGTAGATGTCACAGTGGCCATTTTCGGTAAATAGAAGTTGATGATCTAAGTAAACAGTCTCAGACTTTGGCTATGGATTAAATAATTGTCTCGATCTTATATGAGTCAACAGCAACGGCGCGGGCCACTAAGAATATATACTGCATGGCCTTCGAAACAGTCAACATTATAAAACATCGATATCGGATATAACAGCACCTCCGTTTCAAGGAATCGTCATTTGACCATCCTTTGTAGGTTAATTCCTAGGATGCTCCAATAGTTCAGCCTCCAATTTCGGCGCCGTCTTTTAACACGATGGCGTATGAGTTGCACTGGATTCCCTCATTTGAACAGACCAATTGGCAAGTCTTCTCAGATGGGGCAAACCCGCAGTCGCACTACTGATCCAGTTATCAGATAACACTGATTGGTGTAGCTGTTGCTGCAATGCGGCATAGGTTCATATTTCAAACCGGTTGACGGTTGCTGCTCCAGTTGCGCAGTCGACAATGCCGGATTGCGGGAATCTCCACCCTTTCTGGCTTTTGGAGCAGAACGATCCCTCATCTAAGTGGTAAGACACTTATCAGATCATCATCATACGAAAATAATCGTCTCAATGATTCGTTCCTTGTACGCTGCAGTTTTGATAGTGCCGACGATCGAGGGGTTGTAAGTGCAAATTGCGTTATGACGACCGTGGAATGATACAATCGAGTATTCTGGTCCCATTGTATCCCCTGCATGGCTAGTCAAACATTCCGAGTACATAGCAAGGTCCTATTAATAATAACGTGGAATCAAGGAGAAAATTCAAAGCAGCGACATGAGATAAACTTGACGATATAATAATTTCGGAACATTACATTGAATTAGAGAGGAATAAATTGGTGACGAAGTGACGGGAATGGGGTTATTCGGGGATAGTTTCAGGGCGTTCTGAAGGCTTTGTCAATGACTAAGCAGTAAGCACATAGTTCTAGTTAACTAACTAGTTAGGATAACTAGCTAGTTAGCTAAAACATTTTCATCCGAGATAGTTCAGGACAGTACATAAAATGATGGTCTTCGCTCAGAACTTCGTCAATCAATCTGGGGTGTCCATAGTAGACACACACTTGCTGATGTGAAGTGATTTACGGATAGATGCGATAGGGAGCAATTCGGTGCCTTATGGGGCTGTCGCAGGCACGTGACTATACACGTGACCCACAAGATGGAGACCCAGCTAGTCAGTTAGATCGATCAATCAATCAACAGCTAGTCTTCATGTTGAGACTATCGTCGATTCACACCGCCGTCGTCAGTGTAAATCGAGATTGTTAAACGATATTATCAAGAGTCTAGACACGGTTCTATCTCCCGTAAAGAAGGTAGTAGAGAAAGCCCTTCCTTGTATCTTAGATTGTGGCTATCTACAGGAAGCTAATCGATCGCATCATAATCATCCTTGATGTCTATTATCCCTAGTTCCCCTGTGTAGGAAGTTAGAGCAAGCATACACTCATGACTCAAGCGTTTGTTACTACTGCATCATTTCTTATTGTCCATCATAGAGGTTATGGAAGAGGAGGACTTAGCCCACATCTCTGGAAATGGTTACAGAAAGCCTAGGAATCACATACTATTATGGATGCCCTGTTATTCCCGGTTACTATGCATAGGAAGATGAGTAGATCACTCCTGCGTTAGTTAATACTGGATAATTTCTTATATTGTCGATCATCGAGGCTATAGAAGAGCAGGACTTGGCCCGCATCCCCTAAAATGGTTACAGAAAGCTTAGGAATAGCCTCATACTAGCTATGGAAGAGGAGGACCTTGACCTACATCTCCAATACTGAACCCCTATCAATCGCCTCTACTATGGCAGAGAAGGGCTTTGACCTGAATTTCCAGTACTAAAAGTCCATCAAGCACATCATACTCACTATGAATGTCATGCCATTCTTAATTCCCACGCGAACGATGATAGCGCCATATGATTTCTTATATCCATTGCTACATCAGTTATTATCGAGTCTCATTAACGCTGTAGAAATCTCGAGAAGTATATTTGACTTTGCTTTCCCCCCGATCCATCTACTAAGAAGGATTAGAATAGAGCCCTATTCTTACCTGCCCTACTACGCCATGACAGTCGAACGGCCCAAAGACGAGTCGGAAGAAGACTCCAGCCTATCGTCCGAACAAATTGACGTAGGGCATACGGTGGCAAAAGCTGTCTTACACGATGCAAAGTTGGTGACAACGAAAGGCAACATTATCACCAATGATGGAGCTATCGTGGCCACTGGAGAAATTGACTCGAGTGTTTCGGCCAATCCCTTTTCGGATCCCCAGATCCGAGACTACTACGTTGGTGTCTATGAGAAAGCAAAATACGAGTGTCGACATGTCTTCGACGCGGGTGCCACATGGACAGAAGAAGAGGAGAAGAAGATGGCCAGGAAACTTGACTGGCATGGCATGTACACAATTTAGTGTCTAAAGATTCGACTGATGATTATTTGTAATAGTATGCTTATGGGCATGCGTCATGTTCTTTAGTCTACAGATTGATCGTGGAAACATCAATCAAGCCGTTTCGGGAACCTTTTTAAAAGATCTTCACCTTAATACTAATGGTGGGCAGACCGACACTTGCCTTGTAAATGACCTCTGACTTAAAGTACTAGATTTCAATCTTGGGAATACCGTGTTCCTGGTGTCTTTCCTTTTGGCCGAGTTACCATCTCAATTAATCTCGAAGAAGTTTGGTCCCGACCGCTGGATTCCTACCCAAATGGTTATATGGTCTATAGTCGCCATGGCGCAAACTGGGCTTCGAGGCAGAGCCGATTTTCTTGCAACTCGTGCTCTTCTTGGAATGCTTGAAGTGTGTTAGCTGATGCTCATAATTCTTCCCTACTGATGGATCAAATCTAGGGCGGTTTCATCCCAGACCTAGTACTTTGGCTCTCCTACTTCTACACCGGCCGGGAGCTCCCCATCAGGCTGAGTTTCTTCTGGACAGCCTTGAGCATTACTGGCATCATTGCTTCTCTTCTTGCCTTTGGAATATTCCATCTCGAAGGCCACCACGGTCTTGCAGGTTGGAGGTAGAGTTCAATTTGCTTCATTCTTGGATAGTGATTGACACAATTTTAGGTGGATCTTCTTAATCGAAGGAACGCTCACACTTGTTATTGGCATTGTGTCCTTCTTCCTTATGCCGGCATCTGCAGCCCAGACAAAGACGTGGTTTCGACCCAAAGGATGGTTTACCGATCGCGAACTTACTATTGTGGTGAACCGAGTGCTACGAGATGACCCTAGCAAAGGTGACTTAAAACCTATAGTTATCTTAAGGCAGACTGATGCTGATCTATTATAATAGGAGATATGCATAATCGACAGGCGATCACCCACGTCGACTGTGGACTGCACTGAAAGATTATGATCTCTGGCCGGTAGGTATATTCTTAACTAGGACACCAGCGGATGCTAACTGTGTACCGGTATCAAGCTTTATATGCTCGGTGTCATCAACCTTGTTCCACAGGCGCCACCCGCTCAGTATCTCACGCAAATTCTTCGGAATCTTGGGTTTACCACTGTAAGCATTCTCTCTAACGGGTGTTCCACCAGCTAATGCCTCTAGTTCGAAACCAACCTCCTTACAATCCCATCAGCAGTGGGCCATATGATCACTCTTCTCGCCGGCACCTGGCTAAGCGAAAAATTTAATCAACGCGCGCTTTTCGCCATGCTACAACCCCTATGGACCCTTCCTTGCATCATTGCTCTCCGAGTGTGGCCAGGTCTTATGAAAGAACAATGGTCAACTTATGCTCTACTCGTCGTGTTACTAAGTTATCCATATGCTCATGCTATTAATGTGTAAGTATACCCCACTGTTAGATAGGCGCGAACTCTCGTAACTAGAGCTAATGACTTTCGGCATTTTATAGGGCTTGGGTGTCGAGAAACTCGAATAACGTTGGCTCTCGCAGCGTATCTGCCGCTCTATTCAATAGTAAGCTATGTTTCTTTCGGCTTCTAGTAACACCAGACCTAACGACACCGCTCCAGTGAACATTCAAATTTATTAATTAGAGTTGGAACACGAAAATAAACGACCGCAATATACACAGCAAACAGTCACCGCTCAACCAACTCCATGCAACTCCTTCTCGATCACCCTCTCGATCTCTATCATGCGATCACGCAGAATCGAAAAGTCGAGCGTGTAAATTCATCAATAATTTCTCCTGCTCGCAGACATCGTGTACAACTCGCACCCAACGATGACGAAAATCGGGTCTACTGGAACAATAAGCTTTAGAATGCTATGAGCTGTAGAATGATACGGAAATAATTAGCTGTGGAATGTTACGAGCTGCGGAATATTGTGAGTGAGCTTGTGACGGTTTACGTGTGATCTAATTCATCAGTAACGACCCACGACCGGTGTATTACGCGGGCCGAGCGCCACGGGGCGGTATTCGCCCCCGGTAAGTACCAACTTATTTACTTCACGCGGCGGAGAGCGAGAAGGAGGGGAACAGGGCCAAGATCTAACGAGTAATACGAATCAGTGGAAACCAGATCCATCCAGAGGCAGAGCTCCGCGTCCTAGGCGTACAGGTCGACAGCAAACCCGCGTGGAAAGCACACGTTACGCATGCGTCTCAGAGGGGAATCGCAGCCTTCGACGCCCTTCCCGTATCACCGCCTCAACCTGGGAACCATCAGTACGGCTATCCCGCTTCCTATACACAGCTATTGTTCGCCCAACAATACTACACGGTTCCGCTGTCTGGGGGATGTGCAACGGGGGCGCCACGGCGCCCGAAACCACCCTTAAACCCTTAAAGAAGATTCAAAACAAGTGTCTCAAATGTGCCGCGGGGGCATATGGGTTGACTCCCACCGCTGCTCTAGGCAGGGAGCTTGCGGTCCCCCCTCCAGACGTACATCCAAGCAAGTGCCCTAGGCTACTACGCCAAAGTCGGCCAGTCACCCAGTTGTGGCTAAGACGTCGGAAACACTAGAAGTGGTCTGGGGGGCGCTATAGAATAGAGGCGTGCAAGGAGCAAGGGGAAGAGGCAGGCCGCGTGCGATACGCATGCGTCCACATAGCGTGGCGGAGACGGGGCGCCAGCAAGCGGAGGAGATCATCCAAATGGTCAGGCTAGAAGCCCAACAGCACCGCCGCAGGGGAGGCAGGAGTTCCTCTCCAAAACCCCTCCGTATAAAAACCGCCATCTGGAAGTGGGTGGATCGCGGATGGCAGAAGGAATGGCAACGCAAGGCCCAAAACCAAACGGCAAGTTTCTGGAAAGGCAGCTGGCGCGAGGACCGCCTAGCACTCTACGACGGAGCCCCGAAACACATCGCAACCGCCCTCTTTCTCCTCCGCTCAGAAGTGATCGGTCTTATTGCATGGCTTGCGGGAGTCGAAGTCGCGGAGATACGCCCGCATTGTGCCTGCGGGTGACCTGCGCAAACAGTACGTCACGTCCTGATCCATTGCCTAAGACACGAACAGGCTCGAGTCTACGATACAAAGACGTAATTAGCCACGATCAGAGAAAGGAAAAGATAGAACAATAAGGGGGCGAAGGCAGGAGGCTTGGCAATGATCCATGCCAGGAGAATTATGGTGAGTTTCGATTGGCGCTGGAGGATGGCAGATTTACCTCCAAAAACGGCGTCATAAACTGCCCAAAATGGAGGTCAATCTACCGTTAGATTGTTTAAACGAGTTTTCCATTACATTCAATACAACTACAAAAATATACAAGCTCGGGGTATCTCTATTGTACATGTTCCGCTCAGCAATCCCTCAAGCCGCCTCCCCGCCTGTTGTTCTCCAGGTGCTAAAATGAGGAACCTCCCGTCCACAAAAGCAGTTGTACCGGCCATCAAACAACTCTAGACAAGTCCAATGCATCCCGCGTCCACAGGCAGCGCATTGGTAGAACAACCCAACAATCGATTGAACGCAAATCTCGCACTGCACAACTAGCAGAGCGAGAGGTCGAGGAGGGGAGGCGTGCTCGAAAACCGTTTCTCCCGCTCGCTCCACGATGGCGAATTTCTGAAATTCCGGCTTCTCTTTATCAACGTGTGGGGTCGAAGCGCCGCTTGGGTGATGGCTGCGCGCATCAAACGAGCCCTGTGCAAAGTCAGATCGACCGCTGTGGTGGAAATGACAAATATCAGAGCCTACCTTGGGTCCTTTCTCGGACCTCTCGTGAACGCCGTCCGGATCGATCGCCCAGGCACTCTTGCCACCTTCCCAATACGAGGTTAACCCGTTGAACTGCAACAGTTCCGCACGCTCCACCCAGAGTTCCCAGGAGCCCAAAAGGTGGGCATACATCATTCTGTACGCCTTGTATCGTTCGTCAGAGCCGGGATCAAGCAATGGTACGCTTCCATGCGCCTCGTTATCGAATCGATTTTGGTTCTTCATGGTAACTCGGATGGAACTGCTCCCTCCCCGCGGGATGGTGATGGACTCGGTTATATTAGTGGGAGCCGTGGACGTTGAGAAGCGTTCGTCGGACCCTAAGGAGCTGCTGTTGCGCTCAGGACCAAGGACCGCCCCCTCGACGGAATACGAGTCTACAAATCCGTCGTCAAGTAGGAATCCGTACGGATCGCGTTTGCCCGAGGTGGAGACGCGCGTCGATCGCGGAGCATGAGCGCGAGGGCTGTCATAGACTTTGTTCTCTCCCCATGTGATACCACTGGTCGGAGCGGAGGTCGACAAATCTCCGTCGTTGCGATGTCTCCCTTGAGTGGGCGGCGATGATGACACGTTCATAGCCAGGGTACGTAGGGATTGGAACGCATTGGATATATTCGAATTGACCCGGCGTGTCTGGGTCGCGAGATGATGCTCGGGTGAAGTGGAGAAGCTGCCAGCAGCGCTAGATCGGAAAGTGTTCGAACGTGATAAGACCGGTGGAGTGTCGCCAGTAGAGAAGGGAGTCGGTGGCTCACTGTGGAAGTTGTCTGTGCCCCATGGCCCGTTGGACGACTCTGCTGAACCATAGACGCCCAGCTTAGCATCTCCGTTGTCCCAAGGCTTAGCAAATGAAGATCGAAGGCCAGATGAAACAAGGACGTTGGGCTGAAACAAACTCCAAGCCACTTCTTGCGTTGCGAAATAATCTAGTCCGAAGGCGGCACTTTTCATCGACATGGGAAATTCCTTCTTGTGTTGCCGGATCAAGGTGGTGTGAACCCCCTCTTTTGCGGCGGGCTCGAAAAAGATGCATGATAGCATGGCAAGCATCTGGATATCGGCAAGCTTCTCATAGTGCTCAAATAATTGCGGGATGAGCCACACGCTTGCAATAGGATGGTTCCCCCATTTGACACGACCCCGGAGCGCCGGATTCTCCACGGTGGCGGGCTTGTCCAGCTGGAGGTCGATTCCACTATCCTTCTTCTTCACTCGCACCCATGATCGGCGCGCAAGGACCACAATCGGTTCTTTTCGTTGCTGTTGATCCATGATCTCAAGCGGGATTTCATTATAGAGCATGAGCTTTGCCAGGTTCCAAACGGCGGCCGTATCGTCGTCGCCGTATACTGCCGCGACACGAGAATTATGGTCACAGACTAGCGGCCCGTTTCCAAACATGAGATACTCTCCAGCAAGTGCCTTCTTCGCCGGCAGGAGAGAATGCAGGTCATGGATGGATATGATTGCTTTGGATTTGCCGGCCCCTCCTTTGCTGCCTTGTTCGGCACTTGACTGCTGTGAAGTCTTATGAAACCTAAGCATCGCGCCTTTCCACGCGGCAGATCGCATGAAACGCGACGGGAGCCTTCCAATATCTCGCTCGCTGTCGGATGACGTAGTCGAGGAGCTCTCGCTGCTTCCCCCGGAATCGGAGGTTTCATCGTCCACCACCGAGGAGTTTTCCCGAAGGTCTGGGGATTCGGTATTGAGCCGACCAAACCCTTCAAATACGCGATTGCCTCGTTGCAAATGATTGGCTGCGCGCAGAGTCGAGAGACTAAACAATGGCTTCGGTTCGGGCTTTGGGGGGAAAAAGCAGACGAGCCGACCATCTGGAGTCCAGAGAGCACCGCAAGTTTTTGGGACAGGTACGTTCGCGGTGCTGGGGCCTATTTCCGCGCCACTCAATTCGAGATCCTGTCCATCAGGATGATGGAAGGCCGGGCCAACGCCCTCCTCTTCGTCGCTGGAGCTCGATTCATCTGCAGCTAATCCTGCAACATCGTCGGCATTGGAGAAGCTAATGCTATCTTCGAGGCCTCGTTCTCCGAGCAGGTAAGTTATGATTGCCTCTAATGAGCCCCTTTTTTTTGTCTGGTAGTGCTCGGTAATGGAGCGAAGCTCACGTTTCAGCCGTTCCATGGTGTCTTCTGAGATCGCAGAGACGGTCTTCTCAAAATCGTACTGCGGACATGCATCCGCCGGGTAATTATCAGGAAATGATAGGTTCACTCGCAAGAAGGCAGGCTTCTCATCGGCTGCCCACGGTCCGTTCAGGGTGACCGTCGCAGAACGCTTTCCGATATTTGCTAGCTCAAATGTGACCTTTTTGTATTTTTTGCCCACGTAAGTGATCTCGTCGCTGAGGCTTTCCGGTGTATCCCAGACAATCTGGTGGTCATTTTGATTTATTCGCGAGGACCGCGGCGTAAATCCACGAACCATGACGGGAAGAGGCCCGGCTCGTCCTACCCGGACTCCGGCCATCCACGCGATGGGATTGATCGTCCGATTTGGCGTACGCCTGGCTTGCATTCCAACGGAGGGGGTCATATGAACGCCTTCAGATCGATGCACTGGCAATGGTGCCCTACTCATGCCTGCAGCTGCGAGTAGCGCCCCGAGTCCTTTCGGCTTATTTTCTTCATCCTGAAGGTTGGTTGCGTGTGCATGAGTAGGTTCATCACGAAAGGTTCGGTACTCGGCGCCCTGTCTCGTGAATTTCAAGCCCCTCTCTAGATTCTCGCCTTTCTGATGGCCGACAGGCTTCAAATGTTCGTCGGTAATGCGATGCAAGAGCAGTTGTCGGTCCATTCCCCAGGATATAAGCTGGAAATCCCGGTTATCGATACCATCCTCGACGGTACCGCGAGACCGCCACAGAAACTCTTTAGCTTGATCATTGTGGCCCTTGAATGACGTAGTTGGGGAGCCGACCGACTCGCGACTCTCCCCATCGCCCAACCTGCGGTCGAAAAGATGAAGGTCGAAATTGCCTCTCTGCGGCATTGCAAGCAACCCGTAGCCAAATGGGGTGTGACGTGCCCTCCATACGGGATACGGGGTATGTATCACTCGTTCCGGTTCGGACGCGTCATTCTCGTAATCCCAAAACTTGATCGTGTGGTCCAGCGAGCAGGTTACTATGTCGCTTGCTCGAGTGCGGTTCCAGTCGATGCCGTAGATCTTGGTGGCATGAGCCTCGATGGTCCGTAACGGTATGGTCCCTTTCCGGTCATCCCAAATATGGAGATACTTGTCATGGGACGAAGCGATGATATGCGCATCCTGCCGATTCCATTTGACTTGCGTAGCACCAGCATTCCATTCGGCAAACGTTAGAACGGGCTTCGCAGGCCTACGCAGATCCCAACAATGGACATAGCTGTCAACGGCGCAGGTTGCCAACAAGTCCGGATGCAGCGCAGAAAAGTTGATGTCAGTAATTGCTCGCGAGTGTGCATGCAAAGTGTGCTCTATGGGAGCCTGGCGAGTAAGCATGTCGAGGTTCCATACCAGCGCCTTCTGGTTTGACGTGCTCACGATCCAATAGTCGCGCGATGAGAACGGCGACCATTGCACGTCGGCGACCTCCCATGGCGAGCGATGAACCAAGTGCCGAGGTGTGGAGTAGAGATTATCTAAGTCAATGATATGAAGACCCTCCCGGCTACGAATTGGATCAAATTAGCTCTGAAATGCCTTGTGCGATCATGGGTGACCTACGATGCTAGGACGACATCCCTCCCACTTGGGGAGATGGAGGCCGAACCGACGGTCTCATGGACTTTGATCTGAACATCGAGCTCAAAAGTTTTGCTATCAAAAGCGGAAGTATGCTCACGCGACGGCTTTTCTGAGATATTCTCCATAGGATTATAATGCTTCGATTATGCTGCGCAGCTCATTGGGTGTCCCATAGAGAACATCTCCTGGGGGATTGGGGTGGTGTTGAGAACCCCGAGCGATGGGTGAGAACTGGAAGGAGTTATCGGAAATGGATGCACCCATACTGGGTAAGAGAAGTCATTCCTACTGAGTCTAGTAGAATATCACCGAGGTGAACACTTCAGTTGCGTGACGCGAAGACTATCGTAAGGAAACATGAATGATGTCGACAGCTCTGTACTCTGTTGTGATGGCGGCGTTGAGTGTGGCTGCTGTGGCTGGACTTAAATGTGGCGTCAATCAGGCTCCTAACTCAAGCCTTACTGCCTGAGGTGTTAATCCTGATCCATCTAAGTGGGGCAGATTTGATCATCACATTGAACTGCGGGAACTGAATCATCAACATGAATTGTTCGACATTTCTACTATTCCCGCCCATTCCAATCTCGAGATAGGGCCACAGACCCTTGAGGTTTACTACTATTCTCTTCCATTCACTCCTACCAGTCTTTCTCAAAGCCTCTGGATCACTTTGGAACTCTTTATTAGCTTGACTCCCTCTGAGCCGCCAGCGTGATCAGTCTCGTACCTTGTTTCGATCCCGATTACAAACACCGCTTTGCCTCCTATACTTCAAGACTCACCCGGAGATATCTCCCATTCTCTTCACACGCAGCAACCTCATTGCTGAGGATTACTCCCGCCAAAATGTCTCTTCCGAAGAGAATCATCAAGGAGACAGAGCGCCTGATGGCCGAACCGTACGTTCCCTCCACCCCATCGTACTGACCGGAGCATCTAACAACTATCGGCTCAGAGTCCCAGGCATAAGCGCCGTACCGCATGACGACAACCTGAGATACTTCAACGTCACCATCGACGGCCCATCACAATCCCCTTACGAAGGTGAGGCATATCGCAACCCCCGCCCGTGTCCCTATTGACGAGGCTCGGAAACAGGAGGCACTTTCAAACTGGAGCTTTTCCTCCCCGAAGACTACCCCATGACACCGCCGAAGGTCCGATTCCTCACGAAAATCTACCACCCCAACATCGACCGGCTGGGGAGGATCTGCTTGGACGTGCTGAAAGGTTACATAACATGACTTCTTTCCTGATCCGAACCCTAGTTGACCGTGTTTTAGCCAACTGGTCGCCCGCCCTTCAGATTCGAACCATCCTGCTCTCAATACAAGCCCTACTAGGTGCTCCGAATCCCGATGACCCGTTGGCCAACGATGTTGCCCAGCGCTGGAAGGAGGACCAGAATGCCGCGATCGACACGGCTAAAGAGTGGACGGCAAAGTACGCCACAGCTTAGCGAGTCAGGTGCTTTCACGTCGAAGGAAGCTATGGAATGCATATGAGTACGTCCGTTCAGACCGCTCGGATTTCTTGAAAGCGAACGGATGTAACGGTTTGCTGACGCGGACGTATGGCCAAGTCCGGTCAGGTGACGATGAGGGGAGAGCATTAGGTTGGGCCATCGTGTTAATTACTTGGGACATTAAGCTGGTTTATGATTGACGGGCTCACCACTCGATGACTAAATGCCATTTTTTTGAGCAATGCTTTTGCATACGGCATGCATGACGCGTGTGACAGCTTATACATTATGACTGGACATGACAACAGATAAACAGATGCGTAGGGACCGTCTTCATCCTCCTGTTCTTTCTCAACGATATTCCTATGCTACCCTGGAAATAATGGTTCGTGAGTCTTCTAAACCTTGACGGGTGTTCGAAGAGTGAATGTCACTGGGGACCCATTTATGGTAACCCAAACGGTGAGCGGGTCGGAACCAATTTGTTCAGCTCTACCTCCGTTATTGGAAGTCACAGGGCCGGGGAACGTCACTGGAAGAGGCTTGCCGCAACGGTTCCCGGTGGTCGTGAGCGTGGCCCCGACAATTTGCGACCCGTCGCTAGAATAGTTCCTACGTTATGTAAGCATTGAAATCGAGGACTAATAGATGACGGGTCTCCATACCAGGCGATATTCGGATTACACCGGTCCCGGGCCATGCGATCCGCGAACGATACAGCTAGATCATCGTGTTTCAGCGTGAGCAGCGGCCAATCCACCAGCCTGACCACTTCTCCGACGACCGTTTCCACCCAGAACTGAAGCAGGGAGTACTTGCCGCTGACCGTGCCAGTGCTTTGGTTCGGCAAGTCCGACACGCGCATGTTGGCTTGATGGAACATGTAGGCGTCATGGTGCAGTCCCAGTATGCTTCGGGTGTTCACATCCCGCTCATCCTCGAACAGGGCCGCGGCGTTGCCGTTGACGCCGTAGGATGAGCGCCACTCCGCAACGTTGCAGTCGATCGCATCGCAGTTGTAGAAGATGTTCGACACCCATCGTGGGGTGATCTGGTATCCATCGAATCCATTGGCAGATTGATTGGTGACCAATGGCCAGAATTCATTTTCCTAGAAACCAATTTTAATCCCGAACAACTCATAGAGGGAACGGGGAGTGAGCGCTTACATGGTTTAGTAATGCCGATCTGCTGTTGTCTCCAACGCCGTTTTGCAGGCCGTTATCACTCCACGCTCTTAAGACGTCAGGGTTGTGAAAACCAGTAATACCCGGCGGGATCAGGCCCTTCCCAGAAAAATGCTTTGCAGCTGAGAATCCGATGGCGTCCAGGAATCCAATGTTGAATTTGATCTCCTTGTTTGCATCTTCGTAAGTTGCACCGTTCAACGATTGATGAGTACTGGTGGTGTTAGCAGCTGCCTGGTAGTATAGAACTGGTTGACTGACAATGTGTGAGAGACATGTGCGAATGCATCGCGATTGGTAGGATTCTTCAGCCAAACCGCCAATGGGTCAAGATTTATGCAGGCGTCGCTCCAGGAGTACTCCGCTGGGCTTGTCGGCCAAACGTTCGTTCCCGACCCTGCAGGCTTCTTGTACTCCTGATCAGCGAACTCTGCAGGTGTAGACGAATAGTAGATGGCGCTCGGCGGTACACATGCCCCACCAGCTGGATCATTCTTGATGCCATTTTCGATGGCCCCGTTGCCGTTGTGACCGAGCTCAATGAAGTATTCCGAGCCGCGAGGCATCTTCCCTTGGATCTGACGGGTCCACGCAACGTGAGCCTCTAGATCCGCAGGTCGAAGACGGAAGTTGACAGTATTCGGCTGGAAGAGGGTCGTCTGGAGGAAAACATCGTCGACTTGGGTACCGAAATTCAGTCGGCGAATTCCGGTGTAAAGTCCCCGGGTCGCCCACTGAACCCAGACGTGGTCCAGATACGCAGACGTCACTAGGGCGTCGGTCGCCCATGCGGTGAAGAAGACAATCTGCTCTCGGCCGTTGATGTTATTGATGATTGCTGCCGTGGTCTGCTCCTTGAATATCCCTGACGGTGCAAAACGGGCAATTTCTCGTGCGATGCTCGGGTCGATGATCCTGGAAGGGTAATGCCACAATCCCTTCGTCGAAACCGTGGCGCCTTTCTTGAAGTTGACGCCTTCGAAACCAGTGAAATCAGTGACAGTGAGCAGCTGCTCGACCGTGTCCTCGCAACACCCATCCCCAGTATGCGCATCTGTTACGCCGAATTCCTCCACCGGATAGGCATCCAGACGAGTCATACGGACACCGAACTTGACCTGGTAATCGTAGAGCTGTTGCCACTGTTCCGGCTTCAAGGCACTGGACCCATCGTTTGAATCATCGTTTCGGACCTCGCTTACGACGACGATGCCGCCAAAGTTGCCCTGATTTCCGTTCGCTAGGGCGGGAAGTGTGACACTGCCGGAGCCAACGTAGACCACTCGGTAAGGGATGCCGTACGCTTGAAGGCGAGCGTAGCCTTGGTATGCATCGGCGGCATGCCGGGCGATCACTAGGAAAGTGGAGAGGCAGCTGTTGCCTCGCCCAGGGATTGGCGATGTCTGAGGGTCGGCTTTGGTGGTCGGTTTTGTTGTAATCGGACGGGTAGTGATTCCGCCTCCTCCTCTTGTCGTGGTGGGACGCGTAGTAACAGGCCCAACCGTTACCGTACGCGTGGTTCGACGACCTCCGGCAGACACGGTCACTGGGCGTCTACCAGTGACTGTAACAGTTGCGCCATTTCCCCCATTCCCGGCATTTCCTCCGCCGGGGCGGAGCGTTGGCCACTGTTGATTGGTCTGACGGCCATTCCCACCTTGGTACACCGTCACAGCAATGACTTGAGCGTCGCGCTCCTCGAGGTTTTGCTCCTCGAGAACGTCATCGGCGCGGATTTGAAACGGACTCAGAAAGAAAAGGATGAACAAGCAGAACGCAAGCAGATGGCGAGAGAGTGAAGGGGCCATCGTGGGGCGCAAAAGAACGAATGTAGAGGAGACACTTCGCAGCTCGACTCGAAAGTGGCACCCGGCCAAATGAATGTTTATATATTCGGACGCTGCACGAACCGAGAACTGTATCGGCCAGAAGACGAAGCCCCGGAAATTGGTATTTCCAAGAGCCAAGGGTATTTACCATTTCTCCATCTTGGTGACAAACGTTTTCGGGCCACGAAAATTTCGTGCTCGCCATAATATACTGGGACGCCGCAACTTCGACGGCATCGTCATCGTCGCCTGCTGGCTTCACCGACCCTAAACCGATGTACGAACCGGGTCATCTGTGAGGGCAGCAGCCATTCTTCTGCGGCATCGATAGCGAAGTCATTGGAAGTTCCACGTTGACGAAAGGATGGCAAACAATGCGACGGTGATGCAAATTATGGAACAATTTGTATATATTGTATATAGTGATGGACGACCCGACCGAGCTAGGCTGGGACGGTTATGGGAAAGCGAGCAAGTTGGTGAGAGCGGCGATATTGCATATAAGACGCCTTGCCCGCAGGGATCCCATCATCATCCCATCGCATGGTGACCTCGGACACTTTATTATATTTATTTGGACGCGGCATCCCTCAGCTAGCATCCTCAGTATAGATTTCAATTTCTGGGACCAGGACAGATATATTGCCTGGTCCATCCGGTTGATTTGGAAGGGTGATATAAGGCCTAAATATAGCCAGTGGGCACGAGGCCGCTCGTGAACTATTTTTCTCCAGACAATACGACGTCCATTGGCGTGTTGCTGGTGGTGTCATCGAAACGAGCTTCGGATTTGACATGCGGTTGTTCTGTCGCTCCGTCCTCGATACGACTCTAGTCCTGAAGTGTCCTGAGCAAAAAAATCCAATCCTATCGTGTATCCAACCATTCTCTTCCACCCCTGGCGCCATGTCGACTCCGATTACGGAGGATAATTATCCACACTCGGAGTGAATCTTGATCTTGGTAGCGACGAGCCGTCCCAGGCCTTCGTTAGTATCTATCGACTCGAAAGCCAAAGATGCTGGAGAAAACAAGGACCAGGTTTCCTCAAACACTCACGATTCATGTTGGAGACGGCGTGGGAGCCTCGAAGTATCGTCATTACCCGTGCCTAATTCTAGCCCAACAAAGTTCTAAGAGCCATGCCTATCCATTTAAGGCTCATCATCTGATGCTCGTAATCACTGATGCCCAAATCGCGATATCCCCAAACGCCAAACTTTTCCACCGCGTCTATCCCAACCATCTAAGCAGGCTCTATTCCGTCCCATGGTATCCCATCCTACTCCGCCTCATCGTCCGTGTCCAGCGGATGAGGCGTCCCCTTCGGGCTGTTCAGCCACTCGATATGCCGTAACCGCCTCCGCACCTCCCGCTCCTTCATCTGCGCGCGCGTCATCTTCTTCTTCTTCTTCGCCTTGAACTTCATGTCCCCGCCCTCCGCTTCGCTGTTCGCTGCCGACGCCGCCGCCGACGCCACCGCCGAGCTCATCCCGCTGGCCGGCCCGCTGCCGACGCCGCTAGGAGTTCCGATGCCAGACCCGGGACGGCTGTCCTCGAACCGATCCAGGGACACGGCGAGGTGGCCCTTGGCGGTCAGCCGCCCGTCGTTGACGTGCCATTGCTCCGGGCACAGTGCGCTGACGAACTCCTCATTATGTGATATCATGACCACGCCGCCGCGGAAATCGCGGATCGCGACCGCCAGACCGCCGAGGGAATCGCGGTCCAGGAAATTGGTCGGTTCGTCGAGGATGAGGAGATGCGGGTTGTTCCACATGGCGCCGGCGAGGACGACCTTGACTTTTTGGCCGCCGGAGAGGCCGGAGATGGTGTTGTGGTTGGCGATCTCCGGGTCCAAGCCGATGTCCTCGAAGTGCTTCGAGATGATCTTCGGCTCCAGCTGACGGAAGCCCAACCCTTCGCGGGAGGCCTCGTGGTCGTCGAACTCTTGGACGAGCTTTTGGAAGCCGCGGGCGAGCAGGGTTTCGCGGGAGATCATATTGTTGAACTTGGGGAGCCAGTTCACCCATTTCCTATGGACTGTTAGAGATATCCAGAAAAAGGGTAAGGGGCAAACTTACACTTCGTATTGGAAGCTCTTCTTGTACTTTTGCCGACCGATCAGCGCTTCAACGTTCCGTGGTCCACTGCCGTCGCCAATATCGATTGGCGTCGCCATCTGCGCCTTCTCATCCTCGGTCAAAATTCTCGTCGCCTTCATCAGCACCTCGCGGTCATCGCCGTGGGCATATCGCCACTGCAGGTACTGATTGGGCGTCTTCTCCAAGTGCATTTCCACGTGCTCCAACGCGTGCTGTTTGATGTATCCAATACGTAAGTTGGGATGCTTCTCGACCTTTCCTTCTTGTGGGACCACTTCGCCGGTGAGGACTTTGATGAGTGTGGACTTGCCGGCGCCGTTGGGTCCGATGATGGCCGTTCGCGATGATAACGAGAGCCCGGCGGATACATCGAACAGGTTCGGCTTTGATGCTCCGGGATATGTGAACGTGCAGTTCGTCATGCGAAGAATCGACCGGGTGTTGCTCTTGACTCCAGTCAGGAGCCCGGGGGGAGGGAATTTGAATTGAACGTTGGAGGCCGACAAGGTGTAGTAGGACTTGCCCTCGGGCTTAACCTTAACGAAAGCGGCAAGATTCCCCTTGTACGAAACCAGCTTCTTCTGCTCGTAGTGATAGATGTCGGTGCAGACGGCATCGAGGAACGCGGAGTCGTGGCTCACGATCAAACTCGTGATTTCCGTGTGCTTTTGGAGGTACTCCTCCAGCCACTTGATATTGGCAACGTCCAAATGATTGGTCGGCTCGTCCAGCAACAGAACTTGGGCTTTCATGAGCATCGCTCGTGCTAACGCCAACTTCATCTTCCAACCGCCCGAGCAGGCGCCGACCTTCATGGACTGCTTTCCCTCCGGACCGGCATCGAAGCCAACCTCTTCCAAGACGGAAGAGATGTGCTCGACGGTCTCGTCGGCAAAACGAGGATCCTTCGCGATAAACTCCAGAATGGTGAGGTCCGCGCTTTCGCCTTGGTTATGCTCGACGAAGCACGTCCGCAGTTGATCGGGGGTCGGGAATCCTTCGAGCTTCCCCTCAGCGATACTCCGCATGAGGGTTGACTTTCCGGCTCCGTTGCGACCGCAGAGCCCGTACCTGTGGCCTTTGAGGAGCCTCAGGTTGGTGTGCGAGAGGAGCAGCATGCCACCGTATCCCAGAGAAAACCTTGCGTTCACAATCTCCTCTTCGCCGTCCTCCTCTTGGATCGGAGCACCGTATTTCCGATTTTCCTCTTCGACGTAGAACGCATGCGCAGCTTCCGCAATAGCAGACGCACGTGCACTGTCAGTCAAATCCCTAAGGTACGGTTCAATGTTGACATGCAGCCGATCCAAATGGCGTTGGTTGACGTCCTCGGCCACCATCTCGGAGACATAGTTCTTGGTCGAGGCCCATACCGATGCATCCTCGGCTGAAATGTCCCCATTCTTTTGCACTTCCTTCTCCAGCAAGGCGGCGACATGTGCGGGAAGTGTGGGGGCGAAGATGTCGACCATTCCCTTACCACCATTTTCGCCCATCGCTTGTTCGATCACCTTCAGCGCCCGCGATGCGATTTCGCGAACTTCCGGAAGCGAGGCTCGATCCTTCACCGCTTTCACACCAGGTTTCAACTTCGGCAGGAAAGCTCGTGCTTCAATCGGGTTATGAACCAGCTTGGTCAAGTTCTCCACCACAACCACGGTTTGGCGCAGCACCTCTTGGGTCGTGGTTGGAGTGTTCAGGGAGCGTTCCAGCAGCGGAGTGACGAGGGCGAGGACCGGAGATGTGACGACGGCCACGAATGTCGTCTGTGACAGAGCATGGATGGCTTTCTGTTGAGTGCCGGTGGACGGATTTTCCATGGATTTGATGAGGAGGGGTATCCGGGGAGCAACATCGTCGTTTTGGAGAAGAGTCGTCAATATGGTCATCGTCTTGGCGGCTTGCTTTGCAACCTGTGCAGATGTCGTTAGACTCGTTCTTGTTCAAATTTACTGTGGATGGACATACCTCGGACTTCAAATCGTGCATCCCTCCCTCGACGATCGGAATCAACCGCTCTAGCTGCTTGCCCATCATCTCTCGAAGGACGTCTTTGCTTTCCTCTTCTTCCCGCGTCCCTGATCCGATCTTGGCCTTGTCTGCCATTCGGCCCACCAAACCGTACGCTCCCACAGTCCCTTGCCATTTCCCGGTGGCTTTGCCCAAATATTTGGTAAGGATCGGCAGGAGGCCAGCAACCAGGGCTTCCGGAGATAGATTTCCGAACAGCGCATCGAGGGCATATTTGGCTCCCTCACGAACCGAGGGCCCTTTGTCAGCCAACGCGTCGAGGGCGGTGACCACCAAATTGTCTTCGGGCTGGAGGAAGACCGCTTCGGTTATGCGGTGCTTCGGGGGGAATCGCTCAAATAGGGCACCGATGGCGAACATGGCACCCTCACGTTTGGCGCCTACCTTCTTGTCGGCGGCGGCTTTCTTGATGGCGTCGAAAATGCCATAGCGAGCGAAGCCACGGAAGCTGACCGACTCGCTTAGCACGTCGGTGAGGGCATATGCAGCGTCGAGCGACTCTTGCGAACTCTTCGCGACGAAGATGGTGTTCAGAAGCGTCGAGACGTCTTCGGCGGGAGGAGGAACGCTGGTCGATTTGACGGGAACCACATTTTGGATTGAAGAGGATTCCATATGCGGCATCATGTGGGAGAATCGCACGAAGGATCGGCGTGGAAAACTTTCGGGCTGCAAAGAGTTGATAGGACAGGCGGTCGGTGGAAAGACCGAAGTCCTAGGAGGGGAGAGGGGAGATTAAGAAGGATAAGAGGTAAGTATGTAACAACTCTTCAAAAGCCTATATATCGGGATTCGAGAAGACCTCGAGAAGCGGAGGGAGAAGAGGTCAAGTAGGAAACAGAATCCCAGCAGCCAGTGTCGGAACTGGAATAAGCAGGAATATTCCCAGACAAAAGGACTGGACGATATGGAAGAAAAACTTTGGGTGGGGCTGATTTGGTGAAGGCCCTGAAGGGATGAATTTTCGTGGTTGCAATTTGCACTGGCGTCGTTGGCGGTTGGCCCCCCAGCCGCGGTTGCCCTGTCGGCCGCCACTGTGGCCTGCCGTGAGTGCACGTGCTTATGAATCTTATCCCCCACTGTCCAGTGAGTCCAATCTCCAGCTCTGAGACGTGGAGGGACGGGAAGTGGAGGAGTGGCGGTGTCGGTGGCGGCAGATGTGGCGGGCGGGGTGGTAACAGGCTAACAGCAGCATGGGGTGGGGTGCCAAACATTGGGCGGTGGAATAGGCGGGGGGGATCCTATCATTGGGCGGTTGAATTGGATGCTGGATGGAGCCGCGGAACCGCGACTATACCAGGCCAGACAAGATTAAGGGAGGCCATAGGGCTGGATTGTCGGTAATTCCCGGTGCCTGTGGGCACCCATTCTTATCATCAATCATTTTTGCATCCATCCCCATGCCGAATTTCCTTAATTACAAGAGAACTAACTAGGTGAAGACACATCATCGCCTCACAGTGTCACAAAACCCTCAATGCCACCCACAGTGTTTTGACTGATGCTTACGAAGTCGGCCCGTCCCAGCAACCAGGCTCAGATAAAGGAACTTGACCGAACACTGTAATCCTCTCCTGGAGCCATGGACCTGTCGGCTCCCTATGGGTCGCTACTGACAGGATGACCGAACTCTCTCGGGTTTGACCTCGAACTTTGACGCGAAATAAATATACGAGTCCGACGTGTCGATCACCTAGCGGACTACCTCCCAGGGATGGCCATGGAGACAAGTATGAACAACGCAACATCGTCCTAAGTTGGTATGTGGAACCTCCACCAGAGCGAGGGAGAAACGATGACATATCCCGGTGCCAGCCTCTTTAACTTGATGGTAGATGTTTGTTCGAGACGTTGACCGCCTTGATCGGTAGATCTTCGTGAACCGAGCTGGGTTGCTATCCAGGACGTTGGCCGACATCCAGATCGCCAAAGCGTTTGGCGGCTTCGGCGGTTTCAAGAAGGGCTTATTTCAGGAACATGGCATGAAACATTCTCTTTCCGATTTATCTACCTAGTAATCTAGTATTCAACCGCAATCCAACACGGATCGATCGTGGTTGTGCATCGAGATATTACTCCGACCATGAAGCTGACCATGTCGGATCCCGAGTCTGCCTGCTACCGCAACACTGCGGGTGGCATCTTTGACCAACTCCGCCCGCGCTCGGAATCAGAACGATGTATTCACACGCGTTTGGAGGGTTGGTTCCTTCGAAGCGGTTTGCTTCTTCCGTATTGAATCTTCATTTCGGCGTTTGCTCAATGTTCGCTGCTCTATTAAATGTCGAGTCGCTCACCCGCTTCCGATATCTCAGACCAGTCTTCATTCACAGCATTCCATCTTCCACTTCCATATCTATTCCACAGCAATAATTTCCATTTTTTCGTCTTTCAGTTCGTAATAATCATTCACAATGGCCGCCGATCTCGAACTCCTCAGTTTCCAACTTCTCGCCGCGGTGAAGGAGCTCCAGGCAGGCACTGGCAGCAATGAGTTCAAGTCCCGGAAGAAGGTGACCGACCTGGCCAAAGATATCGTGGTCAACGCCATCCACCCCGATGAGGTGACCTTGGATTACTGCATCCAGATGGGCGAGATGGCCGCCCTTCGGATGTTCATGAAGTGGAAGATGTTCGAGAAGATCCCTAAGGACTCCGCCATCTCGTACAAGGAGCTGGCCGACTCCGTCGGTGCGGATGAGTCTCTCGTCGGTAGGTTGATATGTGGCTGATATGCGGGCTCCAACGCTAACCGGCTTCAGCTCGTCTCGGTGGTATGCTCGTCGCCTGCGGCCGCCTTGACCAGGTTGGTGAGGACGCGGTGACCCAATCCCGTGTCTCGTACACCTTCGCCAACAACCACACCTCCGGCATGATGTTCCAGATGATGTTCGACGAGGGCATGCGACCCTACACCCAGTGGCCCGACTACTTCGAGAAGTACAACAACAAGGAGCCCACCGGCATCACCCACAACCCGCACAGCTTCGGTTATGGCGAGCCCGAGCAGGAGTGCTGGGCCATCCTCGGCCGCGACGCGGAGCGAACCCGCGTCTTCGCTCTCAGCATGCAGGCCATGGAGTCCCAGCTTCCGATCGGAGGCATCTACGACTTCAAATGGATCGGTGAGGAGGCCAAGTCCGGCAAGAACCCCGAGCGTCCCCTGATCGTCGACGTGGGCGGCAGCGCGGGCCACGCCCTGAAGTTCATCATGGAAGAAACCCCCGACATCCCGCAGGAGCGCTGCGTGCTGGAAGACCGTCCGGAGACCATCGCCGACACCAAGAAGACCGGCGACCCGACCCTCGCCAACGTGCAGATGGTCGAGCACGACTTCTACGCCGAGCAGCCGGTCAAGGGCGCGCTCATCTACTTCATCCGCCGCTGCCTGCACGATCACCCCGACGAGAACTGCGTGAAGATTCTCACCCACCTCGCCAACGCCCTACCCGCCGACGACACCCGTTCGCGCGTGCTCATCACCGAGCAAGTGCTCGACAACCCGCCCACCAAGACCAACACCTGGGTCGACATGTGCATGATGAACATCGGTGGGAAGGAGCGTAATGCCCGGACCTGGGACAAGATCGTGACCCAAGCGGGCATGAAGATCGTGGCCATTCACCGCAAGGAAGGCAGCCCGATTGGCGTCGTCGAGTGCGCCAAGGCGTTGAACTAGAGCAGATTTTCCTATCTCAAAATGCATTGCCTTGGACTGGCGTTCATTTTATTTCGTATGGACGTTTGAAGGAAGGTTGCCTTTTGTACGCAGCAGTTTGCGCGTGACTTTCAGGTTTCTATTCAGCTCCTATGGTCCGGTTGATCTCACGGGGATGTTCTTAGCCCATCTGCTGGGGGAGATATAGATAATACATAGGGATGCATCCGACATCTGGAATGACGATACATCACACACCGATCTTTGTGCCTCCACCCTCTTTGCAATTACCTTGTCATATACGCAAGATAGATGAGTATATGACCGCTTCCAAGTAAATGAGAATCACATCACATGAAGACTGCACCAACCTTTCCATGAAGTGGTCAGGGGGGAATAAGTTACTTCTAAGCTAACTCAGTTATACTTTCATTAAGCTATACATTAATTCTAGTTCCTATAACTAGGAAGGTGTAGCGCATTACAAATCCATCGATCAAAATCGCTGACAGCCGGCAAAACAATTAGACACTGGGGAATCAAGAAGAAGTCCATCATCGCCACTGGCGAAAATCCCGGTTTACCAATTCTTTCCATATAAAACCCCGGCGGACATGGAAAGCAAATAATCCCTCCCCTTCGCCAACCACACCATCACCCACGGCGCGTTCCATCCGTTGATCGCGCCCACGCCTCTCCGCCGTCCGACCGGGACCACCTGCGTCATGGGGTCTAGCCGCACCCATTCGGCCCGATTGCCCTCCGGCTTCCCGTTCGCCTTGAGCAGGTCGCTCTTCAGGTTCGCCATGGCAATGGGGAGGGCGTTGTTCATGTCCATCACCCCGCCGCGCGTGAAGCTCCCGGCATCGCCCACGACGTACACGCGCTCGCCGGCGCCGTCGACCTGGTGGCTTTTGTGGTCGGTTTTCACGTACCCTTTCTCGTCTTTGAAGCGGTCAGGGATGTAGTCGGAGTTGGGGATCACGGTAGTCGCGTCCAGGTAGATGTCCGCGGTCAACACCTCCCCGTTCGACAAGTGGATCGCGTAGCCCCCTTTCCCCTCGCCGACCTGCTCGACCCGCTCGATCAGCGAGTTGTACGCCACGTCCACGCCGACGCGGTTCAGATAATGCTCGGCCCCCGTCGATTGCTTCTGTCCTAGCACGGGCAGGAGCTTCTTCCCTCGGGTCACCACGGTGATGCGGGCCTTTTGAACCGCCGGACGCGTGCCGAACCACCCGGCCGTGCCGTTGAGCGCCTCGCCAATCTCTCCCGCCGTCTCCACGGCGACGGGCCCTCCGCCACCGATGACGATGGTCTTCGCTCCGGATAGAGTCTTGACGAACTCTGTTTGGCGGGCTTGCAGGACGCTCTTGTCGCCCTCGTGGTTGAACAGCGGCGAGGCGGCGCTCCAGCCCGTGGCGATGATCAGGCTGTCGTACACGATCTCTCGATCTGCGTCCTTGCCGTCCTCTAGGAGCTTCACCGTCACGCTTCTACCGTCGGCGTCCCATGCGGTCGCTTTGCCCACGATCAGCTCGACGGATCCGGCGGGATATGCCTTGAAGGAGTCGAGGATCGGGAAGAAGGTCGTCTCGCGGGGGAGGAGGTCGTTCACGGCCACGACGCGCGGGCCGGCCATCCGCCACCAGAAGTGGGTGCTCGGGTTCACGATAACGATGCGGTAGGTATCGGTCGGTAGGGAGGGGAGGATCTGCTTGAGGGTATAGTGGGTGGCGCTTAGACCACCGAACGAGCCGCCGAGGACGAGGATGGTCTTTTTTTCCGAAGACATGTTGAGAGGTTTGAGTTGGGTGATAGAGTTCAAGGTCAAACAACTTCGATACAGTCAAAGTGGGGGCTTAATTGGGTATCAATGCTTCGTGTGCACAGTCAGTATCTTGCTTCGAGAATCGAAAAACGGTATCACCATACTCACAGATTGTTTGTGTCCGAGTTTGGTCTATGAATACCACCTTATCCGTGACAACAATAGCGTGCAAAGTAGAAACGAACTAACAATAGAAATCTATAATTCCGAATAAAGGAAACAATGGGCGAGGGGAAAATTAGATAGAGAGATCTTAGGGAAAGAGGAACGTGCTAACCAGCTTATATGTGAATCTGAGACGCCGTTGGATCTGTCTGATGGATCCTCCGGCCGCCATTCCGGTCTGACGATGCATACATTATGGTACAGTAGTACCAGTGCACCCTCAAATCTTGATGACAATTGTCCTGCCAATTCCCGCGGAGACATTTCCGCGACAGTTTAGTATCAGCCTGAACTGTCCTCATTCAGGACCGGCATAATAGATGCAATATCATCAATTGATCTTACCAATCGTGAATGAAACTATGAAGGTTCAGAGGGTCTGTGCCAGGTCCTCAGCCCCGAGGGATCCCAAGCTTCCATCCATGATTAGTGATTCATCAATACTTGTACGGAGTAGATGGTAGGATGGATGGATGATGGCCACCAAGGAGAAATTGGACCCCTAGTCTGCAGCCCGCAACTCCTCTTGCTGCCAATTGGCGGGTTGGATGGCAACGCCACCAAAATCGCCGGGCCTGGAGCGGTTAGTAGCGAAGAAATAAGATATGTTAGTCGATGAGCAAAGTAAGCTAGCTTAAATCAGGTATCGCGAATCTCCACCTCCGACCCGGAATCTGCACCATCCGGGTTACAAATGCAGGATTGGAAAATATTGGAAATAGAAATGTACTGATTAAGTTCAACCCCCTGTCCAGCAGCCAACCACTCGAGTAGCCGGTATCACCACCACCATCATCATCGCTCTAACCGCAATTTCTCCACCAAAACATATTATATTTGAAAATCTATACAGCATGATTCAAAAGATACAGCCTGGAGAGACTCTGATGTAGATTTAGCCTCTGAAATTGGATGTCTTCGTTAGTAATCTTCCTCTACCGCTCGTACAACTTCTTGTGCCAATTTGATCTCCTGAACTTGCGCAAATCTCTGATTAAGATCTATCTGAACTTTCTTTTTACGTTTTGGTGCTGTAGCAGCATCAAGGCGTGCTTGTAAGCCCGCGATTTTCAGATCTGATGAGGCCTGACGCGCCTGTAGCACTCCGATCGCCTTGGCTGCCTTCTCTATATACGACTTGGTCGTCTTTGCCACGCGTGTATTCTTGCTAAGAACGCGCAATGCACTCTGTACCTGTTTGGGCTTGTAGGGCGTCGTCTGGAGAACGGGGGGAACTGGCATAGAGGTGCGTGGAGGCGTGTTTGGTGGTGGAATTGGTGGTGCGGTTACGGTAGGCGTTGACGGTACAACGAAGCGGTTACTGAGGCCCTTTGACCGGTCAAATGGCACAAGTCCTGCAGCCTTCCACCCAGATCTGATTGTACGGTCGGCTAGGCGTGCCTGACGCGCCTCTGCATAGAGGATAATGAATCTTCGTTGTTTAATCGGTAGGGCTTCGTCGATATACGCGCTTTGGCGGAGGAGGGTCTTGTAGAAGCGTTTTAGAGGCGAAAAACAGGCGAGATCGAGAGGTTGAAGGATATGGGAGGTATGTGCAGGTAGAAAGACCACGATTACGTTGTTTATCTTGCATTCATACAAGAAATCGATCGTTGCGTGGCTCCCCTGCCCGTCCATTAGCAGAATCCGGTACTGCCGCTGTGTAGCGGTTTCAGGCAGGAAAACCGTACGGAGCCAAACCAACGCGTGTTGATTTGAAGCCCAACCGTGTAATGGAAGTCTGGAGGTTGTTCAGGGAACCAAGAAGACTGTAACGTGGCGCCTTTCTGTATAATCGCTGGTCTGATGTACTGGCCGGTCGCGGAGACAGTTTCAACGATACTAATCCATTCGCGGCCCATAGGACTAGTGATAGAGGCTGTTGACTTCTGCGAGCCTGCAATAACCGTGGAATTAGCGCAAATCCCTAGTCCTATGCCAACCTCATCCATATTCCAGGTATCAGAGGGGTGGTGACTAGTAATGAGTTAGTAACGGTTGGTTAACTAAGTTAGGTAAGATACTCTAAGGTACAGATTCCGGCCATGTGGATGATCTATCACTGTGATTGAACGTCACAGAGCAAACCGCTTCAATGCATTTGCGAGGTCCTCAACGTCATGCTCAACAAGGCCTCGACTTTGTGATAACAATGGCTCGACTAACAATAGCTAGAACAACAATGTAGCGGTTTAGCCCCAACAATTTGGCCCCCAACAATTCGCTATGCAATTTCGGTGTCATACTGATTCAAACACCATAAACGATCATATCCTCTAACTTCAAAAGAATGAAGCCATATTCGCCTTGATCTTGCCACTCGGGTAATGGCTGGCCTCACTTTCAGAAGCTTCTATACCCTTCTCCCTCAGAATCATCCTCACCGTCCAGTCTCCGCCGCTTCCTCCCTCTCCCTCGAAGGTCGCCGACCTTGTCCAGATGATCCTTCGACTCCTCACTATCCTCCTTCTTGCTTGTCTCCCCCCTGCTGTCTCGGTTCCGACTGTGTACGTGTACACCCATCTCTCTCCCACCGACGCCGCCCACAGCTGCTCCGACCATGGTGCTCCACGGGTTTCCTTTCCCCATCTCGGAGCCAAGGACCCCTCCAGCAAGCGCACCGAGGGCCGCGCCACTGGTTTCCGGATGTTCCGTGAGCTTGTCTTTGAGGTTAAAGTTATGGAACTTGTCCGAAAGAGACCCGCTGCCCTTTCGATGATGATGCTTCTTCTGGGACTCAAGAGAACCGGCTGCTGGCGCCACCGGGTACCCAGTTGCGTACGGGTAGCCGGACACGGCATTGTCGAGCCTGACCGGACCTGGCGGAGGCGCATACGGAGTGACGGCCCGAGAATCGATGGTGCTAATGGAGTGGCTACGCGCATGAGGGATATCCGGGGCGGGAGAGCCCCGACCGGGGTCCTTGAAGCGCGGATCCTGAGATGACATGTTTGCGACGGGAGGATTGGAGTATCGATATGCTCCCGGCGGATTGGCGGTGCCGCGGCGACGATTAGGTCCACCATACCCTCCTGGAGACAGGGACGACCTCCTACGAAGGGGTGACGGACGCTGCTCCGGCGGAGCATACGCGGTCGTCGCTTCCGGAGACATATACTCTGTTTGACTGGATGCGCCACTATGAGCACGCTGACTCCCACCGCCTAAGCCATACACATCACTGTATGGGATGTAAGGCATTGCCCCTTGGATCGGCCCCTGCTTCGGAGCTCCCTGGTCGACCAGGTGGACAGGATAAGGTAGGACAGAATTCTGGCGGTAACCTCCAGGGGAGGAATTGCGTTGTGGGTGTGGTATATAGCCGGCTGGTTTGTACGGTTCATAGGTATTATGTTGTGCATGCGCAGTCGAGTCGCTATATGCTTGGTTCGTTCGCCTTGCCGAATTCGGAAATAGGGGATCGAATGGCCGTGACCGATAAATAGGAGATGATGCTGAGCTCTAACACATCACCCTTCGTTAGTATCGCGAGGAGCAGCATTCGCATAAGGCACATATCCCGTTGCGTAACATTCTTGCGGAGAGCGTCTCACCTGCTGCCCCCGCGCTGCCGGATATCCTCCATACGGCGGCTGTTGTTGGTCGTAGGGTTGGTATGGTTGTGACCCATGAGGTGGCAACCCATAAGCGTCGTTTGCAGGATATGAGCTTGCTCGGTATCTGGCGTCCACAGATTTGGCTCGGCGGCGTTCATGCCGTTGTCTTCGGCTTCTTCGCGGTGAACCAACACGCTCTTCCTCATCACTATACTCGTCAGAAGAGGCTTCTACGTCCGAATCATAGTGGCGAGGGGCATGATGACTTCGACGCCTATGACGTCGTCGTTCATCTTCATGGTCGCTCCGCCCATGTCCTCGGTGATGGCGCCGGTCTCGATATTTTCGGTCATAGCTCTTGGACCTATGCTTCCGATGCTTGTCTCTTTCCTTTTCTTTTTCCTTTTCCTTGTCTTTGGACTTGTAATACCCACCCGGGACCATCTCGAACACTTTATCAGGAATATTCGGCGCAGCAAAGCTTAGCGCTTTCAATGCAGCTGAGGCTGCCAGCGACATGACGAACCAGGAGGGAGGAGTAGGGATAGGGGAGGATAGATGCTAGAAATGAAAGAACGGATTGCAGTAGAAGAACGGATTCCAACTCAAGGTATGAAGCAAAAAGGCATATAGTTAGCAGAAGTAAAGTAGTTAACGTTAGTTCATGTTTAAACAAATGTTCGCGAAAGACTCTATAGACGTGTAATTAGGAAAATCAGCCATAGGGAATCATAGAGAATCATAGGAAATAATCCAGGTACTAAATAGGAAATGGAAGTCATGAAATCGGATCGGATACAACCAAGTGGTGATGAACAGGGGGGGAAGCAAGATGACGTCGATGAGCTCGGGAACGAGGAAGGCGCCGCGGGACCCTGTATGCCGCCGGTGGCACCCCCCGCCATCGGATCGTCCAGACGCCTCCCTGCACTGCATCTCTCACCCACGACACTCCGTATCGACTCCACTACGCGAAGGCCCGAACCACCACAGTTGCAACGTGGACATAAAGACTCCAGACACCTATGAAGACTCTAGACACTCGTGTTTCCTGTGCATAGTCTAGGGTCTAGACGTATCTTAAGCATATACGTCATGCATTCCACAGTAATCGAGATATCGATTCTGTTCAAGATTTTGGGTGCCACTCTGGGTGCCACTTTGGTGTCCGCGGACACACAGTCGGGACCTAGAGCGTCCAGCTGACTGAGAAGATACACACCCTTCGGCTGACACGTAGGCTAAGATGGTGCATACTACTAACCCTTCGTTTGTTTGTGTCTTCGCTTCGTCGCATCGCCTTTCACAGTCACGAACCAACTGAGGTGGAAAAAGTAGAAGAGGTCGTAGCCCAGATGATGCATCGTTTTACCTACTCGCGATGCGTCAAGGGTACCATCCGACCCGTGGAATATACAGCCGCTTGGATTCAGTGTCCGCAAGGCTTCTTGATGATCCCACCCATCCTGGACACCCATTTCTCGTGCACTTCGTGGATGCTGACGCTCACCTCCCCTTCCACCACCTTCATGACCGCTTGCCTCCGCTCGTCAAGTGGACGTGGTTCCGCCGTTCGTGTTCTACCCAAGATCGCAGTGTTCCTCGTGCTTGGGATGCGTAAAACCTCATTTTCGGCTTCGTAGCCAATATGTGCGGTCAACCATGAGAGATACTCACATAACGAAGCGTACGCCGATGGTTGCCCAGGGTCCCTCTTCGCTAACTTGCCAGTCTTGGGACCAGGCCCCTGTTGTTCTGCTTGATCTGGTTGTACTGCTGGAGCCGACTTCGCCTTCTTTTTGTCCTTGGCTCGGTTCGCTGGGGCTCGAAAGCGGGCTCCATCGAAGTTGTGACTGCAGCATGGGATGGCGATGAAGGGGCTGTTGGTCAGACACGCGAGCAGTGGAGTCCACAGCGTCAGCTCATCGGCGTGGTTGGATATGATGAAGGTTCCCTCGGGGAACTGCCCGTCATGCGTCTCGATTTTGTCCACCAGTTCGGATCCTTCCATGGCAAGTTGCTGCCCAGACTCTGCAGCCCTGAGCGCTTCATCGCTCGCTTCTGTCCCACTTGGGATATCCGTTGGGTACCGATCCGTCGTTTTATGTTGCATCGGTTCAGGTATAAGTACCATCTCTTTTAAATATGACTGCAGATCCTCCCCCAACGCACTCCAAGTTTTTCTACGCCGAGCGTCGAATCCCCATCCCGTATAACCTTCGCTGCGAAGGATATACACCAAGACCCCATTCCCACACCCAACGTCAACGAACCCTTTCCAGTGTTCCCGGTCCGGCCCGTACATGTCCCGCCACAGCTCGATGAGAAACGCTGCGATCCCGAGATCTTCGAAGACATGCTTCGAGGGATCAGTGCTCTCCACCCATTGTGTGATCAAATACTTGGCGTACTTCAACTTCAGACGGGTATAGGTATCTTGGAGACGGGTCTGAGGGATGATCTGGTCGTGGTGCACACGTTTGGTATATCCCGCCGCCCGACCAGCCATGTGCTTGTGGATGACTTGCAGTAGATGGAGGGCAGTCCGAGATAACCGATCCGATAAGCCAGCTCCAAGGTCGGAGGAAGAACCGGGTTCTTGGGAGGGAAAAGGACGATAGTGTATTGATAAGCTACCTCGAGATGAGTGCTGATCGAATGCATGCAAAGTTGCAACCGCACTTGCTTGGGGGTGATAGAAAGGCATCAAGCTCGGATCTGAGACGTGTGGTAGGTAGATGACCAGATTCGATTCCCCCTCTTTTTGGTCCGATGGCTGTTGTGCAGCATCTTGCTTGATACCTGCGGAACTCGAATGAAAGTAATGACATGTCTGCGGGAGAGGACGGTCTAAGTTGGGGTTGCGAGGGATGAGCTTGCGGACCACCGTTCGCCTCCAAGCGAATCCCCTAAGTTGGTCTATTAGTCGTATTGGTTGATAGTCCTTCGCCATGTGCTTTGTAAAAGAGCTGAACGGCAGATCATGGTCAGTTCCAATGCTCCTATATGATAACGGTTCAACGCTGCCGTCCGAGTCACTGTCGTAGAGGATCTCGGCCCGGAACAGGTGAGTACTGGTGACATTCGGATTGCGCAGGAGGTTCTCCATTACCGTGTGGAAATGTACCGCGGGATATGGACATGGTGTTGACAGAACCGAAATCCATTGCGACTGCTCCGAAGGGACAAAGAAGGACGGATCCTGTTGTGTACAGTCTGATGGCTGGAAGCCTTGAGTCTTCTTGGGCTCACCGAACACGTCTGGAGAAGCCCGAGGGGACGATGCAGCCGCATCCTTGATCATCATGAGAATTGGCTCGGAGCATCAACTCCCTTTCTCCTTTTCTCCTACAAACTCCAGAGGATTTAGTTTGTCGTCGATGGGCGTTCAAGTTGCCGTTGAGGGATGGAATGTACTTAGTTACTTCTGTAGCCCGTGCTAAATACTTTTTCGCACGGAACTGCAATTTGCAGATGGACGATCGATGAAGACGCTTGACCGAATATAGTTTAGTTTGGCAGATCCAACGTCGACGCCGTTCAAGTTGGACCCTTGAACTCTCGGAGTAAAACCGCTTGGTCCCTTTATTGGGTTTATCTCCTATGGTCTATGGACTAATATGGACTACAGTGGTCCCATATGTTTGGCCGTTTGGGGTTGGCCCTCATCCCTGACGTTTCACCTAAAAGTTGGACACTACCTCATCTGCCCCCTCCCCATCCGTGGCCTTGCCATCTCGACTGCGGTTGGCCATCTTGCGTAATACAAGTATCTCGCCTCGCTATCATGTGCTGGAGCTCCTTTGAAGAGTTTGAACCATCGCCATCTCCCATGCGGTGGCATTAATATCGTTTTATCGTTACCAGACTTGCGATTGTGGTGTTCGTTCTGCAGACGCGGTCGCGCAGAGTCCAGGAGAGGATCGCATACAACACCATCCCTTCTCCCGAGAGCCCTTGAATCTATCGCCAGAGGATCAATCGCGTGGTGCTGAGAGGTCTTTATTTGACTTCACTCGCAGCCTCATACATTGCCACATAACGTATCTGGGAGCCTCCGCGCACTTGTTCTCGTCGAAATCCGGTGAGGCGCAACGTCGACAAGATGCCGTCGCTCATATTCCCCCGTGAATCCATTTTGGAGAAAGCCGGTGGCGTTCGCGAATCATTTAGTAGCTGGGATAACTGCATGGCCAAAACCTATTGCAAGTATGTCTTCTCGAATGGCCATCACCTGCCGCGCCGCTAACACCCACAAGATGGCCAGTCATCGTCGGCATCGTCGTCGGCTCGCTCGTCATCTTCTCGATCCTGTTCTGCGTCGTCCGATGCTGCTGCTGCGGACTCCAATGTTGCTGCGGAATCTTCTCCTGCTGCAACGCATGCTGCCCTTCTCCAAGGGGCAAAGGATACAAGAATCAAGACTCGGTTCCTCCTCCTCAACCTTACCATCAATCACCGGCGCAATACCAAAAATCGGCGCAATATGGGGCGCCAGCCCCGATGCAGTACGACAACCGACCACAGTTCGCTACGTTCGATTCGTCCAAGAATGTGAACGAAGATTCGCTTCCCGCCATGCCGTCCTGGGACAGCGCGCATTCACGCAAAGTCGAGGTGGCCCCTGAAGCCCACGAAATGCGACCTATGGACATGAACAGCTCCCCTGGCGCCGCCGCCGCCGCCCTTTCACACAATTCTCCATACCGCGGCGACGGATACGGCGCTGGCGTGGGCCGACAAAGTCCCGGCACCCCCGGCATGGACACGCGCAATCAAGCCGCCTCGTACTACGCCGGCGCAGGCAGCGTGGCCGGATCGGACGGCTGGGGCCACAATCAGCGCAGCGACAACCTGAATCAGTACGGGATGCAGGGCCAGGAGAGCGGCGTCTACGGCCAATCTGCGCCGTACGGGTCCGCTCCCTACCAGCAGCAACTGCGTGTGGGAAGCGCGAGTCCCCCGGGTGCGTATGGAGCGGGCTACGGTGGCCACTCGTCGCCCAGTCCATCATATGGGAGGCATGACAGCCCGAGCGTGTCGTATCCATCGGACAATCGAGCGCACGACGAACCGGCCCCGGAACCGCAGAGCTTCGTCAACCCCTCGCGGCCGGGCCAGTTTGCGGACGACCATGCTAGAAGGCCGGCAAATGGGGGTTATAGAGACGTGTGATCGCTTTTGGTTGATTATTTGTTATGCACTTCGCTTCGCTTCGAGGAGCACGCCAATTGGAAAGTTGGGAATCATTGGCTGCAGATTTTCTGTTTAACTATTGGGCATAGCGACGGCGTCGGATTGTTTGTGATGTGTCAGGGACTTGTGTACATCAAAATGACGTGCTCCAAGAATTGGTTGTCATGGTCTGCCCGGTTTCGGTTTGGTAATAGTACCGCGGCTCTAAACATATCTACCATGTATTTCTTGTATTTCTTCCACTTGAAGACTCCAGGCCTCAACGTCCGAGATGAACCGATGTCCCATTGTTGGCTCTTTCTTGTCCGCATCTCTAGCCCGCTCCGCCGGAGTGTCTCCTGATCCAGCTGCGGTACGGCCCGGACTAATGCAGATGGTAATCATGCCGTGCCACGTTCGATGCAGTCGCCTGCTGTGTTGTGCATCCAGATATATCTTCAATGCATCTGTAACATTGGTTGGATGGACCTCTCCCGTCGAAACGGTGCTGCGTACCAGCGGGACGCCATGGAGGTCACGATGGTACAAGGAAATCCTGCAACGAGATCAGAGCGGGTTCGACATCGGCTATAAACACCTCACACTTTTGGGTCAGTTTGTCTGTATTAGCAGGGGTATAACCCCCCATGAGATTTAATACATCTGAAATCTATTTGAATCGAGATTTCGGGAAACTGGACGTAAATACTTGAGGCTATACGCGGAACCACTTCAACGCCAGACGTCAATCCTCATCGATTCGTATCCGTAACGCATGACCCTGACCCACGCCGAGGAACGCCGGCTTACCCCCTGGATGATGGCACCATGCAATGCTGTAACGCGTGCCTAGATAAACCGCTCAATGGGTTGCAGAACTCCAGAAGACCCGCCTCATCGGTTTTCGCACGAATGTCGGCGCCGGTCCCGCTCAAATAATCCTCGAACATCGCGGTGTCTAAAGAGCGCTCCGCCGTTTTTGCCTCATCGCTTCTTGCCCACGGGCATGTTCCGCTCGAAGCCTTTCGGCTTCTTCCGAATCGGCGTCCTCCATCGTAACGTCCGCGGTGAGCAAGGAGGGCACCGAGATCATGGCACGTGAAGGCTCGCCGCGTTCCCCGTATGGTCCCATGCTGACCGGACTAGCCGAGCGGATTTCGTCATGAATCTCGTCTTCAGGTGGAGAGAAAGACCAAACCTAGATTGGGTTTAGTGAAAAGGCCCTAGAGAGCGGCCACTAGCTTGACTCACCTCCATAAAAGTCTTGGAATTCCGACAGGCCATGATGACCGCCTTCTCGTCCTCAAACGCAACGCGCCAAACAGCCTCGGTAGGCTTGGTCAGCTCGCGGACAAGGGTCCCCGTCTTCAGGTCCCAGACTTTCACGCGTCCATCGGAGCCACCAGACACGATGCGATTGTCGTCGAACTGTAGACTAGTGACCGAGTTATCGTGGGCTGCAAGGCGGTGGATCGCTTGGAATTCGGTGAGCGACCAGACACGGACCGAGCCGTCCGAGCCTCCCGTAACCAGGATATCACCGCGCATCTGTAGTTGACCGACTAGAGATGTATGCCCTTGCAGGACATGTAAGCATTTACTGTTCGTAGAGTGTCAGTGGCCGCTCCAACGTGAGTTTGAGGGTACGGGATGAACTCACCCATCATAAGGGTCCCATATCCGAACGCTCGTATCTAAACTGCCAGTGGCTACCCTTTTTCCGTCGAAAGCGATGGCATATATTTGACTGAAATGGCCGGTCAATGTTCGCAGGCATCTCCCTTCTGATATGCTCCAGATGCGTGCTGTGGTGTCATAGCTCCCGGACACAATCAAGTCTCCGTGGATCTCCAAACAGCGAACACTTGCCTGATGTCCCACTAGGACATGCTTGCAGACACCCTTGGCAATATCCCATATGCGGAGCGTGGTGTCTCTGGAACCGGAAATGGCCGTCGTGGAGTCGGCCATTTTTAGGCAGCGAACGGTCGAGGTATGTCCTCGAAGGACATGGATACTCGCGCTTTGCTTCATGTTAGCAGCTGTTTGACTGTCGCGACTTGTTGGATCGTATATCTTACCCAGTCGCCATGTTCCATACCCGCACATCCCGGTCGCAGCCACCGCTAACGAGGATATTGTCCCAAGGAATCATTGCCCAAACGCCCATGACATGGCCTTGGAGGGTCTTCTGATGGGCACCATCGGTATCGAAAACATGGATCTTGGCATTGTCCAGAGCAACAACGATGTACTTCTCCGTCAAATGCAGGCTGGTCACCACGCCCTGGTCTGGGGTAATCTGACGATGGTCGCATTTTCCACCAGTCCTCCAGGCCTGCTCCACCAGATATCTTTGCTTGAAGTGGCTGCGGTAGGACATGGCCTTTGGACGGCGGCGGAGTGATCGTGAGCCGCGATTTCTGTCGAGACTCTGGGTCCTCAAGTCCGGGCCAGAGGGGGTAGTAGAAGTGTGGCCAAATCCTGACCCTGATACTTGTTGGCCGGGCAGTGCTTGCGTTTGTGCTGGTGCCTGTGTCGGTGCGGATTGCATATGTGCGGGGCCAGGCCGGGTGTTGCCGCCTGCCAAGACCATGGATGGGGAAGGCACGGGATCGTCCTGCACGTGATCCTGTGGGCCAGGACGACGTGCGCTGCTGGACATGTTGGGCATGCTGGACATGGGGAAGGGGAAAAGAGACGATGATGGTGTTGTCGTTCGGTTGGGATGTGATGCCTGACGGTCTAGATAGCCTCGCTTCTCATTTTGAAGCTTCCAAAGCTCTTCGTCTTTCGCGAGCTGCCGCCAGCGTCGAGAGACCCGTTCGCATTGCGAAAGTGTGTGATAATCGACAGAGGTTAGGATCTGTAGTAGTTAGTAGGTGATGAACCCTCCGGTAGACCGCTCCAAAGATTCGGCAGGAGAATCGTACCTTGATGCAAAGCTCGTCCGGTAGAGTTGTAAATGGGTCCTTCTTCAGCAGCGGGCTCACAAACTCGTGGACGAATACCAATTGCTTGCTGTTACACATATTCAACAGCTCTGCCAGCAGACGCTGTTTCTCCGGGTCTCCCATGTCGGTGAACAACATCCGTATGTTGCTGAAGTTCGCATTCTCATGTTCCGCGGCGGTTCTCCAGTCTGGCGCCCGCTGTGTCGGGGTCGGGCTGGGGGCTGGAGTCGGGGGTGAGGTCGGAGCCGATGCGAGTAAACTGGGCGGTATTGTCGAGGACGTGGGACTGCTTGGGGTATGGATCGGATGAGGAAGCCGCGTATTTGTGTTTCTGCTGCGTTTTAATCGTCCTGGGGGAGAGGCGGAAGAGAGTAGATCGGTCATATCGTCTTCGGAATCCAGCGACATCCTTCTGGATTGAGTCATTCGATCGTCTTCTTGTGGGTGGTATTCGTCCATGCTGGAGAACGGATCGGAATACGAAAGCGATGAAAGAGAAGGATTTAAGGTATGGGTTAGGTCAGCGACGAGGAGGTATCGGCAATTGCAGAGAGACCCAGTCTCCTGCGAGGCTATTCCCCAGAATCGCACGGGCGAGTCGAGAAGGTAGGAGCATGTGGGGATAGGTGATGATCGGAAAAGGACGAGGTTTGTAGATATCAAGAAGCGGAGGTCGACAAACCAGTAGTCATGTAGGTAAGTATGTCGTAGGATCGGAGTGAAGGTTTAGTAAGGCTCGATCTGTCGATGGTGGGAAGGATTAGACGCTCGGGGAGGATTGCGACTCCAGGAGTGGTGACGAGGGTGTGCAACTTGCAAGTCCTATTTGCCGCTATTCGGTAGGACCTAGTTATGGTATAACAAAGGAAGCTACTGAAGTGGGTTGATGGAAGAGAGCGCCAATGGAATGGAATGTACGTCACAGAAATATTACCGTCTATTACTGTCGATGTCTCTGCTGGTACTACGAATCGATGATACCAACGTATCAGATGGGGTGTCTGGCTGGTCGCTGGGCTGTCTGGGTGACAGACTCTGCTGAGTGCTGACAGACTCTGCTGACAGTTGCAGTGAGGTCATGTGCCCGAATGCTGCCTTTCTCCTTTGCCAGACTCAGCGTCCTCATCAACTTCAACTCATACTGTATCAGTGATCAAGTCACGGCTACATGGTAATATTAGACATGGTTTTTCATCTCCCTGCATCAAGTCGCATACACACTTTCTCTCTGATCTTCTTTGTTGGATTCTTGGTGGCACTGCTAACCGCCGATTATTTACCCTGTCCAGTCCGAGTTGGAACTGTGCTCCAAGATACTATCTTGCCTGCGTATCTTGCCTGTCACACCTACTCCGTATTCTGTAGTGTCTTATCTGTTTCGCACCAATAGGTTCAAAAGCATAATTACATCCCGACCATCAGGTCCTACTAGGGTTCATGCGTCTTTCTTCTTGCCGCTCGGGTCCATCGACTCCTATTATTCCTCGACCCAGCCTTGTGCATCCAACCACCAAAGCCGCCAAAGGCCCACGACAACTCACGACGACAAGTCAACGCATCCGACTCTACCGTATGCATGTCTTATCGCAACGTGACAGTATCTAAAGTAAACCTGGCTCAGGAGATCTAATCTGTCTCTTTCTTAAATCACTGGACTCTGGGAATGACTCCCCTTTTACTCCAGGAACAGATAGTCGGGAGAGACGAGCAGAGTCATTGCGTCACCTACAGCTGATCAAAGCGCAAATTTTTCCTGTGGTCGAATCTAATTGAAGTCAAGTCTAATTCATCTTTATCTACCCTCGCCGCCAGCCCCTTTGTCCTCTTATTGTTTTCGTCAGTCAAGTTCCTAATATAATTCACCAAGATGTCTTTCCTTCGGCGTTCCATCAACACTGGAATACCTTCGGCCCCGGCACGGTGTAAGAGGCGAAGTTATTATAAATCTATTGCAGTCAGTAGGCAAGTTTGATCAATTGGTGGCGCTGATGCCGAAGAACAACTAACATTGACGGTGTATCCGGGATCGGACGCCTTCACATGGCCCGGGATCGGTGTCAATGGCCCTGGTGTCGCATTTCCGCCGCCAGTCACCTTGATCTGCCCACATCCGATGTAGAATTGCGGCGGCGCACCCGGGTTGTGCAAGGCCAGCTGCTCGACCCGGAGCAAATATTCGCCCGCGGGAAGGCACGAGGGGATCTTCGCGCTATAGCTCTGACTGAGCTCCCATTGTGCCGAATTTCCCGAAAACTTGGGCCCGATCTCCGCGATCTTGAACCACGGCGTGCTCCCGTCCGCGGCGCTGGCACTCGGGACCTTGGTCATGTAAAAGGTTACGGGTCCTTGATGGTACACGGCTTGGTCGGCGACGAAGCCGAGGGTCGCACCTGCGCGAACGTCCGCGGTTTGGGTCGAGCCGCCCGTGGCACCGCCGACGTTGCAGCGAAGGTCGGGGGACGAAAGATCTAGGACGTTAGCACGCATTCAAGCCACCGAGGGATATACGCACCGGTGACAGGCGAATTGTTGTTTGTGTTCTTTCGCACATACTGGTTGGGCTGCGACTTTTGGCCGTCGATGGTCAGCGTTTGAAATATGTCTACGCCGCATTAGTTTCCTCAACGAGACAGTTTATATGCAAAGCTCGGAAAGCGTACAGTGGCCATGGACGAGGGAAAAGCAGAGGAACGTGGCGACAACGAGATGCGAAAGGGACATCATCGTGAAGGTAATGACTTGTGATGTCTGTTTATGGTTCAGGTCTACTGCTGTTCAACTACACGTTACCCTATATACTTCCGCCGTACCATAGTCTCGGCGGAGTACCGGAAATAACTGCTTTCGGTCATGAGCATCTGCTACGATAGCCCGTGGAATTGAATTCGATAGGATGGATATCCGCTTCCGTCACTAAACTGGTAACACACTCGTTCGCAGTGGAAGTTTCCAATTGAGAAACGGCCGTCTTTGCCCCGGTGTAGCGCCAATAGGGTTTGGCATATGTATTAATTTGTTAAAGGTTGCCCTGTCATTGGTTTGATGGTGAAACCATGGTTTCTTCAGTTCCCATTGACCCCGGACGGTGGTCATCATACGACCCACTAAGTTGATATTGGATAATGTCTCTGTGAACTCCTTCATGATGTTAGAAATGCAAATCTATTGAACGTCAGCAATCACAAAATCACCTGCTTTTTGGCTGATCTGACGTGGCCCGCAACAGGACGAATGAATTAGGGTATCTATACTCGAAACGCGCCGCAGGATGTAGATATTTATGCCAGCATGTCACACAACACAAAACAACGATCCGCCGCAATTATACCAATCTACTCCGTCCCTATGCCACAGTCGACGTCGTTCCCAAATAAACGACTTTAGGCCGTAAGAGCAGAGCTCACTCCAAGGATCCCCATTCCAACAAAAGCAAATGTCATACAAAGGTTCCGGTTGTGGGTCAAGTCCAGGCTTTCTGCAAAGAGATGAAATGCCACTGATGTCATTACGCCAGCTGTATGGCATAGTCAGTGTTTCATTCCAAAACAATTCGATCTCGCAATAATACATGATCTGCATGTAGAGCGAAAGCAGGAAAATAATCGAGGGGGCGACTTACATGTTACAGCAAACATACAACCATACACTCCCTCACCAGGCTCGCTTCCGTAACCTTTGCCGGCGAGTCGAAACCACAATGCTGCAACGCCTGCTCCTAATGGCTGCGAGACACCACCAAGGAGGAAGCTCCAAAACATGGCTTTCCAACGGGAGTTGACAGCCAGATATAATGGGAGAGCCATGGCAAACCCCTCCGTGATATTATGGATGAACAGGGCGAGGAATACCGAGACGCCCAGCTTTGGGTTGGCATGGTTTGTCGCGTATGTGATAAAGCCTTCGGGGAGTTTGTGCAATGCGATTGCAAGGGATGTCTGCAGTCCGATGGAGAGAAAAGCATTTGAAGGGACATGATGGTGGTGGTTGTGGGCGGCTTCAGACGGAGATTCATGTGTATGGGGGTCGGAATCGTGAGACCGTGAGGGAGAATGGTTATGGTCGTGATGCACTGGATGAACAAGACCGTTCGATTGACGTGCCTGCGAAGTTGTCCTCGGCGACTGGGCTTCGGAGTCGGGTATCGAAGGGACACGATTTGAAATGGCTGCCTCTTCATCGACCGGAAAAAGGAGCGGTTGTCGTTCGCCTCCAGCATGGGGATTGGGCGTGGTGGCGCTTCGTGAAAATCGTAGCTTGCGACCACCAGCCGCCGGGGTGGATCTGGATCCGCCTCGACTATGGATGTTCTTGAAGCACTCTTGGCCGCACGGCTCTGTGAATCCGTAACATTGTCCGTACTTGTCGCATTGAAGTTTCGTACTCGTGACGAGCTGCGAGACCCGACGGGTCAGTTGGGTGGATAAGGACGATCGGCTCCGGTCTTGCTCCGGCCAGGACAATCGCGCACCATAGTCATACGCTCGGTCGGTCGTTGGCGAAGTATCTGATTGGGAGGCGCGTCGCCCTCTTGCGAATAAATCTTCCGTGGTCTGATTGGGTATTGTTCCGTTCGCCGGCTTATCAGCGTCGCTGTCCTCGAATTCTGCCGCATGTGTATGGTCGCAATCAACGACATGCGAAGGAATATACCGGTGAAGAATTCGCGAAAGGATTTGGATGCCTAGACCGCCGGCTATGAAACATCCTATCAAGGTCCAGGCGGCCGCTTTGGGGGTGAAACCGCCTCTCTCCATTGCGTTCTTTGCGGTCGGCAACATGTTGTATAAGGCGGAGAATAGCTATGTTCACTGGTTAGCAGGAACACACGTGGTATCCGTGGGAATATACCAGAACTCCGAAACTAAGGCTTAACGAGGAGGATAAGAACGCATTGCTATCTTGTATCGAGAAGGACTTCTGGCCTGGGAGCCGGCGAATAACCAAGTCGACGCATATTATGGAAGCTCCAGCGATACACGCTACAATCCATCCAGGAAATTAGCATAGACCCCGGATGGCATGGTTCAATTTAACTGACCGAGACCGCTCAAGGCGGTCATAATCCATCCTCGAGTATCAGTAGGAATCGCCATATCAGTGGTGATACTGGTGAAGGGACGAACCAGGCGGTGGTGGCATTGGATGTAAATACGGATGTAAATACGGATGCTTGTAGGAGAGATGCTAATTTAGCAATTGAGGTCGGCTAAGATACAAATAATCGGAACAAAGGGAAAATGGGAGTGATGACTGCGAATCCATCTTGATGGATCAATGGGAAGCGCACGTCGTTGAGTCCGTAGTTCGCTAGGCTAGCGATGTCATCAACATAACGAGAGGAATTGCATCAGGATCCAGATCGACCAACGGGATGGATCGACAGGGTGATTGCTGTGGAGCTTGGCTCTTACTTCTCTTCCCCGCCACACATTCCGCCCACCAGCTCGCAGCTGCAACCCAAACCATCAAGGTACCCGAAGATAATGCGCCAGAATTACGGTGTATCTATATGGTATAGAATGAACCGAGCACCGTCTGGGGTGGTCTACAGAAATACCATAGCTCCAATTCTTGTCCAAGAGAAGAATCCGAGAGAAGAATCCGAGGTAGGAGTGGGATTAGGCATAGGTGGTATGATATGTATATGGAATATGGAAGTCGATGAAATTTATTACTCCTTTGCCATCCTTACATTATAGCGACACCACTTTTGGCCTACGCCCTTCTTCTTCACCCGGAACTTTCTACTCGATTTCCATCCAGATTTTCGGTTGATATTTAAGCCTCCGACATAGGTTCCGCTGTCATTCATCTCACGACTTCCTCTATAACTATACTCCTCGATATTAGACAGGATGCCATGGAACTCGCTTTTTAGAAATTTAGGGAAGAGGCACAGGCCCTGCACTCTTTTGTCCTCGATTCCATCCAAACAGACGAGGAAGTCCATGCCATGGTGTTTAAACTTGATATCCTGTATTTCGACAGTCGTAGAGGAGTCCTCAACCGATAGAGTGGGGCCGTCCCATAGGTTTGGAAATGCGATCAGCGAGGTCATGCGGTTCCAGCCCATCGACAGGCCGTGCTCGACGACCTCGCTTCCACTGGGATACTGATAGTGGCTGGCCAAGTTCTTGTCGGTATGCCACTGCATCAGCGGCTTCGACCCGGGGATACCTGTGACAAACCAACACAGATCCTCATTCTTCGCGCAATAACAGTCAACGCGATCGGATGTTGGCAGTACGTCACGCACAAACTTATTGAACGTAACCTTTGTGGGAGGTCCAATCGTCCCCAGGCGCATCGTCAACCATGGGGCGACGTTGTCTTTGTAGAGCCTTTCGGCACAATATGGGAGAAAACCCTTGGCGAACTGGTTTGTGGGGCAGCCTCGTTTTGGACTTCCGGTTCCTTCCAGAGAAAGGCAGAGGCATGCACCTCTCTGATTTTCAAATATCTCCGCCTCAAGTCGGCTATGGAGAGACCTAGTTCTTGGAAGAGCCTTTCAATTGCTTTGATGTTTCCGGCCGATGGCGCTGCATTCGGGTGTATATAGCCCTCCAGACCGGCCAATATGGACCACGTCTCCTCGATGTCCGAAAGTTTCTCCTTGCGCATTATCATGTCCAACAGCATAGACACAATCCCCCGGTATAGCACGTTGATATCTCCGAAGACGGCAGATCCTGCTGTCAAGTACAGGAGATTGTGGCATTCTGCAGTGCCTCTCTTGCGTCGGTCTAGGCGCTTGCTAGAGACTAATTCTTGAAGCCACTTGACCGGACCCTTGTGTTTATCCGCATACGGGAGTTTGTCGTTAAGCAGAAGATCCGCCGCCTTGTCAACGGTTTGCATGGAATAACCAGAAATACAGCGCTGGAGCATATCGGCCAGTTCCTTGATATCAGGGGATGGAAACCTTTTGTGTATCTGTTTCGTGAGCTTGTTCTGAGGTATCTTGACGCACATGTGAGTGAAACCGCCCGACTCCTTTACACCGAGTATGCCTCCTGTTTCAAAAAGTTCCGCCTCTTCGACCACTTTAGCATGTTTGAACAGGGAAGACAATGAGGACGAAACTTCCGGAATAGGCGATAGAGTGTCCCAGAGGAGAGGTACTGCGCGACCGGAAGCTGGATCCACCACTGCTAAATTTCCATATTGTCGGAGGAACTTTTTGCAAACCGAGCAATTCGCCGTCTGTCGAATGCTTGGGTCGAACGCACTGAGATACGTATCAGCGAGATCAGTGGTCAGCCTCGCACGAAAGATGGGCGAGTCTGGCCACCGGGCGAGAATCGTATCAATTGAGTTTTGCAAGTGCGCCGCAAAGTATAGTTCCCAGGTGTTGGCCTCTTCGTTAGAGTTTGCGCCTGGGGGACGATGTATGGAAAGTTCATGGGAATTTGCTGTGCGTTCTGGTTCTCCAGCAACGTCCGCATAGATTTCGGTCAAGTCCGAATCCATTTCAAATTGATCTCGGATCCAAATACTCACGAAAACTTCAAATCTGCTACAATCGAGCTCGGAAAGATCCTTTATTAATAAATAGAGGAATGGATTGTGACTCAAATAAGGCTCTGTGGCTCGATTCAATCAAGAATGGCTGGGAAGTGAGACGATTGCGTGAGAATGGCCCGAATGGACGCGCCGACGCGAACAACAGCGCGGACTCGGACACTTATCTTCAACTTACATATAGTTTCAGGGGACAGAACTTCCAGCCATTGAAGAGCACCAATTATGGTGATTGTGGCGCCTCTGGCAAGAAGGAAATACGAGATCATCAACTCGATCTGATGGTTCGAGGTCGGTTAAGACTCTGCTCCGCCTCTATCCATAGAAGAACTAAGAGGGCACGGGCAGATAATTGCCTTGCTTACGGCTGAGAGCGAAGATACCTGCCTGTACCTTACTCAACCGAAGAAGCATGATTGATATGGTAGTTCTGGTACTCAAGATATTGCTTACCGGAAAGTTATCATGGCGACTTTGCGAGTTCGAATAGATATTACTAATTATAGTTACGTACGGAATACTCAACCGAAGGTTCCGTAGTACTGTAGTTAATGGAAGGTGATAGCCTGAGAGGCCCTCTCTGACTCTCTGTCTCTCTCTTGGCCAACGCAGCACGTGCATGCCTCAACGAATTACGCCTCCGCCCCATCCGCCCCTCCCACCTCCTCTCCGCTCTCTCAACTTCCACCTTCCGCTTCGGACTTCCGTTTCCGCCTTCCGTTTCCGCCTTCCGCCTTCCGCAACATCATCATCCTATTCCGTCTCCCTCGCGGCCGGTATTGAACCACTTCTGCATATACCCGTACACTACCCCTTCATTACCCCTTCACGACCTCGAACACGATATTTATCCTCCATAATAATGTCCCTACCATAACCGCACCGAAGTGACCCAATTTGTACGAGTCCACCAGAGTAAATGAGCTTCCTGTTACCTCTTTTGTCGCGGCGCATGCCGACGCGACGGGTGTCCATACGATAGGATGCCACCCCCCTCCAACCTTCGAGTCTCCGTGCAGTGGAAACAACCGGCAATATTCGCTGGAGAGGATGTCGAATGTATCATTACCTTCAAGAATGTTGCCCACACGCCGGAAGACAGACCAGTCGGCCCTCCAACAAGACCGAACGGCGTTGAGATACCACGATACAAAGCTAGTCGACGAGACCGACCGCAATCACACACCCGCAATTCTTCGCTGAATTCGCAATTCTCTATTCCTGTTGGCCGTGGGCATCGGCCGACACTGTCGGTTCAAACGGCTTCTGCTCGTGCACCGAACGGGTCAATCGCGGAGAGTGCCGAAACCCCCCTCAGTTCCGCTGCGACTCCACGGCCCAACCATGGCCGTTCACTATCAATTATCTCTCTAGGATCGCAGAGCAATGGCGTAAATAGCTCGGGGCAACCGGTTGAAACAAGCAGGTCTCGGAAACGGAACCATGGTCGGTCATCAAGCGCCCAGCTTGTTTCCAGCCATGCGTCCACAGGTCCACACGCTGGTAAGTTGTATATGAAATCTCTTAGCTACCGCATCCGCTTACAATCTTCACCTTTTAGGGCAGCGTGGTACCCCTCAGACCTCTCACCAAGGAACACCTCCAGTAATCCGCGAAGATCGGGACGAGGTCTCTGAATCGTTAGCATCAGAACTAGACGCTGTTTCTGGGCAGGATTGGGGTGAGCCAAGGTACAATGGACCTCCCCCAATCCACACCGACTTTAAATTCCCTCCTTCAACGTCTCCGATACCGAGTATCGAATCGAAGGCGCTGGCGCCGGCGCCTGAAATCATTACGCCGGAATTCCCCTTGACGCCGCACTCAAGACCCCGATCCCCGCGATCCAGCCACATTCCTCAGTCTTCGCCGTCAGTGAACCCCATCGCACGGATTCTCTCCGGAACAAGTGTTGCGGAGACGCCAAGGAGTAGCATGGACGTTTATTCCATGAGCAATCATTCGAGCGAGACACTGATTTCCGAATATGCCCCTCACCCATCGGCTCGGCTTCTCCCCCGGGCCTTACGGCTACCTCGAATAGCGACACAGCCGCCGAAAGCGTCTCAACCGGAGGTTCTTATGATGGGCTATGCCCAGGTTATAGGATCATTCACAGTCGACGGTGCCATAATCGACCAAGAACCTTTCGAGGAGGTGAAACGGAAGGGCGTAGTTGGTGGCTACGGTGGAGGTGGTGTCGTGGGAATCCATTCATCCAAAACCGACAGTGGAATCTTTGGCGGTTTCGGCTGGGGAAGCATTGGGGAAGGACTTGGTAGTCTTCTCCGGCCTGGGGAGCAGAGCAGTATCAAAGACATGCGAGGCATTGCAAGCTCGAAGAGCGTGCCTTTACTAACCACACCTCAATCCATCCTGTTTGTGGATGATCGGTTGGCGCCCGGCCAGTCTCGGACATATTCGTATAGCTTCACGTTACCGAAAGGCCTTCCTCCCAGTCACAGAGGCAGGGCCATTAAAATCTCCTATCGTCTTGTCATAGGCACCCAACGGCCCGGATCAACCAGAGACCAACAGGTCCGATCTGTGGAAGTGCCGTTTCGGGTGCTTGGCAGTGTCAACTGTGAGTCCCGTGGTTCCTCGCTTGGGAAATTGATTGCTGACCAGCTACAGCTCGAGGCGAAGTGTTGGGGCACGATTTGATGTCACCTTACATTATTCTTCGGGATCAAGCGAGAACATCGCCGATGGATCCCGCGTCCCCATCGCAACCACTAGCCCCGCGGATAAAAAAGAAAGGGCAAGACTCCACTCAAGCTGAATTTATGGAGTATGTGGGCGGTCTACTCGACAAGCCACGACAGAACTCCAGTATAGGGTTATTATCTCCAACAGAGCACGGTAACCGCCGGCTATCCCGTGCAGAGGAACCACAAAACGCCAACGAAGCGGTTGCCCTGGCGATCATGAGGAGTAATGCAACTGGTTTCGGGAATCAGAGCTCGAATCGGTTCGATATCTCCCGAAGCGGGCGACGTGTCGCAACCATTGTTCTCGTTCGCCCGGCATTCCGGCTCGGAGAAACCGTCTCGGCAGTCGTGGATTTCTCCGGGGCCGATATTCCGTCCTATTTTATCGAAGCATCTTTGGAAACATCTGAAGCGATCGATCATACCATTGCGCTTCGATCGCCGACCAGCATTCATCGGGTGACGCGCAAGGTCTGGTCCACCTTGGCGGAAGTTGCCCTCTTTGCATCGAGAGTGACGTTTTCCCCCACAATACCCCGGACAGCGACGCCTGATTTTGTTACGACGGGGGTCAGTCTGAATTGGATTTTGCGCTTTGAGTTTGTGACCCCCCGGTTGGTGAATGAGTTTGGGGAAGAAGTACGCTGGGACAAAGTGCTGGAAGAGCTGTCGGATGACGATCGGGGGGGCATTCTTGGTGCTACTGACCGGCTTCACTGCGAGAGTTTTGAAGTGACGGTCCCGATCCGAGTCTACGGGTCCGTTGGCGATGCAGAAGAAACAACTGAACCTGAGAGTCTTGTAGTATAATCTTGTGTATATTAGTTTTGAGCGTAAGCTGGTTACCCCATGGCACATAACGCCATCTATAATAGAAGCAAATGATATTGGTTGTTGAGACACAAAAACGATACTCTCCATAGCTTCAATAGGTTGCCGTTGACTGATTCCTCTCTAGGAATTCACCGAACACGGGCATCTAAAGCTTTGAGGTTAGCTTGAGTTCCTTCTTCGCCCTTTCCCGTAGCTCGCGACGGAGAAGTTTGCCGATTGCGTTCTTGGGTAGCACGTCGACGAACACGACACCCCCTCTCAACTGTTTATATGGGGCGAGACGCGAAGCAATGAAGTCTTTCACCCCTTGTTCATTGATCTTGCTCTGGTCGGCCACAACGTATGCCCTTGGCACCTCACTCCCTCCTTCATCGGCAACGCCACACACAGCTGCCTCGAGGATGGCCGGATGGGTGATGAGGGTGTTCTCAAGCTCAGCTGGGGCGATTTGGAGTCCCTTGTATTTGAGGAGCTCCTAAACCAAATGTCAGTCCGTTCCATAGTCAAAGCAATCTAGCGGACGAGATTCAAGACCAACCTTCTTCCTATCCACGACATAGAACTTGCCACCGCGATCGACGCCAATGTCGCCCGTGCAGAACCATCCGTCTCGGAAGGCATCACGGGTAGCCTCAGGGTTTCGGAAGTATCCCCTAGTGACCACGGGACCTCGGAGGATGAGTTCTCCCTCCTGTCCTGGCGCTACGTCGTTCATGTCGTCGTCGACGATTCGGAGGTCGATATTTGGTAGCAGGGGGCTTATACTGCCTGTGTCGTCGTACTCGCCGCGAGGCATGGTTGTAACGGCACCAGTGGTCTCACTAAGTCCCCAGGTCTGCGCGATGTGCGTTTCCCCTTCCCCTAGTCTCGAGTTGGCAGCCTTCTGAAGCTTCTCATCCATGGGAGCGGCTCCTGTGATGGCGGCCTGCAGATATTTGAAATGATCCGTCACGTCCGGCGACTTCGCCATTCTCAGGTAGATGGAAGGGACCGTGTACAGCACGGTGATCTTCAACTTTTTGTTCAGCTCGAGGAAGGATTTCCACTCGAATTTGCGCATCCAGCATACTTCGCTGCCGGAAAAGAGAGGGCTTATCAGGTAGCCAAACACACCCGCAATGTGTGCAATGGGTAAATGAGCGAGCGTTCGGCCCTCTGGCAGAGTCCGACCTGCTTCAATTTCTTTCGCCGCCCACTCTCTACCCTGCACGGATGGGAGGATAAGTTCCGCAACCAAGTTCCTATGAGATACCATCACACCTGATTTCATGTTAAGGAACGTTTCCACTGATTCATCTAGCACGAGACCTACCTTTGGGTTCGCCCGTCGTTCCTGACGAGTAGAGCAAGATGGCCAGGCTGTCCTCCAGCTCCTTTCTGTCGGTGATCCGCTTCCATGTCAATCTTTTGCTCGAAATAACCTGATTGGATCCTTGGACAGGCGCCAGACTCCAAGTAGGGCTCGATTGAAGCACCAGAACGCGGTCTTTTCCAAGACCCGCCGCCTCGGCAGCTTGGACAGCGACGCTTTCTAGATCAGGACTGCAGACCAAAAGGTTGCTGAGGCCCTGCTTGATCTGACGCGCCAGCTCCGGGGGTGTGAAGGAGGGACTTGCGGCAGAGAACACCCCCCCGGCAGCAACAACGCCATAGAGAAGAGCAGCTGCTAGCGGTTGGCCAGTGGAAAAGACGACTACCGCGTCCTTGTTGGGTCCGTTGGCGCCAATTCCATACTGACTTCGAAGTCCATGGGCAATCTTTTCCGAAGTCTCGCGCAACGTAGCCTTGGTGAGGTAGTTGTTAGGATTGGTGGCTTCTGAATGGAGACGGGCATCCTCCGGCGTGGCACAATGTTCGGAATCTATAGATACTTGTGTTAGGACAAGCAGTTGCAGGTATTATACAGCTGGCATATTGGTGTAGAACATTGAGGGTACGGTGAATTTCATAGTAAGTAGCGACATACCAAACAGAAGGGTGAGGATATCGAGGTCCGGAATGTCAACCGTTCTCGGATTTCGATATATACGAGACATGTTCAACTGACTGGGATGCAAAACACCAATTTTCCAGAAAATGAAGATTTTAGCTAGTTAGATAAATAAGCCTGCTCACAAATACTGAGATAAAAATTCGCATTATCATCGGTCTGCAACAATATCATCTTCAAGGGGCGAATAGGCGGGGATATTTGGCCCTCGGGGACATGAGTCGGGAGCAGATGCGGGGCATGTTGACCCTCGGATCCAGCCAACGAAACAAGGTTTACCATGCAAGATGTTTTTCAGGACTCGTAGATGCATCAATAATTTCATCATGACCTATCTTCATAATCATAGTCCATGGACTGACGCTACACTCCATGAGCGCGTGGCCATTCGTAACAGTTGGACTAAAAGACGTTGCGACGTTGAACGATGTGGAGAAGCCAGGGCAGAGTAAACGCGGACCACGTGATCGTCCACCTATTCCATCCTTCCCACTTTCTCCAGACCTTGCGCCACAGCGCCAGCTTCGCGACACGATCCTGCAGACGGGTTTTATTGCCTCGTCGAATGTACTCTTCTTCAAGTTCAGAGGCAATGCTATGCTCCCTAACTGAAGATGGTCTGCAGAATCCCATTTCTCGCGACTGATTGCAATTTGCGGAGGTCGTCAAGAGACCAGCCATGAGCCACCACCATGTCCTTGCCTCTTGTCTCTTTTCGGGGTTTCAAGAGTTCGGATCCGACCCAATTGAACCCTCACAGCTTCGCATGTCTGGCCCGGAATATGGCCACCTTATCATCGTAATATAGGATCTCTCTAAGCCTCAGTCTGAGCCGTCCCTTCCCCTCGCTATAGTCCCAATCTTCATCGAACTCGTCCCACTCCTCGTCGCTCCGGTGCACATACCCCAGGCCATCGGCACCGACACCGTCAAGCGCATCATAGTCAATGTCCAGCTCCTGCTCGTTGTCATCGGCTGTCTCCTCGTCTTCATCCTCAGTCTCCATGTCATCCGCGCTGTCCGATTCCGTGCCCGATACATCCGAGGCGGGAGGCGGAGTAACAACGGCGCCATTAGATGGACCCGATGATGACTCTGTCGCATTATGGGCGATAGGAGGGGTATGGCCTACGCCGACATTGTTGCTCGCCCCGCCAACGGCTTCCTCTGCGTTGGTGGAGCTAAAGTCCTTGGACGTCTTCCCACTGCCCTCTGATTGCCCAGGTATAGTGTCGCGCGGCGGTCCCGCCGGAGGATGTGGAACCGGAGTCTTCTCCTCTAGCACCTCGAAGCACTTGTTCGCAATGCCGACGAATACGATCTCGACCTCCGGTCTGAGAGCCACAACGTCCAGAACCTGCATTGCTAGCTCACGTCCATCGATTCCGGGCCCGGCCGGATGGTCAGCAATATGCGGTACGTACAGGCTACGTAGGCCTTTGAGACCAGGTAAGCGCTGAAGGAAAAGGTGCCAATCGCCATAATCTATGCAACCGCCAAACTCGCGGAGGTTGGACATCGCGCCGGAAGTCATGTAGGACAGGAATCGACGAGGCAGCAACCAACGACGGAACTGTTGGTTCCCAGGATGTGGAATGGCTGCTTGAGGCGGAATCGCAGGCGGCGCGTTTACGGCAACATGCTGGTTTGCGGGGACATTGATTTGGACGACCACGCCAGGGCCATGCTGATGAACGGGAGGGCCGACCGCTGGTGGAGGGATCGCTGGAGGTGGCGGGTTTGGCACATTGTGCTGCATGGGAATGTGTCCATCGTCCGAGGATTGGTCGGAAGAGTCAATGAGAAGCTTACGAAGGGAGCGAGCGTGTCGGCGGATGGCGGTGAAGATGGGGATGAAGGGAACGGAGGAGTTATAGTGGCGAGAGTCTTGTAGGAAGAGAACTTCGAGGGAGTTGGGGGCCAGGGTATCGCGGATGAAAGAGAGAAGCGCGGCGGTTACGGTGTTGCAGTGGATGCGTTTGATGTTTAGGGGGTAGTCAGATGGCGATGAATCACCATCAGCGCGGAACGAGAATGCGTTCGAAGAAGCGGAACTTCGCTGATAGGGACCACTTCTTGTAGTACCATTTCCTCCACCAGTTCCAGTGAATGGGTCGGGTGACGACAGCCTTGATCGGGTTGGTGTGAAATGACGTCTTAAAGCTTTAAACAGATTTTCATGGCCCTGGCAATTGAGGAGCGTCAGACTTGTCAAGGTACTCCAGTCAATCGCCTTCTGTACGACCGTTAAGCTGATCGAAACCCTTTCCAGCTCAAGTATTTCAAGCTTGAGGGAGTTGTTCAAACAAGGACCGGAGATTCTCGATAGCAAACTTCTTTCCAGAGCGACTTGATCCGCAACTCCAGCATTTGTTGCGGCGCGGTAGAATTCCCGCAGCGCATCCAGAGTTGCGCTTGCGTCGCTTGAGCCGTCTTCGGTACTCTGCTTGATGAACTTGGATATTGATTGCAAGAAGGTGTTGCTCGAAGACGAGGAGCCTGTGGAGCTGGCCGCGCTATGCATGCTGGCCTCTGGAACCTTGGTCGTCTTCTGGATGCTTTCCTCGAAGCCCAGCTTCTTGGCTAAGGACTTGAATTTCGCTAGGGCTGCCATCTCATTTGGAAATTCCTCCCGTTTCGCTTGGGCGTACAATGCATCGTTGTTTCTTAGGTTGAATACGCGTCCCACCAACACTCCGAGAACCCCACCGAGTCGCTTTTCGGGGATCCCGACTCCCTTGCCAATTGAACCCAATGAAGGCTCGCATTGCCAAGTCGTGCTATGGTCAACTTGATGTATGCCGTCACCTTCCCACACGCTTGCCCAGTGTCGCGAGACGGCATGCTTCGCGACACCGACCCGAAGCTCCTTGAGTTGATTCTGGCTTCGGCCGATGAGAATAGACATCTCGTCGAGATACGACAGTTCGTCGATATCCAAGACCGTGAGGGATTTTAACGGCGGCAGGATCGAGAACGTCGGGTGTTCGACCAAGTCATCTAAGTATCCGTAGTTGTGCGACGCCTGCGCCAATGGCACAGGAGTCTGCTGCACTGGAAGTGCATTCTGCGTGGGGCCTGTGCCAACCGGGACGCTGGAGTTTTGCGGTGGTGGAAGATTCATGACTTGCGGTGGCGGAGGTAGGCCAGTCGCAGGAAAGTTGTTGTGCCAGCGGATCCACACCCGCTCAAGCCGACAATCCTTCCCGTCGTTTCGATCGGCCAGGCTCGACAGGGCGAGCCAGATATCCCGAAGCACCCCGGTGGGCATGTCCCAGATGAACGCCTCCAGGTTCCGCATCCGAGCCACGGCGAGCGCGACGAGGGTCCCCAGCATTTTCCCGCATTCCTTGGTGATGAGATACTCCGACGTCCAATCTTCTGGGCCGTCGCCCAGGCTAAACTTCTTCGTGTATTGCGCATAGTTGTTCCCTCGCCGTCGCTTGGGGGGGGCCGGGATTTCCACGAGGTTGCCATATGGGTCGCGGACCATCCGGGTGGGTTGCGTCGATTGGGTTTGGTGTGGCGCTTCGCCGAATGCATCGTCCGCCATGACCAGAGTTGCCAGTCCGTACGTCAGCGCATCGACGCCGCTTCTGGGCTCGATGTTGGGCTGGCTGTCCGGCCAGACGATATCGAAGCGGGAGTAGATTTGCGGTATGCATAACGAATGGAGGACGGAATGGCAGAGTGCGAGTGCGGTCAGGTCGTTGGTATGGGGAAGCTGAACGGCTTAGTTGGTTCCTAGCCAGCGGAGAACTGCTCTTACATTCTCAATGATTTCCTGGAGGATGTCGACCGGCAGATCCAACAGCCGAAGCGGTCGCTTTCTTTCATCGACGACCGTCCATTCCTTCTCTTTCCCCTTGGACAACTTCGTTGGTAGGGTCGCAGCGCTGACCTCTACATGGTGAAAGTCTTCTGGCGGTGCTGCAACACTGATAGCGACGGGTGGTATCAACCCGTTCGTGTTACTTTGCTCCGTACCAGATACGCTCATCGTTCTATCGTGAGTTACATCCAGATATAGGATATCCGACGTCGGGTAGTCGTACTATTCTAGCCAGAGTGGTGCAGAAGGGACGGGAGAGCAGATGTCCAGCTCTCTCGAAACAGCTCAAAACGCACGGCACGGTGGCTCGTTCAACAATCGGGGTGGCATCGAACTTCCAGAAAGACGTATAGAGGTACTCTGTACTGATTAATATAATTTCTGGGATGTGGCGGTCGTTCTTGTAATCAAAATCGGGGGGGCTGGAGGTGGTATGAGAGGTGAACTGGTGGTGGAGGGGAGACGGACTGCGGAGGTGATGAAATGGGTGATGCGTTGATGTGGTTGGCGGGTTGAATGAGGCGGATACTTCATGCTCTTGGGAAATCCACCCCCGGACATCTCAAGAAATACAAAAATTACGTCTTATTACAGTTGGAGTCCGGCCCCGTACAACACGAAGGTTTGGGATCACATTGTCAAGCTCCGGTGGCACAATTCTTTCTTGGATGTCCAACCCCAGAGTCAAACAACCTTGAAAGTGGAAATGCGATGCGACGGCCCCTTGCTGATCGCTCGTCACTAGTCTCAATATTACTAGTCTCAATATATGCGGTCCCGCTGTACCTCGCCTTAACGCCACTGATGATAATAAATCCGCTAGTCCCATCGACGCAATTCACTCCACAGCCAAACCACTTAATACGGAGTCCTTTGCAAAGGTTCACCTCCTCCCACTGACGCTTCCACTCCTTGATAGATCCCCTATGTGGCCCACTGATGATGCGATGCTATCACTCCTACTACTGTCCACACTCCTCCTCCCAACGAGGCTTGCACTTGAGCTTCTCCTTCTCCACCTCCTCGTCTCGTTTGGATCGGCGGGAGACAGACCAGATGCTCGTGCGAAGAGGTTCAGGATATCGGTAAGGGAGATGACGCCGCATAGATGGCCAGACAACGTTGCTCCAGGAAGCGCCGAAAGTTGTGCTGAGGTAAGCGTGGAAGGTGTCTGGTTGGTGACAGGTGTGACGGGTGGGTTAGGAGCGGTGTGCGAAAGGGAGCCAGACGAACTGAAAGCGGTCGAGTGTGGGGCATTCGGCGGCGGAGAGCCGGCATGGAGTGGTGGTGGAATAACAGGCGGCCCGCTCGGAGGAGGTGCCAATACGGAGGGAGTTAGAGCCGGCGTGGAAGGGCCAGAGGAAGCTGGAGAGGGTGCATCGACAACCCACATTCTGTAGAAGTTAGCGAAATCCTCCCAAACCGCAGGCGGGCGCAGATTTACCTATGCGAACGTGTTGCGACCAGCTTTGCGACGGAGTGTGCGAGGGTTGAGTATGGATTGACATGAAAGACGGGATAGGAGTCTTTGCCATCGTTGACCCCACGCTCTGAGAGGATGACGGAGATAAAATGGATACAAGAGGATCGCAGGAGCGGAAGGGAGGTCGACTTCGTTAAGAGCTGAGGTTCAATTAGCAAGCGAAGGACTCGTAAGCGGAACTATTTGCCTTACCCGAACATCGACGTGTGAAATATTGCCAATCACATTATGCTGGTCGTCAAGGACCGGGAGAGAAGTGATGCCAGCATTGTGCATAAGTTCCAGAGCATCGGTGAGTGGTTTATCGCCGCTGCGATATGTATTAGCATTGATCAAAGCACACTTTCGTATATCACCTACTTGATAGCAACGACCTCCTTGCTGCCCACATTCAGTTCTCTCAAGGTCAAGGAATATAACCCCGCCACCATCGGGAAGTGCTTTCCATTCTCCCAAAAGAACCTCACCAGTCGCAGCTGGGTCAAAATGCCTACAACCTCTTTGTTCTGCTCTCCATTTTTGACCACGATGATGCGATGAACCCCACTCCCAAACAGCTCAACGGCATTCGCGAGCGGAGCGCTCTCCGATAGCGTCACCAGCGGGTCGGCGCGTCCAAGGTCTTTGACATCCTTTAAAGGAATAGGCTTGCCTTCGCGACCGCGTCGAGCAAGTTCGCGGAATGAGGAGATGTGTGCCTCGTCCGGTTTTGCCAATCCGACGACAAGGAGGAGATAGGCGTTCAGGTCCGAGTAGTCGAAGGTCCCCACGGCAGTTCTGCTGTTCGGATTCTCCCGCAGGAGGACAACATTTGGGGCTCCGGAATTGATTAGTAGCTGGAAACCCCGTTAGACGCGCGTGAACAGTTAAGCACCTATCTCCGGATGCTTACCTCCGTCGCTGCTTCCACGGTCATATCCATATCCACAAACCGGACCTCCGCTTGATCCACGACCTCCCCAACCGTCACCGTCTTCCAATCCCTCCCCTGCCCCATTTGCAGCCCCGTGTCATCTCCCGGTACCCTTCCGACAGGGGGGTTGTTCAGTAGGTCCTGCAGTGCTTGCTGCGTCAAACTGGGTGTTCGGTGCGGGCGAGGACTTATCGGGCCGCGTAGATTATCCGCCAGCGCTGTGCGGTGCGAGTTATGTGGGGAAGGGTGTTGTGACATTGACGGGCTGGACGGAGTGCGTAGGTAGACGTCGCGCGAAGGTGGAGAGCGGATGGTGGTCGAGGTGTTGGAGGAGAGGAGCTGAAGGGGTCGAACCGGGGGAGACTGGCTTGATGCAGGAGGTTCGGAAGGTGTTCTACTTGCAGGCTTGCTTGGCAACGGTGGGGAGGCGAGTTTCTTTGTCGGATCGTCTGCCATTGTTTCTTAAGTTGTTTCTTAAGTTCTGTGACACGGTATGGAGCGGCTATCAGATGAGTGGTTGTATCGTCGACACTGGGGTCCGGGAGGCGAAAGTGACGTGATGGTGTATTCTCCGATAATGAATTGATCAGGCTGGATAAGGGAGAGGCAATTGATTTCGGCTTGTATGAACCCCGGTAATATTAACTAACTAAGTTGTCCCAGTTGCGTGTCTGCGGAATATTGGGCGGTAAATGGTAAGAGCGGTGACAGCGAGTACTTACAGCCTGAGATACGGTGTCCCTCATTCACGTGGTGTTGTGATGCTGCTGTTGCGACCCTGGTGTTATCTATGTACTGTCAGGTACCATAAATAGTAATGATGTCCCATAATACACTGGAATATCCGCGCCCCTGGTTCGTCAGCTGAAGCTTACCTCATCCACACTGTGGACGCTAGACCCTTAATCTAGCGCCTACACTCTAAACGATAATGTCGTCTAAACGATAACTTAATACATACTCCGCGCTATGAAGTTTATAGATACCAAAATTCCATCACCAACACTACTATTCATCTCCAAATCGACATCGCCAGATAGGATCAAGCCTCATGCTTCCGATTAAGCGCGAAATCTCTACATGTATGTCCTTGAACGCCTTCCGGTGGTTGATTTGGCGTGTCTTCCAGCCCCTAACCCATTTGTCCAATTCGGCCTGTTTCTCGCGCGCCGTGCGCTCCTTTATCATAGATCTAGCTTGTTGTGAAGTAATATATCCCATTTCGGACCGGAGAACACGTTTGTTGCCTCGTTGTCGTGCCGCACGTGCTTGGGATTCCGCCATGTTGGCCTGTATCGTGTGTGACAATTGCTCGGCTTGGAGGGCGAATTGGAGGCTACCGTTGAGGCTGCTATCGAAGTTTTGCACAAGAAGTGGTGGTAAATTTAGTTTCTCAATGTTGGCTAAGCACCATCGTACATGGTTGCGTGGCGTGGCATAGTCTTTCGTTGGGGAAAGTAGCCGCTGAATATCGGTGTCTGGAGGTGGCGTTTGATCTCGAATTCTAGCACTATGATCGTATGCTGTAAACGCGGCATCGATTGCCATCTTATCCTCACGGAGTTGGCGTAAAATCCGCTCAGGATTGTGAGGAATAAGGCCTGTTTCTTTCCATCCCTTTATAGTTGTTCGCGTCTTGAAAGTGTTCGTACGGATCGACTCGAGTGCGGCCAGAAATTCCACTCGATTAAATTGCGTGCAGCCAGTGCGAGTGGCTGCATCGACGGCCTCTGCATGCCAGTGTTTGTAAGGCTGAAATGGGCCGACATCAAGCGGCTGGAGGATGTGGCTTGTATGAGGCGGAAGACGAAATGGTATAACGTGGTGGGCTTCGAGTATCTCGAGGAACTCCTTCGTGCAGTGGCTATCGAAACCATCGAAGAGTAAGAGTCGGTATTTACCGCGTTGATGCTTAGACGAATGCTTAATAAAATGCCTTGCGTAGATTAAGCTAATTTCGTCGTTGTTAAAGCCTATTTCAGAAAGGCAGACCGCATAGTCATCGGGTAAGTTTTGGAAGTGTTTCTCGAGAAATGCAGATCCAGGTAGAATAATGAGAGGCGGTATAACTGTACCATTACCACTTACCGCTTCAACAGCGGTAAGTGAATCTCGACATTCTGGAGATGGAATATACTGCTTTTTACTCGGGTAGAATGAAATAATCTATTGGTGTTTGCCTACACCGACGCGGAAGCCAGTCTCGTCGAAATTCCACATGTCCTCGGTCGCGATTCCGTGTCGGATCTTAATATGGTATAGCTGCTCAAACCATCTCTCGAGAGCCTGGATATCATGAGCAGCTTTACGATTAGATCAAGTACACGTGCTTTCCGTGCATAGACCTCTGGCTCTCTAGATTCTAGATTCAATAGCATCATTATTTTTCGGCATAATGGCGGAGGATAAATAGGCTTAACTCCGCTTAAGGAGACTCGAAGCTGTATCAAGTTATCGTTTAGACGACATTATCGTTTAACTAGATTAAGGACCTAGCGTCCACAGTCTGGATGAGGTAAGCTTCAGCTGACGAACCAGGGGCGCGGATATATCCGCACCTCTGGTCGTGCCGTCGTGGCCGTGATATAGCGATCATGACTAAGCAACATGTCGTGGGCCAAGAACGGACCCCTGCCAAGAACCCCTGCACATCCCATCCAATCGCGTCGCACGCGTCTCCTGCCTCACAACGACTTCCACAACTTCCACAACTTCCAGCACCTTAACTTGCCATGTCGGAAACTGTAACTATCGTTTGATCGATGCACAGTACATCCCGGTACTGTCGTGACTGTGTATACCGACACTGTGCTACTGCATTACTCATGGCTTGCCATCTAACTATCTGTACCCATCGTTTGGTTTCTCATTCAAGACCGCTGGTCCGCTTTGACAATGGCTGCTCTTCATGAGTCGCCCTTGTCGCGGGAATCGCTCATCTTCTCCTCGGTTTTCTCCTTGTCGGCTGCAACACATACCACTCCGACGCCGCTGTCAACCCCCGACCTTGGGAGCATCGAACCCGGCCAGTCATTTGGCGGCGTGTTTGGGTCCAACCAACCCTCCCAACAACAATCGGCCGCGCAGCGACAAGTGCGCCGGAATTTGGCATGGAGCTCGGCTACGAGGTTTTTGGGGCAATTTGCCTTGGAGGATGCCATGAAAGGCCGGCCGACGGAGTTGCGGGGCATGCCGTCGGATGTACGAGATGCTATGGAATTTCTCCTTATGGGGGGAGGATGTCCACTGCCGGAGAGCAACGAGGAGAGTCTGGTATGGCGAATGGATTAGATTGGATGGAAGTCAAACTGACGTGGTCAAGGTGGACTGGTACACCAATGAAGCGCTGCGGAGATTCGTCGTCGACATTAGCCCCGAGTTGACGACGAAATGGCGAGCTGTAAGACCAGTCGGATCGTCCAGAATTCCCATACTAAAGCGAGTCTTATTGTAGGACTTTGACGAGCACTCTACCTGGCATATCTTGATATACACCACAAGCAAACTTGTTCAAGCCCATCGACACTTAGCTCAGCCATTAAAGGACATCCTCCTCCCAATCATCTCTCGTCCATCGAGAAGAGCAGACGACGCCATCGAAGCCCTCACGACCCTCCCGATTATCTCGAGGTTCAACCGAGAACTCCGCGCCGCCTTCGTTCAGGCAGTCGATGCGGGACGTTTTGCCGAGTATCTAGAACACCTACTGGTCGACACCGGTCGGAAGCTATTCTCGATCGAAGGACGTGGCAACGAGAATGGGGAAGGCCCAGAATTGAGCCGCGAAGAGAAGCAAAAGATTCGCGAACGGCTTACGACTCTCTTACGAGGCATCGGCTCTATAGGGCTTGGGGGGGACAAGTCTACGTGGGTAGTTGGTGCTGCAATGGCGAAATTGCTCGACAATTTCGTAGACAGCCGCCACATGAAAGTTGATTGGTACACGCGGAACTCTGTGGTGCGCACCTTGAAGCACTGGGTCAAGGAAGGTTACATGAGATATTTCCAAGAAATTATGGCGTGTCTTGAAGTGGAGTCGGAAAGTGGTCCTCAACCATCTTCAATCCCACCCGCATCGTTGCAGCGGTGCCAAGAGATTGCCATCAACCGTCTGGGAAGAGCACGAGTGGCGGATCTGTTCGATTTCATTGTGAGGTGGGATGGGTCACTTGGCGCCATCCGGGATCTGAAGGAGTACATCACTCTCCCTGGTGCTCGTGTTCATCTTACCCACAGCTTCTCCCGCCAGTTGTCAAGGCGGTTGCTACATGCCGGAGCGACAACAAGTGACATTCTCGACGTGTACGTCTATATCATCAAAGCATTCAACGAGCTTGACCCGAAAGGCGTTTTGTTGGATCGGGTCGCTCGGCCAATCCGTCGTTACCTGAAAGATCGGGACGACACCGCTCGTATCATCGTAGTCAGTCTGTTAAAGGATGTCGACGAGATCATCGCGGATGAGAAGACAGGAAGACTCGATATAGGAGGAAATGTGTCCAAGCAGATTGCGCTGGAAATGAAATATCCCTCGGCACACGCCTTGCAAGAGCAGGACTATGACCTGGATTGGGGGAATATGGATTGGACTCCGGACCCCATCGATGCGGAACCGGAATACAAGCGATCCAAGTCGTCCGATGTCATCGCCTCCCTCCTGACGCTCTACGACCGGGAAGATTTCATCACCGAGCTCAAGGACATCCTGGGCGAATATCTTCTCAAGTACGAAGATTCCGACTTCGAGAAGGAGCAACGTCTCGTCGAGCTCTTCAAAGTCCGCCTAGGCGAAGACAAGATGCAAGCATGCGAGGTGATGCTTCACGATGTGCTTGAATCCAAGCGGATAAACCGAGACATCAACGCATCTATCAACCGCGAGAATGTTAGGCTCGGTTCGGAGCTCAATGCCCAAATCCTCTCGAGCTACTTCTGGCCCCCGCTCCGAGAGGATGCGTTCCGTGTCCCGCAACCTGTCCACGCCCTTCAGCAACGATATGCAGCTGGTTTCGAGGGGATTAAGGATATGCGTCGGCTTCAATGGTATCCAGCACTGGGCCAGGTGGAAGTGGAGTTGCAGCTCCAGGACCGCGAATGGCGTGGAGATTGCCATCCATGGCAAGCCAGTGTTGTCTACGCATTCGACGAGTCAATCTCAAGCATTTCAGGTCTTGAAAACGACCCGGGCCGTAGCACCACTCCAAGTAGGACGGTTGAGGAACTTAAAATCATGCTTCAAATGGACGAGCAGCTGGTCTGCAATGCTCTTCAATTCTGGACCGCCCACCGTGTTCTTGTCGAAGTCTCACCAGGGATTTATGAGGTTCAAGAGACTCTCCCTGCGGACGGTGGATCATCAGGAGACAAGGCAGGTGGAAGCGGGAAGTCGGCCAGCCGCACCGCTCCACCACTACACACGGAAACAGGGGCGCATGTGTCGGCCGTGAAGAGCCAGGAGGATCGGTTGATGGAGAACGTGGACATTTACCGGCACTTCATCGTGGGCATGCTGACGAACCAGGGAGCCATGCCCGTGGCGAAAATCCTCATGATGTTGAAGATGACCATGCCCGGTGGTTTTCCTTTCGGCATGGAGGAGGTGCGGACGTTGCTAGGACGATTAGTGGAGGAGAGAAAGGTGGTGGGACAGGGCGATATATATTCGGTGTCTAAGGGATGACCTGCTAACATGGCCATGATTACGAGACATGGGAGAACGGGTTATGAATATACACGTATCGAGTACTGCATCATTCCGGTCAGATGTCTTTCACTGAGCTCGGTTATTGGCCGCTATTGAGAGTCAATCCATGAATGGTGTAACATGAAGGTAGTGAATCTCATGGAATAGGATTGTCAAGTATGTTGGCTCCGAATAATTTCTGGTGCAGACCTTTAACGGCCAACAGTGCACGAAAGAGCCAAGCCGCGACATATCTCATAGAAATGAAGACATGCTCGAAGCTGACCCGGGTTCAACCATTTGCATCGAGTCTTGATATGCCGAGTCTTGGCCTATTGCAAAGCATGAGGGTGCACGCGGATATTGACTTAGCGCCAATTCAAATTACAAATCGGTATGAATACATCTTTACATCATCGATCACCATCAAGGTATCTTAAGCTTTCAGCCCCCATGCATTGGCCGGCTGTGCTAAAATCCCCTGAGATTCGACGTCTCGCGGACATGGGCAGTTGGGCAGTCTGTTCCTCTGCCAAGTCCAGTTCGTCCCTCTTACCGTAGTACACAGCCCACAGGACCCTAATGCAGTTTAGGAAGATCGACTGCAAGTAACTAGTACTTTGGTCTGACTAGTTAGATAGCTGTAGCCTGTTGTGGGTGTCGTCAGTCCTTCCCACGTCGGTCACTAAACCAGTGAACCTCGAGGGAGGAACACAGTCAAGGGATGGCATAACAAGACTCCGTATGACATGTACATGTACGTACGTACCTTCTTGGCGAAACCAACGGGTGACTTTCAGGGGCGTTATCTCAGTCCTCGGTCATGAGCCATTGACGTATTACTCGTGTGGCCTCAAATCCAGGCTCTGGCAGTCTTCGAGGGCGACATAAATACGTTATCAGTACTCAAAGACGCGACAAGTCAGAAGGGGCTTACTGAATTCTTACCTTCTGTCTCTTAATGGTACCTGTACTCTCTAATCACACTTCTACGCGGTCGAAAGCCTGCGATTTCTGTCACTAACACGGCATTCTGACGGCTGACAATATTAATGTGACATTTACAGTGACTGGCATTCGAAAACGACTGATTCGCGAACAGTACCTATTTGAGTGCTTTATTATCGTTGGTGAGCTAACTTAGGAGCTTGTTAGCGTGTCCCAAGGCGTACTTCCCTTGACCCATGTCCACATCTCCAGAAAGGGGACACCTCAAATAGCCAAATCATCAAAATCAAGTCCCATTCCTCAACGAATAATGATTGACATTGGGTCATTAGCATTTCGTGGGATCTGCATTTTGCAACCAAAAGATCTAGAGGCGTTTCTGTTCCACCAAGCATTGGCTAGCAGCACTGATTCTCTCGTGTCCACAATCCGCTCGTCTGCCAGCGCCCAGCCACCTCCAGCTTCCCATCCCCCGCTTTCTTTCTCCGTACACCAGTATCGTCATCACCTAGCATTCTCGCAATGTGTTTGCAGATGCAGTGAGGGCGTGAGGCGGTCGGTTCGAAGTTCCAGCAATCGTTAACGTCGGTTATCTATAGATACTAACCACTACCCTTGACCTAGATGCCGATCTTTGAGATCTGCGTTAGCCAACCCAGTGCGGCAGTGCCCAGTTCTGCTGTCCCCACGGACCACAGTAATGGGTATGTCTTATTGTTTATTGAAAATCAACATTAGTATTTAGCATATCTTTGGCTCTACCCGCGTCCTCCCCTCCTGCTGCGCCCCATTAGTCCTCAACTTTACTTTTGTTGGAGAGCTCAGAGGTTGCGACCTGGGAGGGTCCCTTGGATATTGAAGAACAACAACAGTTCAGCAGCGAAAGGTTCAAAGCATCAGAATTCAAGAGATTGGCCATTCAACGGGCATTCTGTATGGGCTGCGCCATGTGGAGCTTGAAGTCTACTACCGTAAGTCCACAATCCACACAGGCATCAGGCAAGAGTTCTGAGCTTCGGCCTCATCGCGGCTCCATCATCAGAATTTCAACGGTTCAACCTTTTCCCTCCGACTATGAGTCGTGTGCCATCGATCTATCTTGATTCAGGGGCTTGGCTAGATGCCCGAAACAGGAGTCTCAAAGTTGCTGCGTCAACAATGGCTCCTTAGTCCTTGGTTATTTGCATGCCGGCCGTCAGACTTCTAGTATCGTGGGGAGATCCCATTGATGATTCAGATGTCCAATGCCGCTATTGGCCTTACCGGTCCCTTAGTTTCATGTCGATCATCGGTCTTGTACCTGGCTCCTATGTGATATGTCCTTATGTTTGGCTGAGGCCGAGGATCCCTTGGCTTTGGGTATGGGCCCCAACGTCGTGTCATTGTGACAGTGCTCCAGAACACCAAGACAGCGCATCACAGCCTCGACCCTTTATCTCTTGGTATATATTCTCCATTAAACTCTTTACTCATGTCTTTTTCGTTGCCGATGCGTAGATGGTGGGCACTTTGCGATGGTCATTTTTACCCCCACACTCTTCGTAGGCGATATAGTATGTATGAATACTTGAACTCTCGCACTTCTCCGAGGGCCCTGATCTAGATGTGAGAGGGACGCGAGCTTTATGGGCATAAAAAAGTCTGTTAGCAGTATACTAGCCGGATACCAGTGATATGAAGAGCAACTTCGCTTGAACTCAGCAATTGAGCCATTCTTTCAGTTCGCAAGCATATTCCGTTCAGCTGTGCCACTGTGCATATACATATTTTTTCTTTCTCCTCGGCCCTATTCTCTCCTTTCCCTCACTGGGTCTTATCATCATGGGCAGCGCCGATGGGGTGTGCAAATCCACTGCTAATGCAGGAAGTCCTAAAGGAGCAGCTCAAGGTTTGTCCCAACGAGACATTCAATCTTGTTCTATTTTTACTGACCCATTTCCTAGTCTCTTTCAATGCCAACTGTCCAGAGGACGAACTATTTGATCTGGAGCGCAATGTAGAAGTTGCGCGGCACGAAGAGGAGCTTCAGAAGTTCCTCTCATCCACGGAATGGCCGAAACAATGGAAAGCCTGGGGTTCCTTGTTTGGCTGCTTCTTCCTCATGTTCAACTCTTGGGGCCTTGTGAATGCCTACGGCACATTTTCATCTCATTATATGCAACACCTAATGCCAAATCGGAACTTACTCCAGCTAAGCACGATTGGAAGTACCGAGAGCTTCTTGATTTTGATCTTCTCCGGCATCGTTGGTCGCGTGGTCGACGCTGGGATGGCAAGACAGCTGACTATCATTGGAAGCATATTTGTCACTATGGGTATGCTGTCACTGGCCTTCTGCGCTGGTGACGGCAAATTCGGACAAGGGAACTTCACCTCGATTTGGGTTTGCCAGGGTTTGCTTCAAGGGTTAGGAATGTCTTGCTTCTTTGTGAGCAGCTCGCAAAGTATGTTCCGAAGCATCATAATTTATCGTCTCGTTGTCTTGTTGCCTCCCGTCCACACGCTTACGGTATCTTTGGAATAGTCGGATCCTCTTGGTTCCCTTCCGTACGGAAGTCTTTCGTGGTTGGAGTAGTCGCTTCAGGGGCCTCCATTGCTGGGTTCGTGTATCCGATTCTTACCAAGTTTCTTCTCGGTCCCCTTGGTTGGCGAAACACTATCCTGTGTGTTTGGGCTGTCGTCTTGGTTACTTGTATCGTATCATGCATCTTCTGTGTCCCTAACCCACTTCACATGAAGCGTCGGCCGGAGAAATGGCAGACATGGCGTGCGTTCGTTGATTTGGACGCTTTCCATCATCGAGGATTCAACTGTCTTACAGCTGCGACTTGCTTCATGTTCTTCGGATTCTATGTTGTGTTCTTCAATCTTGAGGAGGTATGCCATTCGCCTTCTTCTCTGCGGGGGTTTTGAACTAACTCTCCGCAGTGGGCCGCACTCCACGGTTTCGGCTACAAAGACCATGTCATTGGTCTTGACGGCCAGGATGAGCCCGTTCGACACCCAAAGGCTCTCCGCACTTTCTACCTTCTAAGCATTATGAACGGTAGCAGTGCCGTTGGTCGTATTGGTTCTGCTTACCTTGGCGACAAGTCTGTCTTTCTATTGGTAGTAATAGCGGATCTGAGCTGACACCTGACAGGATTCCCACTCCACTTATTCATATGACAGCCACCGGTATCTGCTCTCTCCTGTGTCTCGTCGGCTGGATCCAGGTCGACAGCGTAGAAAGCACGATTGCCTTTGTCGTGTTATTTGGTGTATTCTCCGGTTCCGTCATTGGCCTCCCTCCAGCCAGTATGGGTTGGATCCTCGGAAAGCACGCCGAGGGCCAGCGTCGACTAGGACATTGGGTTGGTTTGATGTACACGTGCTCCGCAATCCCCGCATTTGTTGGACCGATGATTGCTGGTGTCCTTGTGTCCTACTTGAGAATCTTTCTGCCTATACAGCTATGGGCCGGCATTTGTCTTGGAGTGAGCACAGTGTTCATGTTAGCGGCATGGCATTACGGGAGGCAGCATCATGAAACGTATCCCGATACTCCAGTTGTACCAAAGGGCACGACATCCACATCCACTTCTGCTACTGCTTCATGCGCTCCAAGCGTGTGGGCCGACGATGAGGAGAAAGAGCAGAAGCCGAGTGATGGAACTGGTGCATCCCAGGTGAGAACCAACACAGGGAGGCTCCGATGATCCGCCTAATGGGTAATCTGATTCCTATTCAACGCAACAAGGAAAAATAGTAACTAATAAAATAGTAACTAATAAAATCAGACAAAAACAAAAAAACATACAGCAATGGGAGTTCCCACGTGGTCACCCACCGTAGTACTATTCCATCTCTAACCTGCTTGAGTACGGCAGAGCGGACGGGATGCCCTATATTCAGGTTGATATGGCCGTATGTAGCAGTAAGTGAAACTTTTCACAATATCAACCTAGCAATCTGCAAAATTCAACAAAACAAAAACAAAAACATACAGCAATGGGAGTTCCCCTATGGTCTCCCAGCGGTATAAACGAGGTCGAAAACAGAGGGCCAATACCGCCGAAAGACGAGGGCCCGTCGAAAATACATTCTGGTAAGGATCGTAAAGATGCCCATTCTCCCTAGTTTTCCAATCTCGCTCTCAGTCAGGAGTCCTGTTCGCAGTTTCTACAGTCTCGCCCTCAGTCCGGAGCTCCGTTCGCAGTTCTACAGTACCCTTCTTCAGTTCCAGTTCCATCAGGTTCGGAGGTAGTCGACGCTATCAACGCTCCACGCAGCCAAAATCCTCGACGCCTATTCCAAGATACGTCTTTGACTATGGCGCCACGACGCACTATTAAAAAGGGCGAAGCCGGAGAACAAGAGGCAAAGGAGCGTCTAGCTGGCTTCCAGAGCAAGCCCCTCGACGATACGGTCCCAGTGTCGGACAGAACTACCTACAAGCGCGGCTACGCCATGTGGCTCTTCAAGGAGTACGAAACACCTGGACTTATCATGCCTATGACCTACACTCACATCCTCTAGATACGTTCGCGACGTCCTACACCGCGAGCCGGACGATACCTGGTTATCCCTTTGCAGCTCTTCACCAGTGGAGGTAGCCTTGGCTCAGGATACATGTCGTGCCTTTCTCCAGACCTATGTCTCCGACTCTTCGGTCTCCCGGGTTGCGTTGGGAGACCAAGAATCCGAGGAGGTCCGACAGGTTAATCGAGTATCAAGCGTCCTGACAGTCTGGAGAGCTCTTGTGCAGGAAGGAGACGAAGCAGTCCTTGCCCCCAAAAGAAGAGAGAACAGGCACGCCGCGAGGCAATGGAGGCTCGTCAATCCAAGTGGAAAACTGATTTCAGGCCCCGTATGGGAGGTTTCCAATGTGAGGTCTGCCCTCTATTTGTGCGGGGAAGGATACTAACGTCCCCGTAGTGGATTGTCCACGACCTTCCTTTGCTTACCGGTATCTCTAACGAACTCAAGCGCCAAAAGCGGGCTGCGACTGCTCAGGATATAGTAGTCATTATGCAGGCTCTCCTAAATCGACATCGCGATATCCTCCACTCTACGGCACAACTTAGCGACTTCGCTATGATCGTGCTCTGTATGGCTATTGGCGGATTCCGGACTAACTGTCCTAGAAACCTGAAGTATGCAGACGTCAGGATAGGACTCGCCAACGTTGGCGGGAAAACGAACGCGTTCGTACGAATCCGAATGCCAGAAAACAAACTGCGAGTGGCTTCCCTAAAGCCTGCGAGCCCGGGGCGCGAGTTTGCCGTGGCCATTTTACCATGCCGACTGGTATGCCTTGCGAGTCACGTCATTGGCCGCGCTCTAGCACGGCGTGCTTTCAGGGCCGGATATACGTCCTTTGATCAAGTTTTGACCTGGCCCAACCTTCGAGGTTGCAAAGTCCTTTTCCTTCCTTGGGCACAAGGCCTGGGCGATCTCCCATTCGTCGATATCAGCGGGTCGCAGTTCTACAGGATATGGTATCGCTGCTGCGAAGTCGCCGGCATGGAGGATCCTCCGATCCCCTACTCTATGCGTGTCGGTTCCGGGGGCAAAATTATTGGAATTCTCGGCGAGTTGCTTGGGAATTGGATGCTTATGCACAAATCGAATACTCACCAGGAGTATTATTTCCCGGATTACGTGTCTCAGAATCTAGCGCGTGTCACGCTGGGCGTGCTCGCGCCTCCTGAAGATGCCCTTTTCTCCCTTCTGTCGGACTTATCATCCACGGCGGATCCCTTTGCCCCATGCCACCTGAGTGAAGAAGAGTTTAAAAAGCTTCTTGAGAGACGAGATGTCCAAGCTCTTCAGGACCATAAGACAGGACAGCGCAACCTATTGGACCAGTTATCCTACTTAGCTATTCGAGAGAAGCGGGAGAAATACTTTCGCAATATGGAAGATGCACGGGCGCTGGGTGGCAATATCACCATTACCGAGTCGCAGATTTCGAACAGCGACGTCATCGTTGATGCAACCCCCGTTGATGAAGAAGGCCGGGCTTCATTTATTGAGTTACTGGCTAGCTACTCCCGCCTTTTGAAGAGAAGCAAGAAGAATGACCCTAACCGAAACGTTCCAGATCTATGTCCTCGGTCTATCTGCGTTCTTTGCGATCCGACTGGGAAGGCTTTATCTTTCTCACAACATTCGTCTCTCACCAGGCACTATCGGATCATACATTTACGGCATGGTCACCTAGACGAAATGCGCGAATGCCCAGTTCCTGGCTGCGGCTTGGCTATTGACGCGGGCGTATCTCCGTTTTACTGTCACTTAGAACGCCAGCACGGCAAATACTATACGCCCGCTGCTCATCGACACATCGAACGTTCAATCTGCGTCCTTTGCGATCCGACTGGGCGTCGGTTGTCCTTTTCCCAGCGCCAGAATTTGACAGCACACTTTAAGGCTGATCATCTACCCTTGGGACATCTCGATCAAGCTCGTCAATGCCCAGTTCCTGCCTGCGGGTCAAAGATTCAAGCTGGAATACAACCATTTTGCGATCACTTGCAGCGCACGCATGGGAAGCATTACACGCCTCATCTATGCAACAATGGGTTAAAGCAGCGTGAACATCATCGATCGTATAGGCGAGTTCAACCAACATCCGAATTTCAGAAAAAGAGCGCAGTTGCAATTAGAGCAAAACGGAAAGCAGTTGATGATATTGGGAGGCCCGACTTTGATCTGCTCGAGCAAACGCTCCAGGACGAAATCTTTGCTGTAGATTCGGATGAAGACCCGGTTGCGAAGAAACGAAAGCAAAACGTAGTTGCAGATTATTAAAGAGTTCTAAGTTGGGCAACAGTTGATATGTTTGACAGCATCAGAATCATTCGGCTCGTTAATGAATTTGGATATAACCTAGGAGGAAATTGCAGCGTAACTCATTCCCTTCCGACCTTCGATGCTATGATATTTATAAATCATCATCGGAGAGTCGCTGAAACGCCTTCATCTGCAAATACATGGCGTCACGATATTGTTCATGAGAAGAACCCGTCTCCCGCGACGAGATCGATGATGTACAAGCTGACTTAGCCTCCCCTCCATTTAACGGGAGGACACTCGGTTCTATTGGGGAACTTGCCAAAAATCCAATGCCATGGCTTGCCTTCTCTTTCTTCAAGCGCTATTCATACACCGGCTCTCACCGCAAATATCTCCGAGTATCGATACCTCATGATAGTCATCTACATTAATAGTCGCATAGCCCAGGTCACAGTGTTCGCCTCACACTTCGTACCATCCGCCATCGTCATCGGCGTCGCGCATCCCCAGACGCATTGCCCAAACGTCGTCCCATCGATGCAGTAAAATCCGGTCTCCGAGCATGGGACCTGGCCGGCTGCGCATGAACCTTGCGGATTAGCGACAGGGGCGGCAGGAACAGGCTTGGCCGGAGCAAGTGGCGGTTGGGCTGCCGCGAGCGAAGGTTTTGAAGAGACCGGCGCAGTAGTGGGGACTGCGAGTTGCTGCTCAGGAGCAGCGTTAGAGGGAGAGGCCGAGGGTGCGGCGGAAGAGGCACCGGGAGCGAAGACTCCACCGGGGGGATTGTTGCCAGCGGGAGCCTTAGCAGCGCCGCAGTTCGATGGGACCGCGATTGGGAACTGAGATTGAGCGGGACCAGCTGGCTTCTTTGTAGTGACGTACTTCCCTGGGTTGGGGAAGTCGACGTTCACGGATTGAGTGGTCCCGCAAGATCCGGAAATCTCGCCGATGTTCGCGACGAACAGAGGCGGAAGCTCATTGAGCTTGTCTTGACTAGAGGTCCGAAACGAATATGAATAATATGAATAATATGAATAATTTGCGAATATGAATAAAGTCTTGGCGAATAATGTGAATATGAATACGCCTTATATTCATATTCGCGATATTCATGAATATTCATATTATTCATGAATATTTCACATAGATCTAGGCAAATAAAATTATAACATCTAAAGCCTCATTACTATAACATGTCAAGGAGTGCTTGGGACTGTTAATATAATAATCAAGGCGTAGATATACTGTCGATGTTCATTTGGTCAAAAACTAATAGTCTGAATACATTAGATATATGACAAGTCGCCAAAGAAAGAAAGGAAAAATAAAAGAAAAGTAGATATCGTAGTATATCACTATCCCCGTAGTTCTCTATGCATTCCTAACGGCCATGAAGAGTCCTAAAATAGACTATCAATTAGGAAAGGATTCGTTATCATAGTGTCCCTTCAGGAGTACAAGCCATCTCATCGTCTCTGCATTCAGAGAGTGTCTCCTAAGACCTAGCACGTCTCGCGCACCACTAAAAAGACGTTCTACGCCTACTTCAGCAGAGGGAACCGGGAGATAGTCGCGTGCCGCTTGAGCCATGCAAGGAAAGTCAGGTGCATTTGCTTTCCACCATTTCAATACCCAGTCAGGGT